ATCATCATCAGCATCACAGACATATCCGTGACCAATATCAAGGGGCGCGCGCATGGCTTTGAAATTGGACCTCACGTGCATTGCACCGCGTGTGTATCACCTACACTCAGCTGATGCACCACGCGTATCGCCTGCACTCAGCTGATGCACCGTGCGTATCGCCTATACAGTACTCAGCTACTGCACCGGGAGCAGCCAGTGAGCCCAACGTGTATAACATGTGCGTGTGTCGTACACCCTCCACCATCAGACGCAGCCAATTAATAAAGTTGTCACGTGGTGAACAAAGGTTCCGATTTACTCCGGTATCATCAGCAGCAGCAGCGGTGTGTTGGCGTGCAATCGCCAAAACTACATTTGTTTTTACGTGACAAGACAGATACGAATGGGCCATGTTGTCTGCTTATCAATTCTGTTATTTCTCCCCAATTACGCTGATTATTTTGAATTGTAATTGTGAATGGAAAATTAAAGGCGAGTGCGATTGTAGGCCATGCAACCCAAACAATTGACCGTAGAGTAAAACCACAGTGGTCTGCGCGCCTTCAAATGAGGAGGACCGGCGAAACTCCACGAACTCTCCTAGACACCCGAAGCCCTCTCGTGGCGAGCAGACCTCGACATTTGGCATTTCGGTTTCCTGAACATAATTATTGGCATCGCACGCAATAATCAACGTTGTACGGGGTTTGAAGCTTTCGTGACTGCAGGAATCCATACTCTTTGGTTCTTTCGGTAAAGTCACGTAGGTGGAAAAATAATGTGTTCTACCTGCGTGACTTTACCGAGAGAACCAAGAATCATCGTTGTACGGGGTACTGTGCAATGGTGCCCCCTAGCGGATGTGGTGTGAAAGACCCACAACACGGACAGCGACGCAGAGAACCTGTTTGTTTACCTTTCGTGACTGCAGGGATTAATCTTCTTGGTTCTTTCGGTAAAGTCACGTAGAATGGAAATAATAAAATAATAAAAATAAAACATAATAAAATAATTCTCACGACGTTTCGGCCGCAACGCAAGCAGCCGTCCTCAGGTGAAGAACAGGTCTGTCGATAAGACAGAGTCTGAATGACACGTCCCGGGGCTTGGAGCGTCTATTTAAGCTGGGAGGGAGGAGGAAGAGCGCCTTGACAAAAGAATATGCATATCAAGAGGAATTTTAGCATATTTATGTAATATTACACTATGTATTATTCTACCCACCCTACTGCACACCACACTGCTGCATATTCACCATACAACCCGTGGCAGGTTAACAACTTGTTTACCTGCCACGGGTCACAAGGACGTGGGAAATGGGAATCCTGGGCGATTCGCCTGAGAGGAGGCCGGCTTCTACAATGCAGCACATTTCGGGTGGCCGAGTGGCGAATGCCGTGTCAGTAGTACTGTACTGAACTGGCACCGATGAGATCCTGCGTTAGAAAATTGGCAGCCACCACTATAAAATACCGACTTCTGAGCCGTAGTCAGTTGATGGCCTCAGCCTGGTCTCCAATGGCTGGACAACAACAACAACAACACACCGTTGGTACCTCATCTGCCAGCAAAAAATATGATAATTGTTTTTTTACCCTTTTATCTGGCAACAAAACTGACACATAACGCAAACATTATGACTGCAGGTATTGTGGTCTATGCAAATATGACTACTCGTAAAAAAGGTGTCAGTTTTGTTGCCAAATAAAAGGGGAAAAAACAATTATCAACAGCAACACAATCACGTTGAATGTGTTTATTCAGTTCATTTGAGTTTCCTGCCACGTGTATAATCACTCGTGAATGGAGTTGGCCATAAATCCCAATGTAGGGCCACAGAGCTTAGGGGTGGGGGGGGGGAAATGTTGGGCACCGGTTTTGATTGCCTTCCCCATCGCACGTCCGTCTGTGGTTTCCGGCGTCTCTGAATCTAAGGTGTTCTATCCGTGTTACATACATTGAAAAGGAAAAAATAGGAAAACACAAACCCGTTTCCATAATTAGGGATATTGGTCGCGAAAGTCTTCGTGTTAAAAATAAATCCGTTGTCAATTCACTGGCTGGATGACAGCCTCCCCATGCCCTGCAGGTCTTGCAGATAATATTTGTCAAAGCTGGTCGGTCAGCGATGGTTGGTGATGGCAGGAAGCATAGACTTCGGGGCACAGTACAGAACAATTAATTGTGCGGCACTGCACTGTCTTGACAACGCACGTGACCCTCTCATCCTGGACATCTGTGAAAAAAAGCTTGATAGCTTATCGGATTCCTCCAGTCCAGTGGCGGCTCCTGCAAAATCTCTCAGGGGAAGGCAAATGTCTGGATGATTGATAAGGATAAGGTCCACCCATGCAATGGATAAATTAACAGCTTAAGCATGTAAAGGCAACTTCACTTCTTTAATATTAATGAAAAATAAAGTGACTCTTACAATACATCTTGTTTGTTTCTATACTCACTATTAAAACAAACCACTCAAGTTAATTTTATTAAAGATTCCACTAGGTAGCGATAAATTATATTGTTGGATGAAACGTGCTTACGTATGATGACGTAAGCACGTATGATGACGTAAGCACGTTAGGGCGAGCCCTCCCGGAAGCCATAGAGAATGCATTGCAGCGCCCCCCGTTCGAAAAAAAACATCTTTGAATGTAAGTCTATGGGGCCACTCGGGGCGATTCTCAGCCGGAGTGAAATCGCCCAAAAAGAGGCGGTACTCCACAGAACGTGACATGACGCTGATTGGACTATATCCAGAGGCACAGTGACGGCTAGCGTGACTCTGTGGTTGAATGACATTGGTGGTGCGTCGCCCAATCGCCCTAATGAAGAAACCGCCCCTGCTCCAGTCTAAATAAAGATTCTGATTTTGACTTTACCTATCACTGTCAGCCGTAACAAGATAATCGTGCCCACCTTCCGTTAAAACCTATAGATTTTTGCGAGAAAATAAATCGCATCTGGAACAGTTCCACGGATCACTTCCCTGAGGGCCTGTGAACCACAGGTTGGAAATCTGCTGTCGACCAAATGGGTTAAACTTTTGAAACTGCCTATAAAGTGCACGGTGGTGGCGGTTCTCATGATATAAATGACTTGAATAGCTTATCCAGAAATATATCGTTAATGGGCACTGTGAGAGCTGGTTTCCATGTTACGGCATCATAAAACCCTTTTAGTAAAGCACAAAAACAATAATAATAATAACAGCGCTGCACGTAAACATTTTTAGTGCAAGGTGTCTGGAGATTCCAAAATATGTCTTCCCTGCTCCACCTACATTTACAGTCAGTGCTTGGTAGAGCATTTTCACTCAGAATAATAGAGGAGGAATATTTAGCTGAGCGTCATTTCCTTCCATTTATGACACTTGAGAAATTCTACAAAGCTGATGACGGTTACTCACTTGCAGAGCAGTGCGTGGGATGGGGCGATAGGAACACATGAGTCAGCTGCACTCGGTAATGTATTGGAACTGTCACAAACACCTGCTAATGCCTGTCAGTGACAGTGAGTGTTGGAATGTAGCCGTTGTACCATGCGTGACAGCTTCGCCAGCACCACCACCACCACGACTATCACCACCGCATCATGCACGGCGTTCATGAACTGACGTAAATATCATACTGGTAGGAACCTCCTGGTTACACCAGCCCACAGGGGATTATTGTGTCCGTCCGTCGTGCAGGGAGGGGCTGGGTGGGGAGGGAGGGGCTGGGTGGGGAGGGGAGGGTGGGGAGGGGCTGGGTGGAGAGGGTGGGGCTGGGTGAGGAGGGGAGGGTGGGGAGGGGCTGGGTGGGGAGGGGCTGGGTGGGGAGGGTGGGGAGGGGCTGGGAGGGGAGGGTGGGGAGGGGCTGGGTGGGGAGGGGCTGGTCACCCCGTGGTGCCCTTATAAAACTCAACGTTTAACCTACTCACGCCGGCTTGTGCCCGCCCTCACAGTCGGGCATATTTGCGGAATACACCACGCCGCCGTTGACCCTGGCCATTGACCGAGCAACCCAACGTTCCAACCAGCTCCCTCCGCAGGAATGTGTTTTTAAGGATCACATCACACCTGTGCTATTATCCCTTTAATGGACCTCAGAGGTGGGACAAAGTCATTGTTATGCAAGTCCAAGTCGAGTCTGAAGTCATCAAATTCATGACTCGAGTCTGACTCGAGTCCAAGTCACATGACTCGAGTCCACACCTCTGGTATATACTCTTTGGTTCTTTCGGTAAAGTCACGTAGGTATAATTAAAATGAAATAAATCACGACTTGATCGAGTCTCTCACCTTTCTGCGGAGATGACGCGACCACAAGGTAATACCGATCTCAAAACTTGAATAAACTCTTGTTGGTAACAGCTTCTCTTCACATCGCAGCTATCGAGATTTTCACCTGAAGACGAACGCTTGTGTTGCGTTCGAAACGTGATTTATTTTATTTTTCTACCTACGTGACTTTACCGAAATAACTAAAGAGTATGGATTCCTGCAGTCACGAAAGCCTCAAATCGCTCACACAGGGTGGCCCAAAAGCCAAGACACATCGGCTTATTTAATTTATTTTAACACTTGCATGAACACATTTTAATATTTGTTTTATGTTAATGTGGGATATATTATAATTATTCACGTATATTCCTTCTTCCTTTTTAGATGGCATTGAAAAATGGAGAGAAAGTTTGACGACGAGACGAATGAGTGCTTAAGAAGGAATGTGTAATCTTGAAAAAATAATTCCTGAATTAGTTTCTAAAAAGAATGCATGCGCGCGTTAATGTTAATTGAAGTGCAGTTTTTAAGATTGGTTAAATAAATGAAATAACCCTTTCATTCGTTACATAAATATAAGGCGCTTTATAAATCCAAATAGCATAGAATAATGACCCTGTGTGTCCTGACTTTTGCGCCACCCTGTATACAGTAGATGGAGGAAATGCCCACCACAAGTCGCTATGTTTGAACATACAAGCCATGAAAAAAGTGGAAGTTGTTACAATGCACATCTTCATGAAAACAGAAATATTTCAACAGCACCCTTCTATCGCATCGGCTGCTCTAGTCAAATTTGGCTGTGCCAACGCAAAAAAACAAGCTACCAAGCTAAAACAATGTACAGTAAACACGTAAGTTTCATCCATACAGCTTATCCACGTATTAACTGCTTTTTACTGGTAGGAACCCACTGGTTCCACCAGCCCACAGGGGATTATTGTGTCCGTCCGTCGTGAAGGGAGGGGCTGGGTGGGGAGGGAGGGGCTGGGTGGGGTGGGGAGGGTGGGGAGGGGCTGGTTGAGGAGGGTGGGGCTGGATGGGGAGGGTGGGGAGGGGCTGGGTGGGGAGGGGTGGGGCTGGGTGGGGAGGGGCTGGTCATCCCGTGGTGCCCTTATAAAACTCAACGTTTAACCTACTCACGCCGGCTTGTGCCCGCCCTCACAGTCGGGCATATTTGCGGAATACACCACGCCGCCGTTGACCCTGGCCATTGACCGAGCAACCCAACGTTGCTACCAGCTCCCTCCGCAGGAATGTGTTGTGTTCAGTTTGTTGTCCTTCCCCTGCATCTCCGATTAGCACGGTTGGCTACGTACGGTGCGAAAGAAGCTCAACATACATGCAATTCATAAATTTTAGACCTTTTTTATTTTCACTGAAAAGAAAGGTAGATATTGATGATGTTTGGTCAACCTTTTCCATAAAATACTGGGGATTTAGAGAGTAGTAACATGTAATGTTACGTAGTCCAGAAAGGATGTGTGTGTGTGTATAGGGTAAGGTGATGGATTTCGATTTAAAGCTTTCGTGACTGCAGGGATTCATCTTCTTGTTTCTTTCGGTAAAGTCACGTAGAAGGGAAGTAATAAAATAATAAAAATAAACCGAAAGAAACAAGAAGAAGGTGATGGATGTCACGTAATGAGTTCTCAACCTTTGAAAACTTTTGAATGCATTCCAGAGGATGATATAAAAGTCTTTAAGGGCCGTAAGGAATGTAATGAGTTTTCCTAACTGTGAATAGGCATGCTCGGGGTCTAACACTTGACCACATGTGTAGGTTGAATTAACCCTTCTTCTTGGTTCTTTCGGTAAAGTCACGTAGAATGGAAATAATAAAATAATTAAAATTAAACATAATAAAATAATTCTCACGACGTTTCGGCCACAACGCAAGCAGCCGTCCTCAGGTGAAGAATGAAACACCACCAAGCTTGGAGCGTATATTTAAGCTGGGTTGGAGGGGGGGAGGTGGGAAGAAGAGCGCCTAGACAAAATAATTTGCATATCAAGAGGAATTTAGCATATGGAAAATGCGTTACTTTACCGAAAGATCCAAGAAGATGAATCCCTGCAGTCACGAAAGCTTTAAATCGAAATTGAATTAACCCTGTTATAGTTATTCGACCTGGATTTTGAAGAATATGCCTTTGTTGTTGTATCCACGAAAATTAATCGGTAATTCAACAGACAATAAAACGCAGGTTGGAAACAAATAGATTTAACGACACTCGTGGATGTGTAGCATTGCGTGTACAATAATGCTCGTTCAGCCTTTTCCACACCACCAGCTTGAATAGAACCGAACGTGTGGTCATGTTGGTGATTAAATAATAATAGTCATACACATTTATAAAGCGTCCTTAAACAATCGTTCTCAGGGCGATTAGCACTAACTTCAAACAGTTGAGATAATGTGGTCATCCCACCAGACAGCAGTGATCTGGACATGTACATGTAATGCTACACACCTTTGCGTGGTGTAACATGTAATGAAAATCGGTGAGGCATCAGTAGTTTTGAGAGTACACCAGGAATGCTACCCGTGCATCGTCCGTATGGACAGCGCGACATTTCAGATGAGTCTCCTCCGCATGGCGATGACTCTTCTTGACTGTTTAAATGACTTGAGTGGTTTGACACCGTTGCCCCAAAACCATTGCTTGTGATGTATTATGATCTTCGAAGTACAGTACAACACTTTTTGCGTGGTATATGTTGTCCATAATTCTGGGTAAGATTGTGACGATTTGGTGGATGACATGACTAAATATTCTCAGGCTCGTCGAATTAGTAGCGCAGAATTTTGAATTTCTCCTGCAACACGGTTTGTCTTCGATTTGATGAGATAATTGTTTCGTTGCTGTTACTTTAACGCACTGTCATTCTTTCGTCAGTTTGTTGACCCAGGTCACTCTTGCGAGTGAGTCGATCCCTGGTCTCTCGAAGTCGTACAAGCTAAAACAAAATCATCTTGTGCGGAGTCCATGGCTGGTTCCGACATCACCGCCGTGCCCAGGAATCGAGCTCTCGTCACCGACGGTGGCAGCACGGCGTGCCAACCGCTGCGCCACCGCTCACCAAGCGTGAATATGCTGACACATTTCTGTTCTGTGCAAGAAAAAATAAAAAGGGGATTTAAAAGAGGAACTATAATTTATCGAACTGCAGCACGTCCCATATCTACTACTGGCGTATGGATCACGTGCCATAAAACACGGACGCTCTGTCCTCAAATAGGCATTGTCGACACACGCGCTTTAGCCTCTGTTCAACGCCGCTGACGAATAGACGATTACGATTCTTAAAACCATGAAGCTAACGTCACCAAGTTCATTCGTGTCGCGTAAGTACAATATTTACACGTTGTATTTGGGGAAATGAATATGGTGTTAACCGTGTTTCGTCATTCGTTTTACAATGTAAGAGAGGCTGTTTGTCAAGAGTGGTACATGTTGTAGCAGCACGTGTCGTGTGGGTGTATGTAAAAGAACATCTGCAAATGTTTGTGCATGCATTGCTATGTTTGTGAATATGTACGGGCATTATATGTGGGGACAGGGTGGCAACGTTGTAATGATTGTTGTACTTCACAGCGTAAAGGACCTCGGCTAAACTCCTGGCTCGGAATTGTTTTTTTCTGTATGGAGGTTGTATGTTCTCTCCCCCTGTTCTGCATGAATTTCATCCGGGCTTTTCGGTTTCCTCCAATAGAAAAAAAAAACAATCTAACTGGTGTTGGCTAAACATCCCAATGCAGGACTTTTATGAGAACAAAACTATCCTTATCATAAGTGTGTCATCGTCATCATCATGAGCCATGGATTATCCACTGCTGGATGAAGGACTCCCCAATTCATCGCCATCTTTCAGTCATCTGATGCCACTTTAAGAGACCTCCATGAAAGTGAATGTCAGTCACTTTTAAGAGACGTCTATGAAAGTGAATGTCAGTCACTTTAAGAGACGTCCATGAAAGTGAATGTCAGTCACTTTAAGAGACGTCCATGAAAGTGAATGTCAGTCACTTTTAAGAGACGTCCATGAAAGTGAATGTCAGTCACTTTAAGATACTTCTATGAAAGTGAATGGCAGTCACTTTAAGAGACTTGTATGAAAGTGAATTCACTTCAAGAAGAGTTATTTTTAAAACACAATATGTGTGGACCTTTCATGGTTAACAAGAGAAGCAAACAATTTTGCTTAAACGAAGAAACTCTTAACCACCTGCAAACACGTACGTATACATACACACATGTACACGTGCATGCACATGTGCAGCACGCACATACACACGTGAACACATCCATGCACACATAAAGCACACACATACACACATGAACACATCCATGCACACATGTGCAGCACATACATACACACGTGCACATAACAACAACTGCCATTGGCCACTAAGTGGCAGTTGTGTCACCACAGCGCCTTTGCTTGGCGAGGTGCAATTTGAGGCCACATAAAGTGTCAAACGCTCGCTGGCAGGTGGTCACAGGGAAAATCATGGTGTTTTGGGTTAACTGAGATGATTGGCAGATGTGCGACCTATTGTGGCAATACATGTACACGTACACACATAATACAGATCATACACAGAGCCATAAAAACGAGAAATACACATAAGCTAGGAGCAAGACAGGGAAAGTCAGATGCACAGAAATACAGCGACAAAGAGACACGGAGAGACATAAAAATACACGGGAATATGGAGACATAGAAAGAACAGTGACACAGAAATATACAGAAATAGCGGGACGCAAGACACACGGAAAGAAACAGACAGAAAGACGCAGATATCGCAATCTTTGAGCCAGAGGAGGAATCCTAACAGTGGTTTTCTTTGAGCTTTTTATATCTCGGTTATACTGGTAGGAACCTCCTGGTTACACCAGCCCACAGGGGATTATTGTGTCCGTCGTGCAGGGAGGGGCTGGGTGGGTAGGGAGGGGGTGGGGATGGGCTGGGTGGGGAGGATGGGGCTGGGTGGGGAGGGAGGGGGTGCGGAGGGGCTGGGTGGGGAGGCTGGGGATGGGTGGGGTGGGGAGGGTGGGGAGGGGCTGGGTCGGGAGAGGCTGGGTGGGGAGGGGCTGGTCACCCCGTGGTGCCCTTATAAAACTCAACGTTTAACCTACTCACGCCGGCTTGTGCCCTTTCTCACAGTCGGGCAAATTTGCGGAATACACCACGCCGCCGTTGACCCTGGCCATTGACCGAGCAACCCAACGTTCCTACCAGCTCCCTCCGCAGGAATGTGTTAAAATATGTATGATAGCAAGTTAGCTTTTTTTTTTTTCAAATAAGCTAACCACAAAGGAGAACATAATGGGATGCTTGACACAGGATATCGTGACAGGAAACAAACCTGAATGTGACATGAAACATCCATAAACAGGACTGTTATGAAACGAATACTACACGTGTATGAATCAGACCGTGTCCATACCAAGCGTTATGCCCACGGTGTATGATGCCAAAAAAAGATTGCCTTGTAATCAAATAGCAAAACTATTGAATGTCTTTGTTCTTTCCAAAGAAAACCCTCTGTGAGGTGTACTGTTCCTCAGTGCCATTTCTAACTGGAAAATATATTTTAAAAACAAAGAGTAAAATACATCATGGTACCTCCTTTGCCGGTATCAAAATATGAGAATAGGTTTTCCCCTTTTTTCTGGCAACAAAACAGGTGTTCAGATGTTAAAACACCAAACTGAAACCTTTTACAAGGAATCATGTCTGCATTAATCACAATACTTGTGGTCAGAATGCAAACAAAAAACATACCCTGATAATATATGCATTGTCCTTGAAACTGATTGGTCCACACCAGAGACAGCTTTCTTTTGAGCCTAGTCTCAAAACGGTGTCACACCAGAGGATGCCAATAGTAAAATACAAATTTAAAAATTATGTTCTCAACACCTTTAAAATAGTTTTTTTAAAGAGATATTCGAAATAGGTTCCTATGTAAAATATCTATCAACGTAAAAAATAATTTGATAAACTGTACACAAGTTAAACATGTTGCACACTTATGTGGCCTTCACTGAAACGCTGGACGTCCATATGAATGTCAGCTACTTTTCTTCCCACCTCGTCACTTCCCTCTCGCCTCCATTACATTATTTATTTATCGCCTGAATTTGCCACCAAGCCAGAAAGCTACCTTTATCATTTGCAGAATGCGGCGTTTTCCACAGACCATCGCTTAGCTTGCTTAAGTTGGAGGACAGCCTTCAACAATGCGTCTGTCTTGCAGGACAAGTTGCAGTTTTTGGGTTGACCGAGATGACTGGTAGATTCACCGCGTCGTCGCTTTAAGACAGGGGTCGGGAACCTTTTTGACTGGGAGAGCCATAAAAGCCCAATATTTCTAAATATATTTCATTGAGAGCCATATAGTAATTTTTAACGTATAATAAACTAAATATGTCTTACTTTTAATACGACTTCTGGTGCTGCATGGTTTTACTGATGGCCTTGTAGTCTGGTTCATACGACTTGGTGAGGTTGAGCTTCGTGCAGGCGTGACCCGTGAAATTTATCTTCAAAACTAATTTCTGTTTACTTTAAAATGACACGGTATTATTAAGCAATATCACAAGTATTTTAAAATCAGTTCCAAACAGATTTTTTTTTCAACTCAAAAATTGTCTGGGAGCCATATGCCGTCACTGGAAGAGCCATATATGGCTCGCGAGCCATAGGTTCCCGACCGCTGCTTTAAGATGTTCTCTGTTCATATTTTGTTTGTTGCGGTTGCAGCCGACTCAAGAGCAGTATGGCTCACAGGGCTCTACCTAACTGTGGCAACTTGCTATTTTTAACCAAAAACGCCATCCCTCCTCCACCGCTCCGTTGTATCCTCGAAGTGGACCTAGCCTGGCACTGTCCCAGTAGCATTCTTTACAAGCCTCCTCCACAGAGGCCGATCTTGATATCGCTGATACCAGTCATTTGTAAGTCCAATGAGCTCAAAATCCTCCCGTACCAAATCAGCCGATACCCCTAGCCCATGATACGCCCGCTTAGCCCCCCCCCCCCCCCGCCATGCACTCCAGCAAAACAAGCACAACACTCACACACATCACCACATATACACACACTCAACAGTTTCACACACTGCATGTCACGTGGAACCGGCAGCTGCAGGGCACTGCACTCTGTGTGCAGTGTCACCCCCTGGGGGCTCGGGGGCGAGAGCGCCTGGAGTGGCGCAGGGGTGACAGGGGGCCATGGCACTCCGGATGAACCTGGAGGGCCTCGTGACCGGAGGCACCAGCCCGGGGCCCCCCAAAGAGGGGGCTGGGGGACCATGGGACCAGGACCAGGTCCCTCTCGAAGGTTCGAGAAGGGAGGCATGGCTCGGGGCGGAGGAAGCCTCGGGTCTGACTATATAAGCCGGACCCCTGAACGGGTCCGGCTGCTGTTGTTAACCTGAAGTCATGAGGCCGTCGTCCTGAAGAGAAGCCCCGAAGACAAGACCGGACCCGAGTCGGGGTCCAGTCTTGGCAGTCTCCACCAGTTGTGTTGGGGCCTCGTCAGCCCAGAGGGACAACCTCCCTAGGTTACCTGGTGGAAGGGGCAGATACCCCTTTGTGCAGGGGTGGGGAACGTCCAGCCCGTGGGCCGTTTCAGGTCCGCAAAATCATTTGGTGTGGCCCTGCCAAGGCAACCGCAGGCGGGACTCGAAATTCAATAAATTTAGGAGCAAACCTGGAAAAGCAGTTTCGAGTAGCAACATCATCAATACCAGCTAACATCAGACGCCTCACCAAAGAGAAGCAGTTCCAGTCATCACATTAGGGGTGTGAGTTAATTAAATGTTTGACCAAATATTACAGGCTAATTTGTAAGTTGATAATTTAGCATGGCCCGCGAATGATGTTATAAATATCCAAATGGCCCTTGGCAGAAAAAAGGTTCCCCACCCGTGTGTTAGGGTGTTGATGTCATTATAATAAACGTGTTGCCTCTAGAAGAAGTCTCTCGCCCATTTGTACCCACTACACATGTATGTATACATTCACAGTAGGTATTGTTCTTTTGTATGTATGTTAAATTTATTTCGCACCGCACGTAGCCAACCGTGCTAATCTGAAGTGTGGGGGAAAGACAACAAACTGAACACAACAAGCAGATCTCAAGAAATTATTTTTAAATCTCGGTCATTTAAAAGTGCATAGCTCCAGTGGCTTTCTAAGATTCAACGGAATAGCGTTTCAGACGGCCGCAGAATGCATATTAATAGTGTTGCTGTTGGTCTTCTCTTCTCTCCACAGATCTATCTCCTCACCTCGCCTTTAGCATCACCATCATCATCACCACCACCATCGTCCCTTCTGCTTCCTCAGCTAATTGCGACCCACTGAACATATCCTCCTCGTCGCCTCCCCCCGCCTCCTCCACCGCCACATGTTTCGAAGCCACAGGATCCAACTGCCCTCTCGGCCCAAGTTTGAATTGGGACGTCCTCGTCTCCTTGACGTCGGCCTCGGCCGAGATTCTGAAGATCGACTGCAAACTGAAATCCGTGGAGGTTTCTGAGGGGCAGCCGTTTCCCATGCTGCCCAACCTCAATGAGCTCCGCCTGAACAACAACCAGCTGCAAAACCTCCCCACGGGGTTCATGGGCAACCATAAGAGCCTCAAGTAAGGGAAACTGCCACAGGCCAAAAACACCCACAGGTCAGGTCTTGGGGGGGGGGGGGGCAGTAACATGGCCCCAGTGGGTAGCACGTTAAAACTATTGTTTTTTTTATTATTTTACCGGGTAAGGCCTACTGAGCTATGTAGCTCTTTTTCAGAAGCGAGCTGGCTAACGAAAATAATAGCCCAATGAAGCGGCTTATTGCGTGGAAACTTATAGCAGCCAAACACTCTAACCGCATATTGATTATAAATGTGGAGGGAACAGCCGGAGGAGTCGGAAAAGAATTCACACGACTCCGGGGAGAGAGACATTCAAACCCCAAATATATTCAGCAGCAGGCGTCAGGGTCAGGATCGAGCCCACGGACACCTGTATAGCAGGCGAGGTAGTTGACATCTCGCTACCGTGGCGACCATACATTTGTCGGGGTGTCCAGAGTAGTGGGAGCAGAAGGGGCAATTTACCCTGGGCCCTTCACGCAACAAAGTAGGGGAACCACACAATGGGCCCATTTATTGTTGTGAATAAATGATGGTAGCTAAGTACGGATTCTGCCGCTGGGCTTTCAGGAGTCCTTGGGCGGATCTTACACTTGTTGCAGAGATTTACGGCTCGAACCCAGCAGCCGGCCTAGTTATTACTGCGGGTGTGTTGCTCATGAATATGCGCCGTTAGCTTCACAGCGGATGTTAAAGATTCCACGATGTGTCTGCAAAAAGAGTGGGCCGCATACGATAACTTACTCCCAACTTAATTGGGAAAACCCACATAAGCAGCATCTCCCCACACAGGCAAATGGAGTATGCCCATTTGCACCCTGGTGTTTGGTGCACCTCGTGCCACACAGGGGTAGCTACCATAGGGGATCCCCCTGTCTATACTGTAGCAGAACATTAAAATGGTCTAAGTGAGGTGGGATTGATGTTAAGGCACTTTGAGTTAGTCGCCGAGGCATTTAAGCGCTCTCTAAATACAAATCCGTAATAACGTCTCAACATTAAGCTGAGGGTGGTGGCAGCAGTGAGGTGCTGTGGTTAATCGCGTTATAAACTATTGCGCCAGGTCTCCCATTTTGAAGACGTGATCTTGAAGGAAGCTTATTTGACGATACACTTCATGCTGGCCAGTGCAGCTTGCTGAAGGAGGGGAGCACAGATGTGGCGGCACAGAACTACAGTCCGGCAGATTTGTTTCACTGCCCACCGCGATGCCCCACAGCCCTATGACAACACGATAATGCACGGTGAAAGTCTATCAAAGCACTATCCAGACTCATCCTACTTGGCTTACTAGATCTGATGGGGAACGAGCGCATTCCGGGTGACATGGTCAGCGGCACGGTATTATCTGTAAGCGTTGTGCAGAGTCGCGGTTCACGATGGCCCCCTTCCCTGTACGTTGTCTCACAGGGTCCTTCACCTGGAAGACAACCATCTCACGATCCTGCCCATGGCTTTCCTCAAGGGGTGCGTCAGTATGGAGAAGCTACTGCTGCACAATAACATGCTGATGCACCTCCCCTCCTTTATCAAACTACCCCTCAAATCTCTCACCCTCCACAACAACTTGCTGGTCTGTGACTGCTCCCTCTACCTCATGCTCCGACACAAAACGACACTGCTTGTGCCCACCGATTATGCGCCGGAGTTCCCCAAATGCCACAGCCCTGTTCAACTAAAAGGCGAACCAGTCAAGAACGTGTCCATGGACATGGTTTGCCGGGATGTGGGCCCCTATTTCTCCAAGTTGTATGTCGTGCCAATGGCCGCCGGGGCTGCTCTGTTTTTGGTAGTTTCCGCTGTAGCTATTGCAGGGATGTGGATGGCCAGAAAACACTCCTACAATCACCGTCGAGTTTCCAACAATGCTCCCATCAGTAATATCACTGTTGGAACGAGTTTCGCGACCAGCAATACGGTCAACAATGCTTACATCACCACCGCGGAATTGTCCTCCCCGTACGTCCCCGAAGATGTGTACGATAATGTGGGGGAGATGATAGAGGAAGACATGGAATCTGACAATTATATCGATGGTGATATTAATTATGACGACAAAGACGATTATGAAAATCTGTAGATGTGATGGCTTCAGTTCGGGGTGGACGACTAACCTGGTATATGCGATGGGCAGTTTTCCCCCTTCAAAATATCATGAAGAAAAAAGGTAATCTGGGTCTACTAAACAAAACTAAAATTGTGAATGTAACAAAGCACTCTGTCCATTATTCCATAATTTGTCAGAATTTGGCTACAATTTAATTCAGGCATGTTTATCCCCTGCTATTTGAGTCGATGGTGAGGTGGCTCTGCAGAACCGATAGCGCTATAAATCCATAACTTTTCAAACCTATAGAATGCAGTATCATGCATGCAGAATCTCGATTGTATATATCTGTAAAATATGTACTGGTATGAACCAATCAAACCAAGTTGGGGGAGGCGGGGGGGGGGAGTTTTGTAATTGTGTGTGGTCTGTAAACGTGCAGTGTTAGGCAAACAGTGTTGCATGTGGTTGGAGCAACGTTGGTGCAACGTTGGACCTCTTGAGGCACAGCGGTGTTAGCCGCTGAGGGTTGTGGAGTGTGACGGATTTATTTTTACACGCTTTCATTTAACTCACTCCGTCTGTTGTCGTATCCTTACAAAATCTTCTAGCTCAATTTTTACCCACTTCCCAATATGCTATCGACTGCAAACTTGGTATAGGTATGTCATACTGATGACAATACTATATTCTATCATTGAAAACTATAAATATATTTTTAAACAATCTTTTTTACGGCTCTAATTGTCAACGCTCATCTCACGTTGCCTGTAAATCACCACGTGGTCCCTGACGTCACGGCAAGCCTCGGGGAGCCACGCCCAGGGGCGGGGAATGTGGAAGGAGGGGAGGGGCGATGGGGGAAGGGGGCAGGGGAAGGGGCAGCTCGGACAGTACATTTCATTAAAGCGTGGGTTTTTTAAGTATTTAAAAAAAAAAAAATATTTTTTAATTTTACACGCTTTCATTTAACTAACTCTGTCTGTTGTTGTTGTCGTTGGTGTATCCTCAAATTTTGTAACTAAATTTTAACCCACTTCCCAATGTGGTATCGACTGCAAACTCGGTATACTTATGTCATACTGATGACAATACCATATTCTATCATTAAAAATATATATTTCTATACATTATTTTTTATATGTTATGTTTCGGCTTGGGTCTAATTGCCCACGGTCCCTTACGTTATGGCAAGCTTCAGGGGCCACTTCTTAGAGTCGTGGAGTTCTGGCATTACTAGTACATTTCATAAAAGCGTGTTTTTAAAAAGTTTTTTTTAAAATATCACTTATTTTTCATTCCTGTTGCTCTGTGCCACCCCTCTTGTACCGTTCCCGTTCCGCGATAATGTGCGATGACGCCACACTTTAGCGACGGCGATATTGGCGCATCAAATAAAGATTGATTGATTAGCCGTGCGGCTTTTCACGATCAAATGTCAAATGTCACCGTACAAAAGTGTTTAATCCTGCTCCTGTTTGCTTCGTTATTTCGGTAATGTTTATCCACCTCAAACAGTTACTTTGCATGTACATAACGCTGCGTTTTCATTTGTACCACTATTTATATGTTTATTTGTTCTGCAAACTTGTACAGGGGCTTTTGTTTTGCTCATATTTATCCTTAATACAACTTTGCAGCCCAATTGTGAAGTTTTTCATTCAGTCAACAATGACTGTAATTGATTTCCCTCGATTCATTCGTTTTTCTATGTTATCAGCTCCACTGAGACGACTCACACTTTTGTCGTAGAACGCTTATGCCATTACTTTTCCAATTCAGTTTTCAACGAGTATTCTATTTTGCTGTGCATAGCCTGCGATCTCAGTACAATGGTTATAATTCGTTGGATATTTTTGATAATTCCCACGAATGTTTTTTTAACACTTAAGTTTGAGAGAGCTTGGAAGGTGTGCCTCGGTTTTTCTTACGGAATGACTCAAAAGCCCATTTTTTTAATAACTGGTAAAAGCCTTTGCAGTAAGTAGTCGTGTACAAGCCGATAAACACAGTGCATGAATGTAAAATGAAAGATCCCACGTGCAAAATTCAACGCGCGTCATCGTTGAGTGCAATAATTAATTTATGAACGTCTAAGAATACGTCTCTGTTCAGATAAAAATGGCAGAATCTTGCATTGTTAGGTACATATGAGTTTAAAATAATTCTTAGGTTATAATCACATGTCTCTGGATCCTAATTCTGGTGAAATAGCCACGTTAACAATAATTCTAATATTCTTGGTTCTTTCGGTAAAGTCAATAACACAATAACAATTGTTTTATATTTGTATAATTTTATTATTTCCCTTCTACGTGACTTTACCGAAAGAACCAAAAATATGAATCCCTGCAGTCACGAAAGCTTTAAATCAAAATAATTATAATGTCCAGTCTTGGTCACGTGACCCATGGAGCCGAGCTCGACGTCAGCGCCAGCGCTCGAGACAGCGCTTGGACATTCCACATTCGCTTTATTTTGATTAACAATGTTTTTATTTTATTTTACATAAGTGTGATATTTTGGGTGTGCAACCGAGGCATTTTATATCTTAATAAACGTTGCGTGTGTTATGAAATGTCACTCTCTCCGTGCGTGTTGATGTTGGGGATTGTCCGAGTCTCAAGGCTTTACTTTCCATGAGGGTTAACACATTCCTCCTGCGGAGGGAGCTGGTAGGAACGTTGGGTTGCTCGGTCAATGGCCAGGGTCAACGGCGGCGTGGTGTATTCCGCAAATATGCCCGACTGTGAGGGCGGGCACAAGCCGGCGTGAGTAGGTTAAACGTTGAGTTTTATAAGGGCACCACGGGGTGACCAGCCCCTCCCCACCCAGCCCCACCCCCCACCCAGCCCCACCCCACCCAGCCCCTCCCTCCCCACCCAACCCCTCCCTCCCCACCAAACCCCTCCCCACCCTCCCCACCCAGCCCCTCCCAACCCTCCCCACCCAGCCCCTCCTCACCCTCCCCACCAGCCCCTCCCTACCCTCCCCTCCCCACCCAGCCTTTCCCTGCACGACGGGCACAATAAACCCCTGTGGGCTGGTGTAACCAGGAGGTTCCTACCAGTATTATGCGTGCGTTCTGCTGGTTCAGTGATGGCTCACGCAAGGACTGTGGAGCCTGGGCCGGTGCCACCTCTACATTGTCTCAGCGTGCAGCTCCTGCCTGAAATCAAGAGCTCGCTGTTATCGAATAATAATGAATAATTAATCAGTTCGATTATTTAAATAATTTTGCTGCTATAAATATCCACATGATAAGCCACTTGGTTGAGCTGTCATTTGTGGCCGGGTTGCTTCTGAAAGAGAAGCTAATAGCTCAGTGGGCTTTACCTGGTAAGATAACAGAAACAAGTTTAGTGTTATTGGTATTAAAGTTATTTGTTTACCTTTCCTATACTTTGCACTCCTATCGTGCTTTTGTAATGATTGTTGTTGTAACGTTCTGACCGCCCCTACTGGACATCTGTGAGAAAGAGCTTCATAGCTCATCGGATTCCTCCCGCAGCATAAATAAACATTCTGATTCTGATCAGTTCTGAATGATAATCATTATTTGAACTTGTAAAGCGCACAGTATTTACTCGCTCTCGTCGAGAGGCATGAGGAGGAGCCACGGACAAGCAGGAAGGCAGCCACACGATAAGTTGTCGCCAATATTTTCCCAAGCTCTGCGCTTCTCCATATATTAAGGTGTTATCAGCGAATTAATACGTGTTTACACGTGGGAAGAAACTGGAGCATCCGGAAAAAACGGAACCATGAGAAAGGGAAACACTCTATGCCATACGGACGGAAACAGGTGGAGTCAACTTTTTCTGTCCTGCCTTCTCTTGGCAAGTCAGGGTATGAATTATTACTAGCAGCATGTAGCATGGCATTGTACTCTGTGCATAAATGTCCCCGGTTCGGTGATTGCTTGTCTCTAGCCTGTCTTCACGTCCAGTGGCGGCTCCTGCAAAATCTCTCAGGGGGGGCAAATGTCTGGATGATTGATAAGGATAAGGTAAACCCATGCAATGGATAAATTAACAGCTTAAGCATGTAAAGGCAACTTCACTTCTTTAATATTAATGAAATATAAAGTGACTCTTACAATACATCTCCTTGTTTGTTTCTATACTCACTATTAATACAATCCACTCAAGTTTCTTTTATTAAAGATTCCACTAGGTGGCGACAAATTATATTGTTGGATGAAACGTGCTTACGTATGATGACGTAAGCACGTTAGGGCGAGCCCTCCCAGGGACCATAGAGAATGCATTGCTGCGCCCCCCGTTCGAAAAAAAACATCTTTGAATGTAAGTCTATGGGGCCACTCGGGGCGATTCTCAGCCGGAGTGAAATCGCCCAAAAAGAGGCGGTACTCCACAGAACGTGACATGACGCTGATTGGACTATATCCAGAGGCACAGTGACGGCTAGCGTGACTCTGTGGTTGAATGACATTGGTGGTGCGTCGCCCAATCGCCCTAATGAAGAAACCGCCCCTGTTCACGTCTCTTTCTACGTCTTCACGTCTCTGTGTATCTTCCTTTAGTTCAGCAAAGTGATGATGACGATCACAGGTATGATGATGTTAACAGTGGCTTATAAACAATGATGATGAAAGTTCAGAGATAAACAATGGCGATTCAGAACAAGATGGTTCAGAATCCCATAGTGATGCTGCTTCCACGCATGCTGATGGCTCACAACAAGAGAATTCAGATGTCAACAAAATACACAGTGACTCGTCTCTTAAGGTCAGGATGAGTAGCGAGAAACCTTGACAATAGCTGTGTGGCTTGCATAATGAATTGGTGAGGAGGTGGTGGTAACGGGGATGGTGCGTCGTTAGTGTCGTAGTTAGGTCAGGCGTAGTAGCCCCACAGGAAGATATTTCCAACAAGGAGGAGCATGGCGCTGGTGTTGCAGATATGTTTCCACTTCCAGTCCTCTTCAATGCTTGTTAGGATGGGTGGCGATGATGATGACGATGATGATTTAGACCCAGTGAGGCCACACATCCAGAAAAGAGCTCTCTTCCAGCCTCGCGGTCCTGCAATGAAGCCACCCCACAAAAAAATAACACGTTGTTTAAACACAAAACCTGCATCAGCCTAATGCATCCCATGTCAGCATTTCTGTTGGAGGCTCAGGGGATTCACAATGGCCATGTCAGAGATACTGAAACCAGCACCGCTGAGGGCCTGGCTTCAAGTCATGGAGGCTTAAAATGGTTGTGTCGGAGACACCGAGCCAGCATGGCTAGCTGAGACTATTGTTTCAAGTACTGAGACTGGGTATCTCTTTCTATCAGAAGGTTCACAATGGCCATGTTAGAAACATCTGTGTTTCAGCTGCCAGTGATTAAACCGAGATGATGGTCTTAGTCCTGCTACCAAATGACCGAACAAGTCGAGGCCATAATATAAAAGCTTTGTCTCTTGATTCAACACATCTCAGCTTCGAGGAATGCATATTTAGGTGCGATTGCTGTGCGAAAAACGCTCTTTGTGGAGAAAAATAGAAAGGAGTGACACCCAATGTGGATAAAAAAGGATAAACTTCAAAAGTCGTCATTGGGGCCATTCTGTGACTCAAGAGTTCCGCATTGAAACTCCATTGAATCGGAAAAAATGCACCCAGCGGCATCATTGGAATTAGTGGGTGGGAAGAAACAACTAAGATTCACTCCGTCTCAGCCCATTATCGACGAGTGCCGCCATCTGTTTACAACTTCTGTTTAGACTCAGCCTTAGCCTCGGCTAGCCTAAGGTTCGCCTCGTGCCACCTCGATCATAATTTCTATTCAGCCTGAGCGTAAAACTGTGCAGAACCTATTCTTGTGCAACCCCAGTGTCAGCCTTTCTATTTAGACCCAGACTTGGCCCAATCATGTCTAAAGTCGAGACCAGTGATGCCGCTGTCAGCATGTTTTTTGTAGATCCAGCCTTTAGCCGTGCGCCCTCTCACCTGTGCTTTCTGGGGTCTCTTGATCAAGATCTCCAGTTCGCTTGTGGGTGTCCCCGGAGAGGCCTTTTCCATCGGACACCTCGCAGGAATTGCTTTGGGCAGCCTCTTCGGGGCTCTTCCAGTTGCCTGTCTCGTCAGGGAACCTCGCATGGATTGCTGTGGCCACCCTCCTCGGGCTCCTTAGAATTGCTCGTCCCATCGGGCACCTCATAGAGGTTGTCGTGGCCACCCTCGGCGTCCTTGGAGTGTCGAGTCCACCAAGTTAGGCGGACAAGCTGCAATGCAGGATAAATACTGAGAAGTTTGTTGCATGTACGATGTGGATACTGAACTTCTTTCGCACCATACGTAACCAAGCACGGTAATTCGGAGGTGCGGTGGGAAGGACAACAAACTAAACGCAAAAAAGCGGTTCTGAAGAAACGAGTTTGTCATTTTAGACGATGATTTGAAAGTGCAGCACAGCTCCCAGTGGCTTCCTATCATCGGAAGGGGAAGAGCGTTCCAGACGGCCGCAGAAGCAGCGCATCTGAAAGCGCACCGCTCGATGATGCGGTGACCGTCTTTGTTCGACGGCTGAGCAAAAAGCCGCCGCCGTTGCTGCGAGGATGACCGGAGTTGCGCGAGACGGTAGTTTATGCTGCTTGACGAGATCAGCAGCGAGGTGCCGTGGTTCTTTTGTGGACAAGCACTTTGCGTGCAATGAGTACGACCTTATAACGCATTCGTTCGGCAACCGTATTCCTTAACGACGCGACCCATGAAACACAGAGCTCCTCTCTAGTAGCTACACACCTAGGCCGCACGAGTCGTTCAGCTTGCTAATGATAAGGCTTTAAACTGACAAGTTCAAGAGGTCAAGGGTCAAGCTGCAGTGATGTTTTGTCTTGCTCATTTGTTCTGTCTTGTGTTATTTGCCTCTTTTATCCTTATTGACCACTGGTATAATGTATGTATATTTTATAATTGAAGTCTCGATGGGCTTTCACCTGGTATGCAGGAGACATCGTGGGAAGTCTGTTTCAGATTCAACGGTGCCAGGTTACACTTATCTGGTGTGTGATTTTAAACAGGGGGTTCTAGGCCTTTGTAAATGGTAGAGCGGATAAGCGGAACCAGATCTAATTCGCTGCATCAGGTCAAAGGCATTTTTTTTTCATATATTCAACCTCGTTTGGTGAATTTAATCTTCATGAGCCTTTTAATTACACCTCATGAATGAAAATTGGTGGAGGGATCTAGGCCAAGTTTTCTTTTTTTTTACAAATGTACGGATGAATCGCTTATAGAGCAGATACGTGCACAAGATAAAAATGGGAAACATTCACATTTCGTACATGTTAATTATTTGGTACACGATCAACTGCAATACAAATCACTTTGGGTTTTTATGAAAACACAGAAGCAATACCTCAACCCGTGCACTTTTAAATTACCCAGTGTTCATGCCATTAATTTAGTGACTTTTTCTGAAACGGAATTGTGTCTCGTGAAAAGCCACAGCAGGCAGCGTGCACTGTGATGTTATGCATTGTTCTCACGGTACAACGCTAGTACAGCCCTTTTGCCGATCCGAGGACCTCCTGCGATGACCTGTATTCGATGTATTCCGCCGAGTGTCGCTTATTTTGTAAAAAAATAAAATTCTCAACAATCAACAATTCACTGCTGGGAAAAGGCTTCCTCTCGAGTCTTTCACGCTCCACCACCTCTCACTGCCCTCCCGTCTGGTGCCTTTGTCAACTCTCACAGTCGGCACAGTGTGCCATCTCATCTTCCGTGTACGGCATTTCCTCGTTATTCACGTGAATTAGCACATTCCACAGATAATTATTATATTGGCCAACGAAAACCTATTGATTACATGACAATAAGCTATTGATTACATGACAATTATAGTAACGCATATACAATTGGTTATAACATAAATAAAATCTATATATATAAAATCGTGCATGTCTGTCTGTCTGTCTGTGTATGTGTGTGTGGATTTCGGACCATACGCACTTTCATTGGACGGCGGTTGCCCCTGGCAACAGCTAACGACGCCTTCGCCGCTTTCATTGGACGGCGGTTGCCCCTGGCAACGAGTAGCAACTTTTCGCCGCGGGGTGGACGCCATTTTTAATAGCGCGGGGGGGGGGGGGGGACCGGCACCCGTACCCAGCGTTCGCCGGGTGGGAAAATCAGGCAAGGCGGGAGGCTCTGCACGGTGCTAGGCCTCGACACCCAACACGCCACTCTGAGGTAAATTCATACAAATTTCACGTCCTCTACAGAGTGGCAAGGGAGGCAGAGTGGCGAGGGAGGGACTCAGCCTCAAAACGAGTAACTGGTGTGGCGTATTAACATCGCCACTGGGGAGACAAAGGCGGCCGGGCGTGGTGGATACAAGTCCCGGGCAAAGCCAGGTCATGACTATGTGTGTATGTGTTTATGTGTATGTCTGTGTGTCTGTATGTATGTGTGTATGTATGTGTCTGTATGTGTTTGTGTGTATGTATGTGTGTGTCTGTATGTGTGTGTGTGTGTATTGTGTATGTATTTGTGTGTATGTATGTGTGTGTTTGTATGTATGTCTGTGTGTATGTGTGTGTGTATTGTGTTGGCTGGGTCATGTAGCCCGCATGCCCAGCCACCGCATGCCTAAACAGCTTTTGTTCGGCCGGATCGAGGGGGCTAGACGGGCACGGCACGGGCTGGAGAAGAGATGGAGTGATGTGGTACAGGAGGACGTGGAGCTGAGTGGACTTGCCGATGACTGGTACCAGCGGTGTCAAGATCGGCCTCAGTGGAGGAGGCTCGTGAAGGACGCTACTGGGCAGTTGGAGGCAGTCGCCCTCCAACAACAACGGAGGGCGGAGGAGCGACGCTCACAACAACGAGCGGAGCGCCGGGTGGCTAAAGCACAGCAAGTTGGCACAGTAGGGGGCACAGGTGGTGCATCAGCCAGTCATCTCGGTCATCTCGGTCAGTCGACCAGTGGCACCTGGGTCTGCCCCGTGACCTCCTGCCAGCGGGCTTTCGACACTTCACGTGGCCTCAAGGTGCACTTGGCCTGGCACAAGCATCGTGGTGACGTCACCGCCACTTAGTGGCGAATGGCGGTTGTTGTTGTTGTGTATTGTGTGTGTGTCTGTGTGTGTGCGCGTGTGTTGTGTAGGGGGAACGGTAGTGTAGTGCTTAGCGTGCTGCCTGTATGTGTGTGTCTGTGTGTGTGTCTGTGTGTGTGTGTGGTGTGTGGGGAGCGGTATTGTAGTGGTTAGCGTGCTGTCTGTGTCTGTGTGTGTGTGTCTGTGTGTGTGTGTCTGTGTGTGTGTCTGTGTGTGTGTGTGGTGTGTGGGGAGCGGTATTGTAGTGGTTAGCGTGCTGTCTGTGTCTGTGTGTGTGTGTCTGTGTGTGTGTCTGTGTGTGTGTGTCTGTCTGTGTGTGTGTGTCTGTGTGTGTGCGCGTGTGTTGTGTAGGGGGAACGGTAGTGTAGTGCTTAGCGTGCTGCCTGTGTGTGTGTGTCTGTGTGTGTGTCTGTGTGTGTGCGTGTGTGGTGTGTGGGGAGCGGTAGTGTAGTGGTTAGCGTGCTGTCTGTGTGTCTGTGTGTGTGTGTCTGTCTGTGTGTCTGTGTGTGTGTGTCTGTGTGTGTGTCTGTGTGTGTGCGCGTGTGTTGTGTAGGGGGAACGGTAGTGTAGTGCTTAGCGTGCTGCCTGTGTGTGTGTGTCTGTGTGTGTGTCTGTGTGTGTGTGTGGTGTGTGGGGAGCGGTAGTGTAGTGGTTAGCGTGCTGTGTGTGTCTGTGTGTGTGTCTGTGTGTGTGCGTGTGTGGTGTGTGGGGAGCGGTAGTGTAGTGGTTAGCGTGCTGTCTGTGTGTCTGTGTGTGTGTGTCTGTGTGTGTGTCTGTGTGTGTGCGTGTGTGGTGTGTAGGGGGAACGGTAGTGTAGTGCTTAGCGTGCTGCCTGTGTGTGTGTCTGTGTGTGTGTGTCTGTGTGTCTGTGTGTGTGTCTGTGCGTGTGTCTGTGTGTGTGCGTGTGTGGTGTGTGGGGAGCGGTAGTGTAGTGGTTAGCGTGCTGTCTGTGTGTCTGTGTGTCTGTCTGTGTCTGTCTGTGTGTGTCTGCGTGTGTCTGTGTGTGTGTCTGTGTGTGTGTCTGTGCGTCTGTGTGTGTGAGGAGCGGTGGGTGTAGTGGTTAACGCTACGCTGCGCTACCAACCCGGCGAACCCAGTTCGATTCCCGCTCATGGCCACCACCGGTCAAGATTATTTGAACCTCCCCTAGGTCGACTCAGCCTCAAACGAGTAACTGGTGTGGCGTATTAACATCGCCACTGGGGAGACAAAGGCGGCCGGCCGTGGTGGATACAAGTCCCGGGCGAAGCCGGGTAGTACAGCTAGTAAACTTTAAAGTATTAAATAATCATTTACAAACGAACTTACCTTAAATGATGATGCTATGCATCATATCTCATCACTTCATCTCATCACTTTCTCACTCTCTCGATGCAACCGTGTAGAGTCCCAGATGCGGTTCGTGGATCGCCAACATCGCGGAGAGCAAGTTTGTCAAAAACGAGGGAATACTGCACTTCTCTTCTTCCCTCGCCTTATCCATAACCCGCCAACATGATTCTTATTCCGCCGCCATCAGTCATCTGATGTCCAAGTCAAATGTCCCTGTCCACATCCGTTTCAACGTTGTCACTTTTCTTTACGAAGGAAAATTCACCACTGCTTCCTAAACGCATGAATCTGATACCAAATAGAAAGGACGTATACAAGTTTCCCCCTGTTGGCAAGTAGGATACATTTTCTGGAAGGACGTACCGTATGAATGTAATAATAATCTTAATCTTTAGCATTTACATGGTGCGTAAATGCTTCAGTAACTCAAAGCGCCTTACATCACATCTCAACATTCAAAGGGGGGCCCCCAGTGGCAGCTGTCCCTGTGTGGCACAAGGCTGACTCCGCACCTGCCTGCAAGGAGGGCATTACGGTAGTCTGCCAATATGGGGATGGTGATGATTATTGCTAAGTGAATTCCAATTGAGTAATTTGTGGGAACATTTTGGAATTTGGCAAATTTGTACCTTGATGCCAACACACAATCGCCTACCCGTTTCAAATGGCTTCGTGGGACCATTAACGCCCATTGTTCAGCAGACAGTATGTATTGATCCTGCAGTAATAACCAGGGCGACCTGCTGGATTCCAACCATAAATGTCTACAACAAGCAGCCGGCACACTACCACTGGGCCATGCCACCGCCACATTTGTATCCGTACCATCGATTTTTTTTAAACAACTATGAATCTAATTAAAATGTACTTATTTTATCCAGGGGAACTACACTAAGATATATGACTCATTTTCAGGAGGGTCCTGCGTTGGATTTTTATTTGAAGATGTTTCAAGCCAATTAATGATGAGTGTTTATACGTGGAAGGAAATTCTAAACTAAACAATTTTTTTTATTTTACCAGGTAAGGCCCACTGAGCTATACAGCTCTTTTTCAGAAGTGACCTGGCCACAAATAATAGCTCAACAAAATGGATTATCGCGTGGAAATGTATATAAAACAAATACTAAGTCGGAGCAAATCCGAAACTGGAACACCAGGAGAAAACCGATGCACGTGAGGGGGCAACACTCTATCCCCATACAGATGGAAACAGTTGGCGATTAGTCAACGCCCACAGAAAGGGAGTTTCACAACGTCTGTGCGATCCACCAACACTACCCGTAGTGCTGGATTACAGGTCACGTGCATAGCCACCACTGTCCCGGCTGAAGCAGCACAGCACTCATTCAAACGAATTAAAAGCGAGCGAGCTGGAGAGGCGCTGCGGAAAGTGTGACCTCACGTGCTGAGGGTGTGGGGCGGGCGTGGCGAGGCTGATGATGACCCCGATGAGGGCCGTGAGGCCGCAGAGTAGCAGAGCGAAGTAGAGGTAGTGCATGTCGCGCAGCACGGGAGGGCGCCGGTCGGCCTCGCCGCACGCCGGGGGAGCGAAGGAGAACTCCAGCGCCATGCGGGACACCCCGATGGCCAGGCCGCACATGAGAGCCCAGAAAGCGCCCTGCTCGCACACGCCCCATACGCACGCGTACACACGCACGGTCCGCTTCTAAATACACAAGGTGGATGAGGGCCTCCCCAATGCTGTGCGGGTCGTGGGCGTTATTCGACCGTTCTCTTAAGACGCTGGTCAGTGTGGATTGGTCAAGGCGTTGAGCGTAGACAATATATTTGTTTATGCATTGCCCTCTGCTGCCCACCACTTAATCCCATGGACATATGAAAACGAAGGCTTTGGCGATCACCTCTTCAAGCATCCCGAGTGATATGGTCATACGTTGCCCGCATCGTAAGTCGAGGGTTAGGCCAGAAATATTTTAATCAGAATCAGAATCTTTATTTATCCTGGAGAAATCCCACGAGATATGAAGCTCTTTTTCACAGATGTCCAGCAGGGACGGGTCAGATAGTTACAAGCAACAAACAATAATCCTGAACAAAATCCCGAATTTTTGCCAAAGCTTTGATGAGGGACACCGGGACAGCCTTTGTGAAACCACCGGAACTCTTCCGGCCCAATAAAGATGTTTGGTGGCCTTGTCACACAAACCGGCTCATTCATCCGAGGCCAGAAGATGGCGAGGAGGAAGATCGCGGTGATCGGAGGAGCGAGGAAACTCGTCACCGACTGGATGTAGTCAAAAAGTCGGCCACTGTTCGCCACTTGAACAACCGGCAGCCACAGAATGCTGATGATCACCAGCAGCAGCACGAACAGCCTGGGGTACACGTGTGCGTTGAGTGTGGGAGCGTGAGTTATGACAGTATCAGCGCGCACGAGTGTTGGCGAGTGTCTGCGAGAGTTGGTGTGCATCAGCGCCTTACGATTGTTAATGAGTGTCGGTGAGTGTCTATGTTGGTGAATAGCTGTGAGCGTGGCGAGCATTGGTTCGCGCGAGTGTGATGGTGAGTGTTGGTGCATGTCTGTGATTGCCTTTGAGTGTTGGTGTGGGGAGCGGTGGCGCAGCGGTTAGTGTGCTGCGCTACAAACCTGGCGACCTGAGTTTGATACCCGCTCACGTGACATACCAGTGACAATTGTATGTACTGGTCCTGGGCCTCCCCTAGTACAGAGTGTAAACATCGCCACTGGGCAGACAAAGGCGGGCAAGCGTGGTGCTGGCCACCCACCCCCTGGTGCACCATACTGGCCTTCATAGGTGCTCCCTAACAACACTTGCCCCACCAGTCTGTGAAGGCTATATGGGGGAATCTTGTGTCTTTGTTTTTTATGAGTGTTGGTGAACGCTGTTGCAGGTCCCTACTCACCTCCCCACTACCATAAGCTCCATCTCTGACGCTCGTGGCCGGAATCTCTTCCACACGTCTATGGTGAAGATGGTGCCCGAGGAGTTGAAGATGGACGTGAGGGATGACATCAGTGCCGCCACCATCACCGCCATCATCAGCCCCCGCAGGCCTGCAGGCCAGGGGTCATGGGGTCAACAGGAAAGTTCAACATTCATAGGAGTCACGTGGTCATGGGATCATAAGGTCAGATGGCAAATGGGAGTCAGATCAATGGGTGACTAGGGTCAAGGTGTGAGGTTATACATAAAGAGGGCACTAAGTTCAAAGGTCGTTGGGTCACTGGCTAAAGAGTTGCAACAGGTTAGATATTGTTTTATTAGGATTAAACGTTATGGATCACAGTAAATCGTATGGACCGGGTTAGTGTTAAGGGTCAAACCATGGTAAATAATGTCTTGTGGGCTTGAGTTTTACCCCTAGTTTCAGGCAGTGTTCATGGAAGGCAGGAGTGAGGAACCTCCGACCCAACAGTTGGACATGTCTCGTTGTCACATGAAATCTGCCACATCAAAACCGCCTAAAAACGACGTTAGCCACGCTAATCGCGTACTCAATGGCAATATTTTCAACCTGGCAGCACAGCATTTTTAATTTGAGTGGTGTTATTCGATTTTTTTGCATTTTGGCAGCAATGTGTTCGTTAGCTCAATGCCAAAGTCGAGGTCTGCTAGCCACGGCAAGAGGGCTTAGTGCACTAACCAGGTAAAGTCTTATTAACCAGGTAAAGTCTTAACTGACTGTGATGTTTCCATCCTACCTGCCGATGTCAGCTGTTATTTCCGACTGTGTGTCTTTCTCTCTCTCTCTCTGTGCATCTCTCTCCAATCTATTCTCTAGTGACCCGGGTGCTGCTGCGTGGTCCACTTTCTGCCCCGCCTCCTCCCCCCAACTTCTCTCTCCCCCCCTACTGTCGAGGCCTACTATATCACCTCGTGCCACGGAAGATCTCTCGCCTACTTCAGCAGTTTTTTTCTTGCTGTGGTTGTCCCACCTGATGACGATTGCTTGTGTTGCGATCGAAACGTCGTGATCTATTATTTTTCTATCTACGTGACTTTACCGTAAGAACAAAAGAGTATAAAATAACCTCTTGCAGTGACATAAGTGAATGGGACGCGTGTTAATGTGTGCCCCGACAAAGGTACAATATTTAAAAGTCCTTGACCCTCAGTAGGGAAAAAACTCCCCTATCCCGGTTTCGGGAGTTTGTGTTTGGGCCATTGGTTAGGGATTGTGGTAAACAATGACCTCCTGACCTCGTGGGCATCAGCTCCAATGCTGGTTTCTTGGTAGTGTTAGGGACGGCGGTAAACGGTTACCTGTGGGCATGAGCTCCACCACGAGTTTGGGGTAGGCGACGTTGGAGCAGCCGACCCTGGAGCCACAGACTCGTTGGCACTCGTCCGGAGCGACGCACGCAACCTCGTCTAGGGCAGCACAACACGTCGGGTGCCTCTCGTCAAAGATGCACCTCGTTGGAGACACGACCCTGTCTCGCAGGCTTCTTCACACAAATTAGAATCATAATCTGAATTGAAATTGGAGGAATCCGATGAGCTATGAAGCTCTTTTTCACAGATGTCCAGTGTGGGAGGGTCAGCAAGTTACAACAGCAAACAATATTTAGAAAACGATAGGAGTTCAAAATAATAGAAAATGGTAAGCAAGTCTCTCTCTATATATAATTACTTATCATATATGTCCAACTTGATCAAGATTGGGCAAGGCAGAAAAAAAACTATTTACTTGAAGCCTAAAATACTGACGATGTTAATGGTGATGATGATTTTCAGGTGGCTATGATGACGATCCTAATGCTGCTAATGTTTATAATACTGCCCATGCTTCGGATGGTCACGGTGGTAACAACGTTGATGCAGCAGCTATTGATGATTCTGAGTAGTTGACTATGCTGCTGCTGCTGATGATGACGACGATGTAAACGCCCATGGTCCCGATGACGATGCAGGTTATGATAATGACATGCACAATACCAGGGAACATCGCTCTGCTCATCATCCCGGGCCAGACGATGAAGAACATGGGCAGGACCTTGAGAAAGCCGGCGAGAACGGAGCCAGCCTTGGCGTGCGAGAGCGAGCGGGCGGAGAGAGAGCGCTGCACAATCACCTACGGCCACGTACAGCAACGATAACAACACCTCACTTGTTTTGAGGTCACACTCATTGGACACAAAGTGCTTGCCACAAATGAACCACAATACCTTGCTGATCTCGCCAAGGAGCAGAAACCATCACGCAAACTCCTGTCATTATCTCAGCGGTTTTCGGCTATCCATCCCAACCTCCTCCACCACCGCTATCAACACCGCCTCCTCCGCCCCCACCTCCTCCTCCGCCCCCACCTCCTCCTCCAGCCCCGCACCTGGTCCGTGCACCAGTTCCACGTGGCGAGCACTGTGAGTCCGAAGATGAGTCCCGGCCAGGGCAGGTCCCCCTGGACGGGGTCTCGGAGGAGGTGGAGGGCATCTGCCCGGGGCTGGTGGCACGTGGTGTTTGGCACCGTGACGTTGGGCACGGCCGCCATGTAGCTACGCGCCATGCCCTCGTACCCGTCCAACTTCACCAGGCCTGGGTGCGGGAGCAGGGGGTGGATGACAGTGGACGAGGGTGGATGTCGATTGCCATTGATACATATGGAGAGTGACCCCACTCCCCTCCAGGATATTTTAGGCCTGGTAGAGCAGGTGAGGAAAGGTCAGCGTTGGACAATGAGAAGGGATGGCGAAGGGTCAAGAGTGGACAAATGAGGGACGAGCATCACGGATGTACAATGGTGAACGATGAAAGACGAGGCCAAAGGTAGACAATGACGGACATGGGTAAAGTATGAACAAGGGCTGGACATTGGCAGGCAAATGTCATAGGTGGACAATAAAAAAACTGTTCAAACTAAACTTTTTTTTATTTTACCAGGTAAGGCCCACTGAGCTATTAAGCTCTTTTTCAGAAGCTACCTGGTCACACATGATAGCTCAACGAAGTGCATTATCATGTGGAAATTAATAGCAGCCAAATACTCGAAATGCATGTTTGTAAATGTGGAAGGAGGAGCCGGAGAAAAATCCACGTGACCACGGGGAGAGATACACCACAAACTCCAAATATAAATGTGGGAGGGTCAGGATCGAACCCACGACTTCCTGGAAACTAGATGAGGTAGTGAACATCTTGCCAGAGGAGGGCAACGATAGGTAATGCTGGACAAGAGTGGACAAATATAGATAAGGGTCAAGTGTGGGCAATAATTGACAAGTTCGAATGTAGAAAGTCATAGACACAGGTTATTGTGAACAATCATCACCGGTGGAAAGTGTATACATTTATAGCTGTGGCTGAACATAGATATGAGAGCACAATGCTGAATAATGGTACAATAGGTTTTCACTCGCTGGACTACAGCAAAGCAGGATATGTGTGCGTGTATCTGCTGTATATTTGTGTACATGGCTGTATATGTGTATACGTGTGTGTATGTGCTCGCTAACAGCACTTGCCCCTACAGTCTGTTAAGGCTATACGGAGGATCTTTGTAAATGGGGAGAGGTGGTGCAATTGTTCCCCTGGGTCGACTCAGCCTCAAAAGAGTACCTCGTGCAATGTGCAAACATCGCCACTGGGGAAACGGGCAGCAAGGTGCGGTTCTAGCCATCCACCCCTTCAATTGCCGTGCCAGACTTCAACAGTCTGTCAGTGCGATATGGGAGATCTTTGTCTACGTGTAGACGTGTGTATATGTGTGAATATATTGTTTGGTCACCTGCAGGATGCAACCAATATCCTTCTAGTGACGATATGTTAACTCCCTCGCCTGGTATGCAGGAGGTCGTGGGTTCAATCCCGACCCCGATGCATGCGTTTGCATGTTTTCCCCGTGGATTTTTTTTACTGGTTCCTCCAGTTTTCCCTCCACATTTAGAAACATGCGTATAGAGTATTTGGCTGCTAACAATGTACACGTAATACGCCACTTCTTTGCGTTATCATTTGTGGCAAGGTCGTTTCTAAAAAAGCTATATAGCTCGATGGGCTTTACCTGGTAAAATAAAAAATAGTTTAAATAGTTTTAGTTTATTCACCTTGGACCCCACTCACATCCACAGCAGCCTGGTCTCGGCCAACTATTCAAAGTTGTGGGTGAGGATTTTTGCATCACCTCCCACCCCCAACCCCTTCGGATGCTGACGGGAAATGGGTGAGGTCTGTGGCTCATGTAGCTAGTTCAGCATTTGGACTTTGGATTTTAAATAAATATAGTATCATTGCGGAATATCATAGCAGATATGGGCGTGTTTTTTAAAAAGAGGAATTGTACAAAATGCAAACCAAGGAAAGCGGTTGCCGTCAAATTCCTGTTGCCATTATTAGACCACGGGGATTTGTTCGCATGGTTCGAGCAGTGGCAGAGTGGTTAGCGCGTTACGCTGTGGACTCGACAAACTGAGTTCGATTCCCGACCATGACCAACACCGGCGTCGAGTGAAATCTCAGCCAGTCCTCGACCCACCTCCACTTCATCAACCCGCAGTGCCGGACTAAGTTAGTGCGGGGGCCTGTAGCATATGTTACAAAGGGGCCCTACATAAAAAAAAAAACATAAATATGAAAACACAACATTTTTTACTTGCATAGTAAAGCAGTTGTATTTTTTCATTTGCTATACAGCCAAATATTACGACAAATCGCTAACCTTAAACACCCAGTCGTTCATAAAAGTTGAAGGTAGTGTAGTACTATAGTAATAGAGCAAGTGCAGAATCACTGAACCAGAATTGATAGCTTGAAAGCATTTAGCGCGGAGCCCTTGAAAGTGCGGGGCCCGTAGCATATGCTACCTCTGCTACTAGGATAATCCGGCACTGCCAACCCATACTGACCAATGTGGTGAAGTATGATTGCTTCACACACTCAGACTTGCAGTTGCTAACTCTTGGGAGGAAAGAAAACAAAGTTGCTTTTATTGTCGCACATATTTTAGATAAGCAAGGGTTTGTTGCAGAAGTACCTGCTGAATATGATAGAATTTGCTACTTTGGACCATGGGCAAAGGTCTCTCAGCAAGAGGGCCTCTCGTAAACACGGAGGCTTCAGTGGTAAAGCTGTCGAGTGTGCAGGCGGTGCAACTGCGTCAGGGCCCACAGGCCGGAAAGGCCTAGGATTTTAGCTGAGCGAAGCAATTGTCGATTCTCACCACTCACAATGGGGACTATGGAAGCTTCCTCAAATCCAGAATCGCCAATGAAATGCATTTGCAATGCCAGTGCAGGAATCGGCCCAATTCTACCCCGATGATGGGGTGATGTTCATCGTGTGTGGGGAACAGTGGAGTTGTGGTTAGCGCACCATGCTATGAAGGCAGCACCCCAAGTCCCATTACGAGCCACGGCTAACGCCAAAGGCAAGTGATGTCTGAACCGGTTCTAGGCCTACCCTAGGTTAATTCAGGCATAAATGAGTGTCTTGCTGGAGTGTGTAAACATAACAACTGGGGAGACGAATGCAGATGGGTGGGATTGTAGCTACACCGCCCATTTGTGCGCCATGTCAGCCTTCATAAGTGCTTGCCAACAGCACTTGCCCCAACATTCTACGTAGGTTAAGTGGGGACCTTTGAACATCGTGCCGCGTGAGTAGAATTCGTATTTGTTTACATATACTCACCAATTCCCATCAGAATCATTGCTCCCACAACCATGATCACAGTCTGGAGTGCATCGGTGTAAATGACAGCAGCCAAGCCTCCTAAACATGGGGAGATGCGGGGTGGAGAAGGCAGGCATGGAGACACAGGAAGACATTGGGTGAAGGGAGACACGGGGACACACGGGATGGAGAAGGGAAACATGGAGATAGGGAGGCAAGAGAAAACATGAGGGTGTACAAATTCACCATTATTCACAACGAAATTACAATACAAATTGACGTACGTACATGTGTATTGCTGAATATGTATGTTACACACACAGGTATCTAAGTTCAATTCCCAGCCGTGGGTACCACCAGGAGCAGGTGGTATATGATCCTATTTAGTTACTATTAACCTTTTTTCATTTTACCAGGCAAGGCCCATTGAGCTATACATGTAGCTCTTGTTTAGAAGCGACCTGGCCACAAATGATAGCCCAATAAAGTACCTTATCATTTGTACATTTACAGCAGTCAAATACTCTAAAAGCATGTTGGTTCTAAATGTGGAGGGAAACGCCGGAGGACCCTGTTTCTGGCTCTTCCCAAAGTCAGCTTTCAGGGAAGACAAGCTGGCCAAACCACCCCTGCGTGCATCGTTCGGGCCTTAGAAGGTGCCCATTCTCTCAGCACTTGCCACAAACATATGTATAGTTATACGGGGGTGTTTGTCTTTGTACTGTTGTTATACATATATGCGTGCAAGTGTATGGTACATTTATATCATCATGTATAAGGATATAAGGAGCAACAGTGTATCAGTTAGTGCGCTGCGCTACGAATCAGCAACCCGAGTTCGATTCCCACTTATGGCCAACACAAGTGGCCATTATCTAAACCGGTCCTGGGCCTCCCCTAGGTCGACTGAGTCTCAATTGAGTACCTAGTGTGATGTGTAAAAAGTCATTTGGGAGACAAAGGCGGCCGGGCGTGTTGCTGGCTACCCACCCCCTTGTGTGCCGTTCCGGCCTTCATAGGTGCTCGCTAATAGCACTTGCCCCAACAATTCTGTTAAGGCTATACGGGGGATATTTGTCTTTTGGGCACTGTACGTGTATAAGTGTATAGGTACATTTACATGTGTAAGTGTATGGGTACATGTGTGTCTGTACCGGCAATAGTGTAAACTGCTGTCACAGCGATGAGCACCACAGTGGACAGGTAGATGTCCCAGCCCAAGGACACCTTAATGAAAATAGCTCCAGCAAAAATGTCTGTCTACAGCGGAGAGACAAGACAGACGGGCGGGCTGACGTTGACATCGGCAGATGCAGCATCGTCGGGGCCTGGAGCTTAACATCAAGAATCCACGATGGGCATGATGACCATGCGAGCCCAGTTACCGACATGTGATGGGATTGCACAAGTCACAGCCTCAGTGCCAGTGGCGCTGGAGGTGTGGCGGTGATGGTCTGGGGAGCGGTTGGTAGTGATGGTGGCGATGGTGTAAAAGCACCATCCCCTGCACCTCCGATTAGCACGGTTGGCTACATACGGTGTGAAAGAAGTTCAACATACATACAGAAGCAGATCTAGAACTTCCCAGGGGGTAGTGGTAGTCCTAAATTGTCAAGCTTTTAAAATAATGCCCTACACTACAATTTTTTAAAAATATAAATACAATACCAACTTTGGGGTTGCCCCCATCGCCTCGCCCCTGCATCTGCCACTACGATGGTGTAGATATTGGCAACAACAGTAGCAATGATAATGGAAGAGAAGGCGATGATAGTCACGGCAGAGAAAGGAAGTGATTGTTGTTGATGGTGGTGGTGAGGTGTAGGCGTTGCATGCGCGTGTGTGTGTGCGCGCTGCGCGTTAATCCACCGATATCTTGGTGAACACGTAGAGGGCCAGCGAGAGCCCCGACAGGTAGAGTGAGATTCTCTGCCCTCCGAACCTCCGTCTCAGGTAGCCCGGCATGGTGAGCACGCCGGCGGCGATGTACACCGGCACGAACACCCAGCCCAGGGCCACCAGCACCCAGCTGGCCTGCACGCCGCCGCATGGGGGGGGGGGGGGAACTCGTTAGAAACTCCTAGCCCGGCGTACAAACCAGGGCACAGCTCCCGCTGTAGGCCTCTAAGAGCACAGAGTCTGTTCTTCTATAACGCGTGTTTTCATGGACATAACGCAATCGTGCGAACAGAAGTACGTCGCGCGAGTAGGAATAAGCAGGTCGTACGGCTGCCTCGGCCGATCATCCACGTGGGACGGGATGCTGCTGGATGCTTCTAGATGCTACCCACGCGCCTCAGTCTTTGTTCAGCCTGCGTGCGGGTCTCACGTGTTATTCATCATAACGCGATTTTTCCATAACGCGGTGTTCTTCAGGAACGCAACTACCGCGCTAAAGGAGAACACACTGCACAGCACGTCGAGTTATAGTCAGTAGCGTAACTAGCGTGGGGGCAGAGGGTGCCTTGGCCCATTCCCGTTGGTGGCCAAAGCTACGAGTTAGAGCCCCCTTGGCAACCACCATGAGGTACGTTTGCAACAGTTATTCAGGCCCCAACCTGACCGATCACCGCACACCGCTGAGCTGATAAATGTAGCTACTACCGCCACTGGTTCTAGTTGTACTACGTCGCACCTCCGATGAGCATGCTGGGCTACATACGGTGCGGAAGGAATTCAAAAAGGTACACGCATAGCCGACCGTCGTGTACCCACCCCCGAGCAACCCAACTGCCCACACCGTGTGGAGTATTTGTGTGTAACGGTGTGACTGTCAAATTCTTTAGATGCTCACATATTCAACTTTTTTTTTACTATACAAACGAAAAAAATCTCACCATATTGGTTTAATAACAGCTGCCTTTGAGTGTAAATATATATAATAGTCAAAATTTTGGGGGAAATGGCCCTTCTTAATATCACAAATGGAAGAAGGGCCAATGGTCAAAACATCACCTGATATATATTTGTTCCATCAGCACTGGGGAGACAAAGGTGGCCGGGCGTGGTGTTGGCCACCCACCACCTCGTGTACCATGCTAGCTTTCATAGATGCTCGCTAACAGCACTTGCCCCAACAGTCTGTTCAAGGCTATACGGGGGATCTTTGGCTTTTCTTATATGTGCGTCCCAATTGAGACTGATTACTATAAAAATAAATCTAAATACATAAATAATTGCACTTATGTACAGGATAGTGTCAAAGTACAAAGTTTCCTATAAATTCCACAGCAGATGCACACCGTCTGGTTTTGTGGTGCCGTGTGCACACAGATCCGCGTGTGAATGTGCACAACATTTCTGGCTGGTTCACCTACGTTGAATCCTGCGTGTATCTCTTTGGATTGTGTGCGAAGGGCTCACAGATAACTTGACAGATCTGCACATAGTCCCATCTCCGAGAATGGGCAGGATACATTGCTCGAGGTCAGGTAGCCTGCTTACTCAGGCACGGAAGTCTAAGTAAGCAGTGATGCGTACAGCTACCTTTCCAAATCAAAACCTGGGAACTGGGAGGAAATCCCACGCAGAACAGGGGGAGAGAACATACAAACTCCACACAGGAAAACGCCCAAGTCGCCAATCGAACCCCGGGGGCCTGTTGCTCTTGTGTGCAAGTGTGACCACTGTGCCGCCTCCCCGTGTGTGTCTGTGTCAATGTGTCAACGCGTGTAGTGGTTCACTGCGCTGCGCTACAAATCCGGTGACCCGAGTTCAAATTTTACTCACGGCCAACACCACCTGACGATTACCTGAACCGGTCTTGGGCCTCCCCTAGGTCGACTCGGCCTCAAAACGAGTAACCTGACGCGGTGTGTAAACATCACCACGAGGGAGACAAAGGCGGCCGGGCGTGGTGCTGACCACCCCCCCCCACCCCCGTACGCCGTGTCGGCCTTCATAGGTGCTCGCTAAAGTCACTTGCCCCAACAGTTTGTTACGGCTACACGGGGGATCTTTGTCTTTGTGTGTGCACATACGTTCCACTCAAACCCTCCAATCGCGATTCCTCCGGCGGCCCCTGACCCCGCGAGCCCGATGAAGAGGCCGCTCCCCACGTTACTGGACATCAGCGAGGCTCCGATCTGTCACTCACAAGGCATCCAAAACAAACGCGGACACACAGTATGTGCGTGTAGTGTAATAGCATCGGCTGGTGGCCAACAGCGGCAACTGCGGTGGACAAACAGTGCACACGCCGGTGAGCAATACACGGTGGAACTGAGGTAAGGGGCCGTCCATAAATTACGTCACGCACCTTTTGAGGGGGGGGGGGGTCAGACATTTGTGACGATGTGTGAAGAGGGGGGGGGGGTTGAGAAATGTGACGTCACATCAAAATGCGCAACTTTAAATAAATATAGACAACACGTTCTACTTAATTAAATAGACTTTTTAATCAATATTTTCTCCTACAACATCAGAGTGCAGCGGCATATTAAATACGCACTACAATGACAATAGTTTAAAGAAGATTTGAAGCATGTTTCATTTTTTGGGGGGGGGGGAGGCAAAGCTTTGTGACGTCATATTTGAGGGGGGGAGGTCTGACTTTTTGTGACGCCGTGTGACGAGGGGGGGGGGGGGGTCAAAAATCGTCCAAAATCGCGTGACGTCATTTATGGACGGCCCCTAAGGGTCACGGAGGGCCCCATCTGGAAGCCCCTGGAACCTGTTAGTGGGTTCGAGAAGGGAGGCGTGGCCAGGGCGGAGTCAGGCCACGCTGGTCACATCAAAGGGGCCGAGAGTGGGAGCCTGAGGCTGCCGGTTCTGGGATTGTATCGTCTTGTTGTTGCTGTCGTCTCGGCGCCATCGTCCCTGTTGTCTTCACTCGACATTGCGCTGCGAGATCGTTGTTGGCTGTCTCCGTCAACGCCGTCGGTGTTAGTCGCCTAGTGTTGTGCATAGGCTGTAGGGTGTGCATGCGAGGTCGTGTGTGTGCTCAATAAAGAAAGTGCCTCTACAAACATCGTCTCCGACTCACTGACACTGCATATGTATGGGAAAATAAGAAAAGGTTTGACCCTTTCTGGAAAAGAAACAGGTGTTAATATGTTCAAACACCAAAGATACACCTTTCGCACGTGAATGTATGTTGAACGTGCTTCGCACCGTACGTGGCCAACTGTGCTAAGCAGAGGTGCGGATCATACATACACAGAGCGTACCTGCAAAGAGCATACGTGCACACAGGGTACATGGATACTGTACCCGCCAGGGCTACCTCGTGGGCTGCAGACGGCATTGTTGCACTGCATTGCTGGGTGCCCCGGTGGCTAGGAGATGTTAACTACCTCGCCTGGTAATACGTCGTGGGTTCGATCCCGACCCTGACGCCTGTTGTATATTTGGAGTTTTCGGTGTCTCTGTCCCAGTGGTCGTGTGGATTTGTCTCTGGGTCCACTGGTTTTTCCCTCCACATTGAGAATCAACATCACACGTTTATAGTGATTTGGCTGCTATCAATTCCACGTGGTGATGATGACGATGCTAAGCCATTTCGTTGGGCTATCATTTTTGACAGCCAGGTGGCATCTGAAAAATATCTCTACAGCTCAGTGGGCCTTACCTGGCTCAAAACAAAGTTGAGTTCGTTCGTAATGCTGCTATGCCGGGTGGTGGTGGTGGCTGTGCACGCCTGTAATCCAGCACTGTGGAGGCGAGGGTTGGTGGGTCGCACAATTGTTGTGAAAACTCCCTCCCCGTGGGCATCAAGGTTCTCATAACCCTCCCTGGCTGGCGAGCAGAAGGGGGTGCAGCAGGTGGCTTAATTTCTATCTGTTTCCATCGGTATGGGGAATGAATGTTACCCGCCTCACACGTGTGGGCTTCAGTTTCCTCAATATATTTTCGCTAACCACTTCAAGACGCATACCCACGGATACCAAGACAAAGACTGTTGAGGCAATTGGTGTTCGCAAGCACATATAGAGGCCAGCATAGCACACGAGGTGGTGGGTGGCCAGCATCACGCCCGACCGCCTCTGGCTCCCCAGTGGCAATGTTTACACAGTCGTCATTTAAGGCTGCGTCGACCTAGGAGAGGCCCGGGACCGGTTCAGATAATCGTCACGGGTGTTGGCCACGAGCCAGAATCGAACTCAGTTCGCCGGATTCGAAGTGCAGTGCTTTGGGTGGCAGATTTGTGCCCGAAATGCATCACGTGTTAAACAAAAATGAAAAGAGACTTGACACGATCACTCTTCACAAATACACATGCCTACACACACGCATGGACACGCATCGGTACAAACACACATACATAGAGTTTTAACACAGACACAAGGGAGTGAGCGAGTGAATGAGTATGGTTGGACTTACCGGGAGCCATGTCATGGTCCTACCGGCCAGAAAATACCCCCCCACCGTCGAGCGATTCGTCCGGCACGAGGCCTGGGGAGGGGGAGAAGACCGGCAAGAGAGTCACAATGGCCAAGTCAAGTTCCCAATTACCATGTACGTATTCATGTTGAACTTCTTTCGCTCCGTATGTAGCCAACCGTGCTAATCGAACGTGCGGGGGAAGGGAAACAAACTAAAGACAAGAAGCAGTTCTAAAGAAACGAGGTTTTTATTTACATGTAAAAGTGCATATCTCCAGTAGCTTCCTAATATCTGGAGGAAGAGCGTTCCAGACGGCCGCAGAAGCACATTTGAATGCGAGTGATGTAGTGGCCATCTTTGTTCTATTGGTTAGCCAAAAAGCTGCTGCTGCGAGGGTGACCGGAGTTTGCGTGATGGGTTTTTGCTCCTTGACGAGATCAGCGAGGTATTGTGGTTCATTTGTGGCGAGCACTTTGTGTGTAATGAGTGCGACCTTGTAATGTATTCGTTTGGCAACCAGAAGCCAACGCAGCTCAGCGACACACTGAGCCGCTGCCACCATTGAAATAATGGATTTTTTTTATTATATTTCATACGTAGAGGCTTTCACGTCCAACATTATGATTCAATGGGTTATATGTTTGTGCACTGGGTCTGGTTGTCTTTTGCAAGGGCTTCCTAACATTGACCGTGTCTGGATCATAATGGCCATGTTGGAGACACTGCACTGGCAACACTGAGGTTGTGGGTTCGAGCCTTGGGTCTTCGTGTAACATGTCGACGATTTTGTTTATACAAAGACGTGGACATATTGTAAAATAATACAATTGCATGTATGTTGAACTTCTTTTGCACGGTACGTAGCCAACCATATTCATCGGAGGTGCGTATTTAGTGTCATGATGGCAAATTGAATATCGCGATGGTGACATTGCAAATCATACTTAATGTCAAAAATAGCACGAGGACGCCACAGAAAGGATAGAAAGCCGAACACGATCAAGGGTAGAGAGGTGAACAACAACAACAACACGAACCAGGCAGGGTGATACCGACCACTTCATCTCGTGACATCAGAGAAAGTAAAAAATAACAGTAATGAAATAAAAAGTTTGATTTTATCTGGCATTATTCATGCAAAGAGCATCACGAATTCTGAACACATCGCAGCTGTAAGGAAATGATGGCACGGGCATCTCAAATATGACAAGCCAATGCTCCATGAACAGATCAACAACATTGAAGGTTTTAATGTCAACAACTTGGGCTCGCATTCATTGCTCTGTCCTGACGGAGTGCAGCAGATATTCCTGCGAGGACCCATGCGTGTGTAATGACAGGGTGCCACCTGTCGGCCTGAAGGGGTATTTGTGGTTATGGGCATGTCACGTAATGTCTAATTATGAGGGGGGCGTATCTGGGGTAAAGGTGTAAGGCGGAGTCAGTCGGGAAGCTCCGGGAACCTGCTCGAAAGTTCTGGAAGGGGGCGTGGCTGGAGGCGGGGCTTGGCCGCGCCGGGGTGTATATAAGGGGGACCGATCCAGAGGTTCGGTGCTGTTGCGGGTCCTGGGTCCTGGCTGCGTTGCTGTTCGCCATCATTTTTCTTCGTCGGCCAGTTACGTGGCCGATCTTCTGCAAGGCTAGATTTGAAGCTTTCGTGACTGCAAGGATTCATATTCTTAGGTTTTTTCGGTAAAGTCACATAGGTAAAAAATAGCTGTACAGCTATCGTGCTGTGACGGTTCCACCTGAAGACGGAAGCTTGTGTTGCCTCCAAAACGTCGTGATTTTTTATTTTACATTTACTTTTATTAATTTAAATTTTTACCTACGTGACTTTACCGAAAAAACCTAAGAATATTCTGCAAGGCTCTCATCGTCGCCGTCGCTGCGCTAGTCACACAGCTTTGTAGTTGGACGCCGACGATGGGGTTGTGTAGAAGGGTCGGCTCTGTATAGCTACGTAGAATGCTACATAGATGTATCACCCAGTGTTGTGCTTAAAGTGTGAGAATAAATAAGAAGCCTTCTATACGACGCGTCTCGGAACTTGCTCACTACTCATGCACCCATGTTTTTTAAGGCTTACCTATGAAGGAACAGCGTACAATATGTTTTAACTACAAGCTCATTGGCTGCACAGTAATCTAGCAGCCTCCTACCATTATCATTGAATTAATCTGCATCGTCCGTTCCGATCACGTTAATATCCCAGTGTTAACAGCAAGACCCACTCGGGCAGTAAAGCTGCACGAGTATTTGGGACAATAAATCACAGAAGGCTTGACTCATCAAGTCTTGCCTGTGGTCCCTCCATGGATCGTTCTCTTTGATGGGGGTATCGGCAACCATCACCAATGCTCACATTGCAGTCTGCTAAATAAAAAGGTGTTGGAAATTTCAACCCGATCTACGCCTTTGCATTCTTGATGTCATTAAGGACAATTACACTAGTGAGTTGCCAGGGATTTGGTTTGTTGTGATCTCCTACCCACGATCATTAAGGACCTTCGTGATGATGATGTGCAGCCCTGGTAAAGCTGCATGGCTAAGAATTCGGAGAAGCTAAGTGGATTCTGCCAATAAATGATAGCAGTGGTGTCACAATCGACCTCTGTGAAGGAGGCTCGTGAAAGTTGGTACTGCGCGACCGGTCGAAGCCACTGTACAGCAATAACTGGATGCAGAGAAGCAACACTCAGATGCGACCTGGCCACAAATGATAGCTCAACGAAGTGGCTAATCATGTGGACATTTACAGCAGCCAAATACTCTAAATGCGTGTTTAGAAATGTGGAGGGAAAAACCGGAGGACCCGGAGAAAATTTCACGCGACCACGGAGAGAGAGACACGCAAACTCCAAATATACAACAGGCGTCAGGGTCGGGACCGAACCCACGACCTCCTGTATACCAGGCGAGGTAGTTAACATCTCGCCACCGTGGCACGCCCTCACAACAATGGACAGAGCATCCGGCATCTAAAACCGATCGTGGGCACAGTGAAACGTGCAGGTGGTGCATGTGCCAGTCAGTTAACCCAGAGCATCTGGGTCTGTGCTGTGATTTCCAGACAGGGAGTGTTCTTGGCACTTCACAGGTCTCAAAGTACGCTCAGCCTGGCATCATTGCCGTGGTGACATCCCCATCATTTAGTGGCGGCTGCTGCTGTTTTTGTAGTGTGCGTGTCTTTTTGTACAGTATTTGTGTCTATGTGACTGTGTACGCATGCGTGTGAGTCAATGTAAGGGCAGTATGTGTATGCAAGTGTCTATATGCGTGCATGTCCATGTGTATGTCGGTGTGTGTGTGTCGGTGTGTGTCGGTTTGTGTATGTCGGTGTGTCTGTATCGGTGTGTGTATGTCGGTGTGTGTGTGCCAGTGTGTGTATGTCGGTGTGTGTGTGCCGGTGTGTGTGTGTCGGTGTGTGTATGTCGGTGTGTGTATGTCGGTGTGCGTCGGTGTGTGTGTGTGTCGGTGTGTGTATGTCGGTGTGTGTATGTCGGTGTGTGTGTGTCGGTGTGTGTATGTCGGTGTGTGTATGTCGGTGTGCGTCGGTGTGTGTGTGTGTCGGTGTGTGTATGTCGGTGTGTGTATGTCGGTGTGTGTATGTCGGTGTGTGTATATCGGTGTGTGTATGTCGGTGTGTGTGTGTCGGTGTGTGTATGTCGGTGTGTGTGTGTGCCGGTGTGTGTGTATCGGTGTGTGTGTGTCGGTGTGTGTATGTCGGTGTGTGTATGTCGGTGTGCGTCGGTGTGTGTGTGTGTCGGTGTGTGTATGTCGGTGTGTGTGTGTCGGTGTGTGTGTGTCGGTGTGTGTATGTCGGTGTGTGTATGTCGGTGTGTGTGTGTCGGTGTGTGTGTGTCGGTGTGTGTATGTCGGTGTGTGTGTGCCGGTGTGTCATTAGCGGAGCGGTGGGGTAGCGGTTAGCTCGATGCGCTACGAACCCGGCGGCCCGAGTTCGATTAGCGCTCACGGGCGACATCGGTAGCGATGATCTAAACAGGTCCTGGGCCTCCCCTAGGTGGACTCAGGCTCAAATGAGTACCTGATGCGGTGTGTAGTAAATATCACCACGAGGGAGACAAAGGCGGCCGGGCGTGGTGCTGGCCACCCATCCCATCGTGTACCGTGCTGGCCTTTATAGGTGCTCGCTAACAGCACTTGCCCTAACAGTCTGGTAAGGCTATACGGGGGATATTTGTCTTTGTGTCATTAGCACGGTTGGCTACGCACGGTGCTAAATAACTTCAACATACGCTATACATACATTCAGAATCAGAATCCCTTTAATTGTCCTGGAGAAATGTCTGTGTGCGTATCTAAGCACGAAGTGTCGACAGCGTATCGACTGGATGTACTGCATTGAATAACTCACCCACATCCCAACCACCATCACCAGTATGAAGTAGACCACCAACACCACCACATCCACCGTGTCCAGTACAGCGTAGTCCATCGCGAACCTCCCACGGTTTACCTGGGTTCTTACACACCACCAGTCTCTACACTTACACACCCCACCCGATACACCTGCTCGCTTAACACGCCTGCACGGACACAGCTAACACACCTGCCTATACAGCAGATAAAACACCTGCATGGAAATCTGACAATGAACAAACCTGTCAATATACATGACGCTTAACACGCCTGTACAACGCGCATGTCTATATATCCAAAGACTATCATACTTATTTGTATAATTTACACTTCGCACACCTTCATAATCACCCGTCTACCTAACACATGACACTCCTAACACTCTCTGCATAACACTTTTCTTCTATATACCTACCACAAAACACACACACGCATCTGTCTATATTCTGAGTACATAAACACACCTGTATGATCACCTGTCACACCTGCCTGCCTCACGCTTAACACCCCTTGTCGAACACACTATTCTGTCTACCTAGCGCCCAACACACCTGTCTAACCGAACACGCCCGTCCACTGGACGCACATCCACACACCTGTGTCGACCACTCGACCACACGAACACACGAACACACGACCACTCGCCCAACAAACCCCCTGGAAATGTTCAGTCGCCCCCAATAGCGGAGGCGGGGAGATATGGAGATTGGGGGTCAACGGAATGAGTTGAACCTTAACCCCCCCTACTCCTGGGAGTGCTGCGAATTAATTACTAATTAACCTCCCTATACGTAATCAATTAACCCGTTCCATCGGCTCAGCGGCTGTGCAATGTGCGAGAGAGACAAATACGGATGAGGTGTTGATAAAAATGTGAATTCAAACACCCAATTTGGCGGCTTCTGTTTGCACCTGCAAGTTTTGAGGCTGAGCGGATCTAGACGCTGGACAGTGCACGGGTGAGGAAGAGGTAGGTGGTAAGGCCCATAGACCATGGTTATACTGGTAGGAACCTCCTGGTTACACCAGCCCACAGGGGATTATTGTGTCCGTCCGTCGAGGGTGGGGAGGGGCAGAGTGGGGAGGGTGGGGCTGGGTGGGGGGTGGGAGAGGTGGGGCTGGGTGATGAGGGGCTGGTTACCCCGTGGTGCCCTTATAAAACTCAACGTTTAACCTACTCACGCCGGCTTGTGCCCGCCCTCACAGTCGGGCATATTTGCGGAATACACCACGCCGCCATTGACCCTGGCCATTGACCGAGCAACCCAACGTTGCTACCAGCTCCCTCAGCAGGAGGAATGTGTTTCGGAAGTCTCCCTCGAAACAAAGTAACCCTTGGACCAAATTGGGCTTTCACCTGCTCAACAAACGTCAACGATCATCCACGAAACTTTTGGTAGACGATTTCTTTATCGGAGGGGTGGCAACTCATACCCGTTGCCGGCCCTGAGTCGGCGGTGGAAATGATGACCGCTACGGACTTCCCCACAATAGTACACACATCATCAACGACGATTGCCGATAAGAATGACGATGATGATGAGGCTGGTTCTGCTGGCAATTAAGACGAGGATACTGCGCCGAGTGAACCCCAAGCCGGGATTTGAACTCGCGACTTTACCACTCAGCCGACCGCGATGACCCCCTTGACACGCAGGCTGATTTGAAGATCTCATTATTGCACTTCTTTACACAGAAGTGTCTCGCCGACTTCGCCGACTCTTTGTTTTTTCACCGAGGGCCCTGCCAGGTGTTTTCGCCGTAGGGGGGCGGGGGAGGGCAATGATTGCTTTCCATAAAATCCCAAACGAGTATCTTTTTCAAATTTACCAAATTTGGAACATCACACCAAAAATGACTCGTTCTTTGATAATTACGTCACAGGATATTTAAGGTGTAATGTATTCTTAGGGTGAACACACGCGGCAGTATTAATCAGCGTGGCCACTGGACTTCGAACCACGAGCCTCTGCAACAAGCGGCGAACAACGCAAACGTTCTGGCAATGTCCCCTGGTGGCACGTCGCTGTTTATAGTTGCGATGTCAAACTCACCGAATCCTGCAGTCACGAAAGCTTCAAATCAATATTCACCGAATCATCTGGAGCAGTGTGCTTTGTCAACAAATGGTTGTTGGTCAAATCCCGATTCAAAGCATATCCTGCTTAAGAGAGCGTGGGACAGCGCTTATCTCTGTTGGTGGAAGTAAACCACTGGTGGAAATTCCTTGTTCTCACAGCAGGGTCAGTCTATCCACAGGTCATCCACCACAGTTGACTCCCAACGAAGAGATCTCGTGTGTTCTGTTAATGAATCACGTCCGTACGTGTGGCCACTTGAACTATTTACCCAATTGGAATTTAATAAAAAATTAACAGCTTCAAATAGCGATCCAGTGCTTATTTGGTAACCAAAAATCTATATCTTCACCGGTTCCGTGTCTCTACCACAGCTATTAGAAGCCTCTTGCGAGAGAAACAGACCCAGGGCTCGAACTCATGCTCTCAAAAATAGTGGTCCAGTGTCTTTCGCGCAACCATCAGAAAATCAAGGTGGCCACTGTGAACCCAATAGGGCCAGCAAGAACCCGTGGTATAACCCCGACAAAAGACATTTATTCAAATTCCCATCGGAACGTGCCGAGAACGGACGAGTATCCATACTTTTAATCGCAACTACGTTTCCTAAACTGCACAAGTACAATATTGCCCGAAATGTCAAGACGAGCTGAATTGTTCTATCACATGACCGGTGTATCAACACATGTCAATAACACTGCTATCAAAGGACGAACTATAACAGACGATGTGTTGGGTCATACGGCATTTCATGGCACGTAAGAAGGTCCATTGCGTAGAGCGTCGCCCATGGTATGTTTAATTTAAAGGCCACAGTGTGAGTGACGGGTGTGTTGAGTTTATTTGTTAATTGTGCACCGCTGCCAACGCAGCAGCAACATCACCAAGTACGTCGATCTGTTTTATAAGACAGCGTAGCAATTTTTTTTCACCGAATTCGAACAAAAACATGTCTCTTCTTGTTATTTTGGTTGCGACCCGAGCTTAGGGTTCATAGAGCCAGGCTTAGGACAGCTGTATAGTTTATAGAGCCAGACTAAGGCTGTTTTTTTAACCAACGCTTTATTTGTTAAACCCCTAAAGTAAATTACATTCATCCACTCCAGTCCCCCAAAGCCTATAAACAACGCTTTACATCCATAATTAAAATGTGAAAAAGGCAAGCGACGCAAACCAGAGACAATTAAATTTTCTGCAGAAAAGCCATGTCCTAAATAAACTTTAAAATTAATAAAACGTAAAAACAAATTCAGTTGGTTACATTTTTTGCATATTTATACCAAAAAAAAACTGTTGAGCAATTTGTGCTTCAGCCACGTTAGTTGGCTTAAATGTTCACGCATTGACGATCACAGCCGTTTCAGTTAAGATAAAGATTCAACAACCGGACCGAAAGATAGAAATAACGTATATGCTCTCCCCTGGTTACGGGACGTCAATCATAAGAGATAATACATCTCAGTGGACTGTCGCCTGGTTAAATAAAGGGTGTTGATCACTAGAGATAATGGAACTCGAAAAAGTTATCGCTTGGTTAAAGGACGTCGGTCACAAGAGAGAATAAATCTCGTGAGGCTCTCGTCACAAAATAATGAATCTCAATGGGCCCTCGCATGAATCAATAATTCAATCACAAGAGACGATCAATCTCAGTGGGCTCTCACCTGTTCAAGGATGTTAATCGCAACATTGAATCACTCTCAATGGACTCCCACCTGGTTAAAGTATGTCAATCACAAGAGATAATATATCTCAATTGGCCCTCAAATGGCTAAAATAAAGGGTCAATATATATATTAATGAGATTATATCAATTTTAGGAGATTGAATTTTAAACGCAAGCCAGATCTGGATCCTGACAAATACCCATCGGCATAAAAGGCTGAAAATGGGTCTTTGGCACTAAAAGCAGTTTAAAACTGGGTTTAAGGGATATGCAAAATTTGGCACACTTGCACATATATAGTACATTACACACACTCATATACATACTTCCAAATATTCATATACGTAAACAATCAAATACAAAAACACACATTCATGCACACACACTCAAAACACATCCTCAACTATACATCCACACATTCATTACAGTTCTCAGCCATATTACATACACACTATATAGATATATACCAATATATGTACCAATATATATACTCATTTACACCAATTAGCATAGCCATACTCAATAACATGTAAATGCACACATACATTCAGACACATGCTCCTATACATACTCACAGATGGTACACCCTCGTATACTTTCACGATACAAGAACAAAAATCCCCCAATTATTCTCAGACTGGTTCGAGCAAGTTCTGTTAGCGAGCACCTATTTAGGTCGGCATGGCGAACATGAAGGTAGTGCAGCCAGCACCAATGCCTGACCCCATCATTGCGAACCCGCCCATCCTGGACATCCGTGAAAGAAAGAGCTTCATAGCCAATCGGATTCCTCCTGCAGTCTATATAAAGATTCCGATTCTGATCTTCTCTCCACAGTGCTGATGGTTTACACACTCGGGTGTTTATTTAAGGCGAAGTTGACCTCGGGGGATGCCCAGGACAGTTACAGATACCACTTTCCACTGTTTGGTATCAACAGTCAGGAAGCAAACCCAGGTCACTGGGAACTTCGCTCAGTTTTCAAACCGCTGCGTACCCCAACACACGTACGCGTATACAGCAAACATGCACACCCTAAACCACACAATTCTTTAAAACATTAATCTCAAAGCTTTAAGACAAATGTCTGTCGAAAACAATCCAAGAGGCCATCAGAACATTGCTACTCCATTCTCAGGCAAAGGTTGTCTGGGTGTGTAAATGTAATCAATTTAAAACTTGTGCCACACTCTGGAATCTTTAAACAATTGAATAGCTAGATTTAAAATAAAATATACCTGCCAAAATTGGGGTTGTGAAAAAAAACATTTTAAAAGAGTCCTCGGTTAAAACCGACAAGACCCTGGGTTCAACCGACTCCTCGAGCTTGGGGTCACTTGCTGTGTGCCCACAGCCAGTTTACAACAACAACAAAAACCCCACGTGCCAGGTTCACAACTGGGCTGACGCTCGGATTCCAATAAAAGCCAGCACCAAGCTGAACACGGTCCGTGCGACTCTCACTCTGGGCTGCGTAGCTTGCTTGGCTGAGCAAGCTACCCACGCTTCAGATGGGCGGGCCTGGTAAACAGCTGTGACACAGGGGTAATGGGAAAAAAGAGATGTATGCCGTGAATGGCATTTCTCGAATTAAACTAACTTCACGATTGTGTTAAAAATAGGCACGGCAGAACATTTCCAAAATAATGACTGCTTCCCTCTGTCCGTAGAGAGAGGAGAGGGGGGGGAATGGGGAGGAATCGAATCCATGGAACCATGTTTTGGGGCAAGGGCCGCGCCGTGTCAGATCATTCCTGTAATAGCCGAGTTGCCAACTGTTGTGGGAATGCAACATCTTTCTCCCTGAGGAGGCTCATCATGGTTATGTCAGAGGAAGTGAACCAGCACCAGCCATGAGCACACCCGGTTGCCATTGGTAATGAGTTTAAGGCTTCAGATTGGTTTAACAAAAAAATAAATGAATTTGGGTTGAATGCAATTTTAGTCACTGTTCAGCCGTGATGACTCGTTCAGTCGAAATCAGGGAGAACATGAAACTGAACTGTAGGATAGCCACTGAAGGACATCAACACGGGTGAAACGTCTGGAATTCAGGTGGCTCACAAGTCAAAGGGCTGAGAGCTGCCATCACTGGACTCCTGGGTTGGAAACCAGTCAACCCCCCTCTGTGAATAGGCTTGATTTTCAATTGTAGCGAGTTGTTGGTTTCAGCCTGGTCACCAATAACTGCATGAATAAAACCACATTTTTTTTTATTTGGCACTCACGATGGTTAAATTCCAAATCAGTGTTAAAACGATCAGTTTGCCTTTTCACGTGATGGACAATTCTCTCTTTCAGGTGAAAAAGATGTTCTTCTCTGGTGGATAAGGAGATTCCTGAAATAGTTCTGTGATATCTGCTGAGAGTTGTATGTCAGTTCTGTTTCATGACGCCGATTGTAAAATTAGGATGAAATTGGGGGAAAAGAAATGAATCCATTAATATTGAAAACATTAAACCAGGTTAATATTCAACACTATTTCCAGACGTCAATGCCTGGGTGCCTGAGAATGGAGTGGTGTGGTTTTAATGCCTGCTCTTAGGAATTGACAAATGTTTGTAAAAATAGCAAACCAAAACGCGATGGTCAAATGAAAAAATAAATTGGCAATTTTGTGTTTCCATTTGAAAAGTATTTGTGTTAAAGGCACGTCGATGTTAGGGTTTGCGGTAAATCGCTTAGTTTTAAAGGCAAGAGAGGCCCTTTGCAAGGCTCAGAGCTGCGATTTCATTGCAAAAATGTGCGCTTAATTTGAATAATTTGACTGTTTTGATATACTCCGGTCGGGTGTCTCTGGGGTCAGAGCAACACGACTCAAGGAGTTGGGAGATTGTGAGTTCAAATCCCCAGCCCATCATCATTATCATCATCTCCTTCATCATCGTCGTCATACCTCCAGGGGTCTATAGAATGAGAAGCACCACTTTTTCAATCAAAAACTGTGACCATCATATGGACAAAAACTGACCACTGGCATTGGGAATGTGGAATTTGCATCTCTGGCTTAGAGCCACCAATGAAGATGAGTACCACAAGTTGGACACAAATTGGAGCACAAAATAGTCACTTTAATTATATTTGTTTAATTTATTAAGTTTCCTATTCCTGCTCAATTAAGCCCGATGTCTGGATGGCTCTCTCATGTGGTTCATGATGGCTGAGTCAGAGACACCGAAGGCCTACGTTCAAGCCCTGGGTGTCTCCCCAAGGGGCAGCAACTCACGTCGATTGGCAGCCTCAGAGACAGAAAATCCACATTCCTATGGCCAGGGGTCAGTTTATCCACAGGACAATATTATCCAGATCATGATTATTTATGTTACTATGACTTTGAACACAGCCTTCCATCTGCTGTTGTTGGGCAGTACAAAACTATGCTGCCACCCTCTCTGTCTTAGTGGAGTTATTGTGCAGTGTCTCTCCTCCGTGGAGGGCTTTCAAGCTGAATGTAACTCGGTAAGGCAGTAGGCGGACACGCCGAGGCAACACCCTCCTGTGAATGAGTTGCGGGACTCGGAGAGAGGCGTTCCCGAGCCAGGGAGGGAGAGGGAGGCGATCAGGGATCAATGTCGGTGATGTCCGTGTCACCGATTTTCATAGGGGAACCCAGAGTCTGAAAAGAACAAAAATGCACAGACAGAAGATATATTTACACACACACCACCATCATCACCACCATCAGCAGATGCAGGTGGTCAAGCCAGATAACCACGTCAGGAGAAGCGGAGTTGTAATATCGCTTTGATGTCTCCTTCGAATTTGTGGATCGGGCATTGCGTCGTTATATGTTGGTCTGTTCCGGAAGATCACAGTCGCGCACTGAAGAAGGTTTTAATTTTCTATTTGTGCATCAGGTATCCGCATTTGCCATGGTTTGTGCGGATGCGGTTTAGGGTTGACCATGAGCTCCATGGGAGATCTGCATTGGGTCTTTCACAAGGTGTTTGTTTGTGAGTTCTTTTGAACTCCATTCTGCTCTCAAACCTTCATCGGTGTCAAACTCGCATTGTTGAAGGTTAAGCACATGGGTTCAAAAGGGCTTGCATGATAGGTCGCCTATTATGTTTTCTATTAAATGCAGTGTTATTGATGAATGTGTTGAGTTTTTGGGCTATTTGTGCTTGTGCACCGCTGTCAATACACTATCAAATGAACTAATAAATCTAATTGATGTGCATTTATGGATTAGCAATTATAATGCGATGTGCTTTTCTGCGTCTATAAACTCGGGTTTGCGGGATTCGTAGCGCAGTGTGCTAACCGCTGTGCCACTGCTCTCCACTCATACAACAGGAATACACAAACAGATTTAAAGCGAATTTATACTCACACAAAAGACCATCCTGATGGTCATGTCAGATCATAATGGCCATGCCAGATTTACAACGGTAATTTCAGTGACCGTGAGCTAGCACCAATTCATTGCTGGGTCTGAGTCACAAGGCTGGGTGTATGGTAGACAATTGATGAGTCACAGGGCTGGGTGTATGGTAGACAAAAGAGCATGGGTCAGAGGCCGGAGGAACCACAGGCGACCAAGGAAGGCAGCCACATCATGACCTGGCTACAAGCAGATGCCCAAACTCTGGTGTCCTCTATATATACTAAGGTGTTATTGGCCAATTAATGAATGTTTGCATGTGGCAGGAAATCACAGCACCCAGAGAAAATCCACACCTGCGAGGGAGAAACACTATCCCAGAGAAGTCCACATTTTTGCTATACAACCTTCCTCCTGGCGAGCCAGGATACACCACATCCTCGACATAAACAGAGAGTTTCACAAAATATGTGCGATCCACCAGCCCTCGCCTTCAAAGTGCTGGATTACAGGCACCCACAGCCGCCGCCACCACCACCACCACCACCACCCAGTAAAGAGCTCCAAGTAAAGAAAAAGCAAAAAAATACATTCTGGGAGTCACCTGTTCAGAGGCCCTCTGAGTGGTGTCTGTGGAGCCCTCGGCCTCGTCCTCAAAGACACTCGCAGTGCCGGTTGCGTCCTTCTCATTCAGGAGGGCTGTGATGCCTGCCAGTGTGTCCTGCACCCACAAACATTATCACAGCATATCAATAATCACACGTGCGAATAATCTGCAAATAAAACAAGTGTTATAGACATCATAGTAATAATACACTGACAGCCGTAGGCATAAGCACGGCAGAGGTGGCATCCACTGTGGAGATTCGGCGATATGGAGATCAGCCCATGTGCAGGAGCGATATGGATTGTAGCACAGCGAGGTCAGGCAAGATGGCGACAGCTTGCGGAGGCAGTCATCCAACAGTGGACGACTGGTGACGATGAACGTCATGCAAATGCATGACGTTCAATCAATCATCAATCCAATATTTGACACGTGCCATGTTCAGCAAAAATCTGAGATGGAAGGGTGCCCGGAACAGAAAAAATAAATACCGATATAAACTAAATGTTAAACAAAATAAGACTGCTGGTGCTGTTGATAATGATGATTTAGACTTTGTAATATGCGCACAGTTTCAGGGAGAGAAGGATTCAGAGGTGCGAGATATCACAACCAGAAAGGCAACTGGAACTGCCGCTAACTGCCCGATCTCTGTGGTGCAATATTGGTATGTTTGGTGAAGTCCATTAATGGTTGTTTATACATGTGTAGTGACTGTGAGTGTCACTGTGTGGTGTCGGGCTTACGAAGCCACGGCAGGATAATGTGTTGGCATTATGTGTAGACCGCTTACTGGGCGTAGTACCAGCCCTAGCGGGGCTTGGGTGAGCGCTGGTCAGCACGGAGGCACCGCGTACAGTGTGCGGTGCGGGCTCCCGGTGAGGGAGCGAGAGGGTGTGTCAGCCAGCCAGGGTTACGTTGGGTCATGATACGCTGATTGACCTGCCGACACGTGACCGGATGATATTGGAGGGGGGCCACCAGTGGACGGGGGCCGCTGGGCAGTCACGTGGTATAAAGGAGCTCTCGGGAGCCTTCGGGAAAGAGCTCGAGAGATCTAGAAGGTGGGCGGGGCAAGGGGCGGAGCCAGCCCCACCCCAGGCCAATATAACGGGGCCCCGTGAGGGGCTCGGGGTTCTTCGTGTTGCTGGTGATGAAGATCCACGTCGGGTAAAAGAAGAACTCTAGCCACGCGGTCCAGGGACCCAGCTTGTGGTCCGGGCCGGCATAGCGAACCGTGTCTAGTTCTACCGTAGCGTGGCTAAATGGGCATTCAACACCCGAGTGTAGGTTGTGTTATGTAAGGTTGAGTTACTGAAATAAATAGTGTTGCTCCCAAGACAACGTCTGCGACTCAATTGGACTCACTACACGTGCGAGAAGAAACCGGAGAGCCTGGAGAAAGTGCACGAGCGCCAGGGGAGTAACACTCTATCTCTGGCAATGTATGTATGTTGAACTTCTTTCGCACCATACCTAGTCAACCGTGCTAATTGGAGGTGCGGGGGGAAGGACAAGCCAGGGTACGACACCTCCTCGCCACCCACGGGAAGAGAGCTTCTCAACATTTGCACAATCCACCAACCCTCGCCTCCACTGTGCTAGATAACAGGCGTGCGCCACCATCGCCAAACATAATGAATAATGATGATGATGATCATGATGGCGATGAAAATGATGATAAAGATATTCCTGTCATCAGCAACTCACCTGTGCAGACATGGTCCGTTGAAAGGCTTTTCCAATAGAAGTCTCGTTTGAGATGTCAGTTTGTGGAGCGTAGTACTGATCTGACATCTGTGAACAAAAAAACAATAAACCTCTCTTCCACTCTGCCGGGAAAAGCGAGCCCTGTTTTAGAGCACATAGCAGGTTGGCGCATCAATAAAGATCCCCCAAACAACCTTTAAGCCTTTTGTGGCAAGTGCTGTTAGCGAGCACCTATTAAGGCCAGCATGGCCACACAAAGGGGTGGGGTGGCGAGCACCACGCTCAGCCTCCTTTGGCTCCCTAATTATTATGTTTACATACCCAGGCAGCTATTCATTTAGGGCCCATTCGATCTCGGGGAGGCCCAGGACATGTTCAGATATTTGGCCACGAGTAGGAATCAAACTCGAGCCACCAGGTTCGTAGTGCAGTACGCTAACCTGTACCCACTGGTGCATCACAGACACACACAAAGATTCTCCATAAAGCCATTTCGTCTGTTGAGCCATTGCTGTTCACGAGCAACTGTCAAGGCTGGCATGGCACACAAACGTCTGATAAGGTCACCCCCCAATGCTGAAGTTTAAAAACACACCGGGTGGTCATTTAGGGTCGAGGTTACTTAGGGGAGGCCCAGGACAACTTCTGATAACAACTTGCCACTGATATTACCCATGGCAGGGAATTCAACTCAGGTCACCACTTGGTTTAAAGCACAGTGCACAACACCAAGGGACCACCACTCCCCACACACACATTGATATGCAAAGAAACCATCACATACATACATACACACATACCTTCTTCTGAAGCCACTGAACAGTCCATGAGAGATGGTAGGTGTCACCACGAAAATATTCTTTGGCAGATGAACACCTACGCAGTATATTCATGCACACATTTCAAAATTATATAGATATATACAAAGTACAAAAAATTAACATATATAATACAAAGATCCTCGGTGTAGCCCTACACAGGCTGCTGGGGCAAGTGCTGTTATCGAGCACTCATCCAGGCCGGAACAGCACACGAGAGGGTGGGTGGCCAGCACCACGCTCGGTCATCTTTGTCTCCCGAGTGGCAGTGTTTACACAACCATACCAGGTACCCATTTGGGGCAGAGCGAGACCTATGGGAGGCCCAGGACCGGTTCAGATAATCATCACTGGTGTTGGCCATGAGCGGTAATCGAACCAGGGTCACCAGGTTCGTAACGCGACGCGTTACCGCTATACTACCGCTCCCCATTAATATGCACGCATACACATGCATTTCACCACATCCACGCACATGCATATAAACACATCCACACTCGACAATTATGATTACCAACACCATTTCAAAAGCATCATCATCACGACCACCACAACCACCATCACGCTTCCATCTCCACCACCAGCACCACCATCTCTGCCTTCACCACCACCAGTTGCTGAGTCAATTCAAATGCGCCATGAACCACAACCGTTAAAACTGTTAACTCCACCAAACATAGACCTCTGACCTCTGGGCCAGCCCCATGATGAACTTGATGCATTGGTAGCAGCGCGAGCTGTCCGTGGTGGAGGTCTGATGCATAAAGGCTGTGGACACAGACACGCGCACACACATATACACACGTGGCATGCAACAGTGGTCGTCCCCATGGATAAACTGTCCCTCACCATGGGAATGTGGAATTTCCACTGCTGGTTCAAGGGCCACCAGTGGAGATGAGTGCCACCCCACACTTGTATGAGCAGGGGACAAAAACCCATATTTGAATACAGAGAAATAAAGACACATTAATACAGGTACACTGGTACACATACAAGTTAACACACATGTACATTCAAGGACACACATGTCAAGTCAAAGTGTCTCATCATCAACTAAGCAACAGGACAGCATCGCTTTCCATTTCGGCCCAGAATCAGCTGTGAAAATTCCACATTCCCATCTCAGGGGCCAGTCTCTCCGCAGGATGACCACAGTTTAACTACAATTCAGTGTGCCGTGGTGAGTAAATAACGTCTCGTCTCTCTGGAACTTATGTGGGGGTCTGCATCCATTGTCTTACCCAGAAGCCCTCGCTCCCGCTCGAAGGTGAATTTGAGGCGTTCCGTCTGAAGTGGGTCCTCGATCATCTACAGACAAAATCAGCAATAACATTCGCTTCAGCAATACCATTTTGCATCAGCAACATCAGCATCAGCAATAACATCAGCATCAGCAATAACATTCGCATCAGCATTAGCATCAGCAATTGCATTAGCAATAACAGCATCAGCAATCGCATTAGCATCAGCAATCGCATTAGCATCAGCAATAGCATTAGCATCAGCAATAACAGCATCAGCAATAACAGCATCAGCAATAACAGCATCAGCAATAACAGCATCAGCAATAACAGCATCAGCAATAACAGTATCAGCATCATGCACGTGTGCATCCCTTTTGTCAGTCCACTGACAAAAGGGTGAGGGTCTCCCCATGCCTGTGAGGGTCATGAGAAATGTGAACATACTTCACCACACTAGCCATTGCAGGATGAAGGCGTGGGAGCGCAGACGAGCAGATATAGAACAACAGTTCAACGACGGATTGTTCCACTGGATTATGCTGCCCACCACATAGCCCCAATACTATCATCGATATTAACTACCAAAATCACCACCACCACAATCACCATCATCACCTGAACTACCAAAATCAAACGCCATTTACCAGCGCAACATTTGGTGGTGACGCGGCCCAGCGGGGGTGGCGCCTTCGCCACCTGCTGAAGAGCTTCACGGTTCGCATCCAGTGGCCGCCCCCGATTAATACTGCAGGTGTAAATAATCATAATACTACGTGCATCCTGCTTCACAGTGGACATTAAAAACTTCTTGATGTCATCATAAGAGTAGGCCATTGTGTGCCGGTGTCAGCGTTCAAATTTGCCAAGTTAAAAAATTACTTGGAACTGACCGATCTAGGATTATACACAGAAATCATCACCCCGTACTGACAGATCAATGCCCCAGGTCACTTTTGCAAATTAGACACTGGTTTCTTGAGTTTCCACCTGGTTAAAATAATCTTGAAATCATCACTATTGCCACAGTACCACCACTACTACTACCACTACCACAAGCATGACCACCCACCCATGTGTCCTGATGTGTTGATGTCACTCACAAGAATCTCATGGAGCAACTGGAAGATGGACTTGAGTTCGTTGGGTGGAGCCGTCTCCAGTTGGCTCTGAACATGCAATTACAAACACACAACACACAATCACACTAATACACTTACTAACACAAGCACACACATATCCACACAAATAAAAAACAAAGACACCCCTATAGACTTAACAGGTTGTTGGGGCAAGCGCTGTTCGCGGGCACCTGTGAAGGACGGCATGGCCCATTAGTGGACGAGTTACCAATGCCAAACCCGTCCGTCTTTGTCTCTCCCCAGTGATGTTTACACACTGGAACCGGTTTTCATTTGGGCTGTCAACCTCGGAGAGGCCTAATAACATTTAAAATACTGGTCGCTGAGAATAGCCATGAACAGGAATCGAACTCGGGGCACCAGGTTCGTAGCAGTGTGCTAACCACTGCAAGACACACACATAAGCATACCTACTCTTATCTTTACAGAATGTGGTAGCTAATGTTATTTAGCAAGAAACTATGCAGGACACAAAACAGATTAAATTTTCAACCAAGTGTTGAATTAAGTCTGTATCACGGACAGCCAACTCACAATGCTCCCTGCCCAGATTATCCAGGTTGTGGATTAAAAATGTTCCTCTTACACAGACACTGGTTTAATGACTAGCAGCTCCCCATTGAGAGTCAATGAATCAGTGTCACTTTAAGAGGCAATAAAAAAACATTGCACATTCAACACCTTTACCCTAATTTAATAAACATTAGATACGTTTTCATCGCCTCATCTAATTCCATGTTTTATCCGGGCAACTCCTCTCGCCGCCAACCTGGATAATCGAGTTTTTAGGCTGACGAGGTTAAACCTGAATTCAGCTGACGCCACCCATGTGCGCTCCACCCCAACTGCTTCTCGCTTAATTTCCTCCCCTCTCCCTGAGTCCCCAGCGCGGCCTTGCCTTGATCTGCTGAAGGACGGTGGCGGAGAACTGCTCATTGCAGAAGCAGAGGTAGCAGAGCGCCTGCATGAGGATGGTGACGATGGATGGCAGCTTCCTCAATGCGATGATGACCTACATCAAAATCATCACCAGCATGAGGATCAGCTAGGTCACAATCGGCACTATGAGCAGCTGCATCATCACCGGCAGGATTAGTGTCGTCACTAGCATCATCCCGCACCTCCGATTAGCAGTTGGCAACGTACGGTGCTAGAGAAGTTTAACATACATACATACTTACATTCTCAACATCATCAGCACAGTCATCACTCGTGTCATTGACGGTAAAATTATTTAAACCAACATCCTCAATAATAACATTAGAATAAGGACTAACATTGTAAATGGTGGAGAGGTGAAAGATGACACGGCAGTAAGAGTATAAATGATGATGATAATTACAAGGCTGCCAAGCTCTGGGGAAAGAAACATATATGAGATCACGCAATGGAAAGTCAACAATAGCCACCAGCATAGTGTCACACACACAAAGCACGTGAATTCACAGTCCTGTATTGATGCAGCACTGTCAAGCTTTTGATGCCACAGATGTGTGTTATGCACACCGTAGCACTTCTGTGCTACACTGGCTGTGTGGGAAGTGTGCACATGTTTGCATGTGCAAGGGCATGCGTATGAACATTGCCTGGTGCAAGGGCAAAGAAGAGTAGGGAGGGGCTGATGCATTTGTTCATGAGCCAGATCAGATATTGGTACCACCTAAGGCGGTAAAACTTTAGTCGTATAAATGTATATGCAAAGCTAATAGAGAGTTAATTACTTGACAACCCTAGTCATAAAAATATCATTATCACGTCATTCATTGTTATTGGCCACATTGATACATTAGGAGCATTCACGTTATGCCATCTTCGGTGGTACCGACAAGTGAAATATCTGGTCTGGGCTCATGGACTATGGGCAATCATTGGGTGTTGACTTGTGAGTGTATGAATGGTGTGACCTGACAGCCCTGATGATGATACAGGAGATGTCATTTTCGTTACTAATCTTGCTAATGCTGCTAATATAGCTGCTGTTGATGATGATGCTGATGAAGCTGTTGCCGTTAACGCTGCTGTTATTGATGATGATGAGGTGGTAATGCGGTGCTCCTCCGCACCTCTCTGATGTAGGCCTGGTTGCTGTTAGTGAAAAGCAGTTGTGCAATGTCCTCAGGCAGGGTGAGGAGGGCGTTGGAGGGTGGCGCCTCCACAGCGGTGGAGGTCATGACCGCAGTGCCAGGCTCTGTAACGCCAATATCAAACACTGTCAACACTGCAAAGACCAGCAGCAAACAGTACCCGCATTGGGATCATTATCATCACATTTCATTAAAAAAACATCATCAGCATCATCAGCAATCGCACAATCGTAGACATCAGTGGCATTGTCATCACGAGCAGTAACATCATAATCAGTAATACCATCATCAGCAGCATCAATACCATCAGAAATATCAGTTAACATCCTCATCAGCAGCAAACATAGAATCACCACCAGAAGCAGAAACAGCATCGTCAACCACATCAGCATTTTCATCATCATTAGCAGGATCAATACCATCAGAAATAAAATTAATCAAAATTTATATCAGCATCAACCAAATACTCATCAACGGTAGCAGCACCAGTATGATCATCTCAGTCATCATGATCGCCAGATCACCGTGGTCAGGAGCATCAACATCTTTGTGTGCTGATGCTTCTGCTTGCGATGGTGGTGACTTCACTCACCCACAGTGGCCTGTGATGAGACGTCACAGTGCAGGATGATGAGAGCCAGACAGGAGTGGAGGCCAGAAAATTCTCGCGTTTGAGACATGGTCCAGTGACGGTTCTGCGAAAGAATAAAATCCTTTAACACGAAGCTTTCGATAACAGAGACAGTGGGAGAGATGGGGCTGGTGTTAGTGTTCGGGGCAGGAGGGCAGTGTTAGTGGTAGAGATGGGGCTGTGGGGAGCGGGAGTGTCGTGGTTAGTGCGCTGCACTACGAACCTGGTGACCCGAGTTCGATTCCCGCTCGCGGCCAACACAAGTGACGATTATCTGAATCGGTCCTGGGCCTCCCCTAGGTCGATTCAGCCTCAAAATGAATACCTGGTGCGTGGTGCTGGCCACCCACCCTGCTGTGCCGGCCTTCATAGGTGCTCGTTAACAGCGCTTTCTCAGTCTATTAATGCTATATGGAGGGTTTTTGTCTTTGGTGGGCTGTGTTAGTGGTATAGATGGGACTGTGTTAGTGGTAAGGTTAAAGATGGGGATGTGTTAGTAGTAGGGGTAGATCTGGCACTGTGCACCTGGTTTGGTTGAGGTCCAGGTCCCAACAGGAATGAGATGAGGCGCCGGAATGCAGAAAGGTCCAGCAGGAGCTGGCAGGAGGCTGGACCCTGAAACACGAGGTGACAAGGAGCGCCATGAGGATTCATCAGGATATGTGGGAACACAGAAGGCATAGGAAGGCAAGAGGACACGTTGAGGAGCACTGGGACATAAAGAAGCATGGGAAACCAAGGGGACACATGGGAATACATGGGAGGACTTGGGGTAACACAGGGAAGTTTGGGGAGGCATGGGAGCAAATGAGAATACAAAGGGAGTTTAGTAGGCTATGTTGTCGAATCATTGTCTGGATTGAGATCACATTTAAAGAAACAAGCTTTGATTGAGTCTCAGCTTCAGAAAATCGAATTTCAGGTTTAATGTCATTATCGAGACTCCAGGTGACTGGGTTTCAGGGACGTCTTGAGACTTGGTTTCAGGAAACCGGTTTTGGGACCAGAGTTTTGGATGTTTGACGAATTCTTACCCTGCGAGCGAAGGACTCCAGGAGTCGGAAATACTGGGCACAGTTTTTACAGTTCTCCATGACATCTTTGTCCAGGAGGTCCAGTAAGGAGTCCACCAGCTTCTTCAATCCCTGCACAACCTGACACAGTGATGACAAGCGTGAGTTTTGTTATCCACAGTCCACTAGGACAATGCATAATGGATGTGTCTACAATGTTGCTGTAGTTCACTGAACAAACACCAGTGTCTGTGGAGAGCTCCTGCCTTTCACACCTACAAACCAGTAGCATTTGCTAAACACGCCTGCTGATGAGGCTTATGAAGTCAAAACAAGTCCAGTTTGCCTGCTTGTGTATGCCACCACGACACACAGAGAATGAATGCAGGACATGCACCCTCTCTGTTCCGTGATTGGCTGGCCATCTCGCCAAGGCAGACAAAAGTGACGTTTCATCAATGACGGTTGCACAATCGGTAAGATGGCTACTGCAAATTATGAAAAAAAAGCCTTTCATGGCGAGCAATGCATCGGTGTCTCTGACATGGCCATTACGAACCTGGCACGACCGTATTGAACTCTCCGACAGTGATGACGAGTTCGAGGTCTTGAACCCATAATCTCAGCATTGCTGGTTCAGTGACTCTGGCACGGCCAACATTAACCCCCCCCCCCCCCCAAGAGAAACACACGCACTCACCTAGACCCATGCCTTGAACCAAATATCTCAGTGATGCTGGCTAAGTGTCTCCGACATGGCCATTACGAACCCCTCACCTGGCTGTCTGTGTGCTGGAGTCCTCCCTCCAGGGTCTTGTCGAGAATGGTTGCCGTGTGACTCCTGACCTCACGAACGCCGCACTCGAGCAACAGCAACCTGGGTCAGAGGTCAGAGTCAAAGTTCAGGGGTCAAGGGTGACGCATAAACAACCTAGATGTCTGGGGTCAAAGGGAAAACTGGTTTGAGGTCAGGGGATGGGACGTGGTTGTGGTGGTCAAGGCATTGGTGGGAATTATTTTGGTGGTAATAATGATATGGGTTGCTGTGGTGAAGGCGGTCATAGGTGGTTCAGATGATGGTGGTGGTGGTGATAGTTGATATTTTGATAGGGGAGGTAGTGTTTGTGGTTTTGCAGTTGTTGGTGGCTGTGGTGAAAGTTGTGATGGAGCTGTGGTGTTGTAATATTGGTAGAGGTGGTGAGAGTAGTTGTAGTTGTGGTGGTTGTGGTAGCTGAGATGCAGTTGTGCTGTTGTAATGACGATGGTGGTTGTGATGATGGTGGTAGTGGCAGTGGTTTAGGTAGTTGTGGTGATGACAGTTGTGGTAGTTGTGGTGGTGGTAGTTGGGGTGCTTCTTTTTGTGGTGGTTGTGATAGCTGTGCTGGTTGTCATGGTTGTGGAAGCTGTGGTGGTTGTGGTTGTGGAAGCTGTGGTGGTTGTGGTTGTTGTGAGAGCTGTGGTGGTTGTCATGGTTGTGGAAGCTGTGCTGGTTGACATGGTTGTGGAAGCTGTGGTGGTTGTGGTGGTTGTGATAGCTGTGCTGGTTGTTCTGGTTGTGGAAGCTGTGGTGGTTGTGGTTGTTGTGATAGCTGTGCTGGTTGTCATGGTTGTGGAAGCTGTGGTGGTTGTGGTGGTTGTGATAGCTGTGCTGGTTGTCAGGGTTGTGGAAGCTGTGGTGGTTGTGGTTGTGGAAGCTGTGGTGGTTGTGGTTGTTGTGAGAGCTGTGGTGGTTGTCATGGTTGTGGAAGCTTTGGTGGTTGTCATGGTTGTGGAAGCTGTGGTGGTTGTGGTGGTTGTGATAGCTGTGGTGGTTGTCAGGGTTGTGGTTGTACCGTATCGTCTCATGTCCCTCTGTGCTCCTTATCGTCTCCAGGAGCCATTCGCAGGCCCGACTCGAACGGCAGAGCAGAGACCCGACCAGCATCATCCACTCATCAACATCCTCCCTGCATCACCACCACCACCACCACACTTATCATCATCACCATCAACATCAGCAGCAGCAATAACATCATCACCACCGTCAACTTAAGCAATTTAAGTAATAATCAGCAGTATCAACAGCATCCCCATTGCCATGCGGCCTCAGCAGCAGAACCATCAGCAGCAGAAACATTTTTATTTTAATAACCATCACCATCTTGACCCGCATCATCATCATCATCGATAGAACCATCAACACCATCGTTAATAAAGGAATGGATAAGGCAGTTGAGGTGTAGGAGACAGTTAAGGACATCGTGCACATGAGCGAGGCGTTTGAGAAGATGAAACGAGGTTGAGCGTTGACGAGGTTTGCACAGGTCTCACCAGAGCTTCTTCTTGGTGCGAAGGAAGGTGTTGAAGAGAAAGTTCACGGCCAAACGCAGACTCACGGTCGCCATCTCCTCAAAGTCCTTGTGCTTGCTCTTATTCTGAATAACACAGGAGCCGAGTCTCAATCAAAACACTGGTCCTAAATTTTCACAGCCCTTGTCAATCCACTGCTGGGTGAAGGCATCCCCACATTGTGTCAATCATCACACTAGTCAGTGCAGCTTCACGAAGGGGAAAAGGAGGCCCAGGACTGGTTTGGATATCAGCGAGTGATTTTAGCCGTGTCCAGAAAACAAACTAAGGTCATACAGATTCAAAGTGTAGCGTGCGAACTACTGTTCCACCACCGCAGTGGTCCTAAACGTCTTAATCGAACCTCCAATACTAAAAGAACCTGGTTTTAGGAAAGCAGGCGTAGTCTGTTGCTGTGCTAGGGTGGTGGAGGTTGTGCTGTGGAGCGGTGGCGCAGCGGTTAGCGCATTGGTGACAGACACAAGTTTGATTCCCGCTCACGGCCAACACCAGTGACGATTATCTGAACCAGTCCTGGGCTTCCTCTAGGTCGACTCAGCCTCAAATGAGTACCGAGTGCAGTGTGTAAACATCGCCACTGAGGAGACAAAGGCGGCCGGGCGTGGTGCTAGCCACCCACCTCCTCGTGTTAAGTGCCGGTCTTCATAGGTACTCTTGCTCCTATAGTCTGTTAAGGCCATATGGGGGATATTTATCTTTGTGCTGAAGATCACGCTTATTAGTTCAGTGTCTAGGGGTTGGATGTGATGCACATTCCTCATGTGGCATGAGGGTGATGCGGGGAATCCATGTAATGTGGGACACATGTCAATGTGGCATTCACTGGCTTAATCAGATCACAATGCAACACCTTAACAATGGCTGGCGGCTCCCACACGAGGCTTCATAAAAGCCAACCTACCTAAAATCCCAGTTAGCTTGGATCCTTGACTCTCTACTGCAATATTAGTGATAGATCAACACGTAAGTTCTGTACTTCTGATCAGGTAAGAATTAATCAAGCATTATCACACAAAGGCTTTAAATAATGTAACAGCCGTTTTCAATCAACTGCTGGATAAGCACAGAGTGCTGCACACGATCTGTTCAGTACAAGGTAAAGGTAAAGTTCCTCCCTGGTAAAAGAAGAATGCGTATAGGTAAATGTAATATCAATATAAATACTCTTTGGTTCTTTCGGTAAAGTCACGTAGGTATGAAATAAAATACCTACGTGACTTTACCGAAAGAACCAAAGAGTATGGTTTCCTGCAGTCACGAAAGCTTCAAATCAAGATCAATATAAAAATCCAGTATTATTTTAGAATAAAGATAGACCCAATGTTAGCTAATGTTACGAGGCATGGATGACAAAGTGTAAAGAAAAAAAAACTCCGCACATTTGTCAGTAACATTGAGTGGCCTTAAAATGAGAAAAATTAAACATAAAAAGGTGACATTTTGGGCACTGGCCCCCTTATTTCACAGCACATAAGAAAGCGGTGGCGTTTGCGATGCAAGCTGCTGTGCCACGACTTCAGAGTCACAACAAGAAGCCAGGAAATGTGGAAGAGCTCAAGGTAAGGATAAAAACTGCCCTTGGAAAAGTTACTCGATAACATTTTGGGAAAAGAGTATGGAGAAATTTTCAAGTTGAGATGAAAAGGTATGAACAGTATTGAAGTCTTGCATTACTTTAAAACCAGGGAGGGACTTAATTATCACAGCATCATCATTATAATCCAGCCATGCATGATCCATTTCCTGCTGAACGAAGACCTCCCCAATCCGTCACCACCTGTTACAATGCCTGCGATGTCAATGATCCATGCAGCTCCTGCACACAGCCACGCTGTACAGCCTTAAATCACCAGTCAACCATCATCATCCTCTCTGGGGCATAGAGAATGGGTAATGCTAATTAGTGTAAGCAAGTCAACAGCAGTGGTTTATGACCAATGGAGAAAGACTGGCCACTGCCATAGGAATGTGGAATTCCACCTTTTTGTCTCAAAACTCACGACATTGATGGACGCCAGCGCTCGGATGAATTTGAAGTAGTTTTGGTTGTAGACCTCTCGGTTCTTCATGAACTTCAGGTTTTCTTCGAGAACCGCCTGGTAGCATGAAGCAGAAAAATTCCTTCACGTCACCAAGTCGATAAAAATAATCAACAACACCAACAAATGAAGTGAAATGCCACTAAGAAAACGGCGTCCAAGACGGCGGCCTGAGGTTGAAGGTCAGGCCTGCAGGGCTTAGCGGAAAAGTTAAGATTAGTCAGGGGTGGGGGGTGGGGGCACGTGAGGGGAAATGGGAAGATTCGAGTTATTGTTAGGCTTTGTGTTATTGTCAGGCTTTGGTAACGGTTTTGGTCACAGTTAGGGTCAGGTCGGTGCTCATTTCCGGCAAGTGTTAGGGTTAGTGTCCGAGTTTATTTTATGGTAAGTATTCAGATAAGATCAAGCATTAGGGTTTTAGGAAAGGGTGTAATAGTTAAGGTCAGGATTGGGATGATAGTCAGCACTAGTGACAGTGTAATGGCTGGTAATGTTAGTCTCAATAAACTTGGGCTTGTGTTAATATCCAGCATGGTTATGGTGATGACTAGGGTCAGGGCCAGTAATAATGTCAACTTGTTCACATGTTTAGGGCTATGGTTAGGAATATGGTCGGTAGTAGTGTCAGTGATATGTTCAGCATGAGTGTCAGTGATATGACCAGCACTCATGTCAGTGATTTGGCGAGACGAGCTCGCATCAGTGCGTGTCTGAGATAGTGGCCGTGTCGAGGGCTCGTATTCGGGACAGCATCCCGCACCTGACAGATGGAGGGCGGCATGCGCTCCCCCAGCATCCCCGTGCGCTCCCAGCGCCGCACGAGGCGGGCGAGCAGGGAGAGTCCGTCGTGAGCCCGGGGCGGGCGCGGGGACGAGGCCGGGGACAAATCCGGGGACGCTGCCGCCGCCGCCGCCACAATACCCGGAAACACCCCCTGTCTGGATCCAGATCCAGAACCGGAGCCAGGGGTGGAAGTGACACCCAGTCCGGAACCGGAGTCAGATACGGCATTGGAGCCCAATCCAGAGCCAGAGCTAGATCCAGAACTGGTGCTGACACGACTTTTCTTGGGCAATACAGGTGAGATGGCAGTAGTGGAGGTGGCTGTGGTGGTTGAAACGTTCGAAGCAGAGGCAGCAGCAGATGCCCCAGTGCGTTGGTAGAACAGCATGTAGGCATTCCAGTAGCGGCGACGGAGATCCGACGCAGAGTTGTCTAAACACACGGGAGGCACAGGTGGTGGCAGTTATGAAAGTGCTGACGATGGTGGTTATGTAGCTAATGTTGGTGGTGGCAGTGTGATGGAGATGTGATGGTAACATGAGTGGAGGTGTTGTTGGTGCTGACAGTGGTAGTGATAGTGGTGATGAAGATATGGGTGGTGACGATAGAGATGCCAACAATGGTGGTTAATGGTGTGGCCGATGGTAGTGGTTTTGGTAATGATAATTAAAGTGGTGATAGTGATGGTGGTGATGTGGTTGAGGTTGTGACAGTGGTGGAGATAATGCTGCTGCTGATGCTACTGATACTGGTGATGCTGCTATGCTGTTGCTGATGATGATTCTCACGTTGATCGTAAACCTTCGTTCTGTACTCTCCGCCGAAGCATTCATATTCCAGGGCCTCTTCCGTCATCTCAAACCCCTCCACTTGGGTGTCATTAAACCGGAACCAACGGCCAAGAGCAGGACCGGGCCTGGCATAACCACAACAACCCAAAGACAACCATTAAGTACAACAACAACCATCAATCAAACAGCATCATCATCATCTTCTGCATTACCATCACAATCCATCAACCCAACATCATCATCATGTTTATCATCTCCACAGCCACCACAACCATTTACAAATGAGCATCACCAATATCTCAACAACCACGGTAACCATTTAACTGCATAATAGTCATTGTCATCTCAACAACACCATGTGCTTAGCAATGGCAGCTCAATGTCTCTCACATGACCATTATGAGCCCACTGAGAGAGACGAAGACACTCAGAAAAGTGCTTGAACCTCAGAAGTCATTGGTTGCCTGGCCAATCAATGTCTCCAACACAGCCATTATTTACCATCCAAGATAGACAAGGCCTCAAAAACCCACGCTCTAAGTGATGCTAGCTTCATGCCTGCAACACGGCCCATTATAAACCCCCACCTTCAGAGCAAGTGAGAAATATTCAGACCAGAGCTTAAAAACCCTCAAAGGTTGCCAGCTCAGTGTCTGCGATACCACCGTTATGGAGTCTCTCACCTGCGCTCCTTGATGAAGCTGTAGTAGTGCCCCGCGTGCGCTTGTCCGCTGTGAACCACGATGCCCACGAGCTCATACTGATCGTCGTGCACGCCGGCTCCCCCGCCCGGCGCCGCCGTGGCCGACCCATTCAACGCCGCGCCATTGCTTCCGCTGCTGCTGCCGCCATTACTACTGCTGCCATTACTGCCGCCGTTACTGCCGCCATTACTGCCGCCATTACTGCTGTTGTTGCTGCTGCTCTCTTGGCGAGCAAGCCCCACGGTCGTGTACGGCTCCATGTTGAGGAGGAACGGGAACTGGGAGGTATGGGGTTGGGGGGCGGGGAGAGAGGGGAGGCTTGAGGAGGTTCTGGAGGTGGTGGTGAAAGGTGGTGGGAGGTGGATGAGGTTAAGAGGTAAATGAGCAGGTGGAGGTCGTTGAGTTCGGGGCAATATAGAGAGTGCGGCCAGAGGCAGATCTGATATTTGCATTGTGTGCGTTTTAAAATTTGTTTATGGTATATGCACAAAGCTCACGTGAACACTCCAGCCACTAGAGGCTGCTAGATTCACCACGTTGTTTAAAAAAATCATGAATTAATCAAACCATGACCGTGCATGGAGGGGGAAAAAAATGTGACACCCTGAATCGTGATGATGGCAATGCTCCTGTTGCTAATGATGCTGCCGCTGATGAAGATGACCCTCACCCGGATCTGCTCGTCATATTTGATGGGGCGGCCGCTGTCCCAGTCGAATCCGAACCTCATGAGATGAATCACGAGCAGCTCTGGCAGGGACTTGATGCACATTCGCTTCACAGTCGTGCGCTGCAACAAAGACAAAGATCCCCCATATTTAGCCGACAGACTGCTGGGGCGAGTGCTATTAGCAAGTACCCATCAAAGGCTAGTGGGGGTGGCCAACACCATTCCCAGCCACCTTTGTCTCCCCAGTCCTGATGTTTACACACTGCAAAAGATACTCTTTTAGGCCAAGTAAATCAAAAGGAGAGCCAATATTGATTCAGCTATTTTTCATTGATGCTGGTTGCCAGGTTCAAAGCGTAATGCACTAACCATTACACCACTGCTCCTCGCACGTAGACACGTACACACAAATAGCCACAGACATGAGCGCACAAGTGCAGAGAGGCGTGTACCGAGATGCACGCGTGCTGCTTGGCTACAGAGTCTGGGCCAGTGCAAATGCGGGAAGTATAATCTGGACCAGTGTCTCACCTTGAGGCAGCACCTCTCACAGTAGTACGAGTTGTCCCCTTCCAGGAGTTCGCCCCTCACAAACTGGTCAAGGCAAACCTCAAGACTCGAGCCGCCAGTCACACCGAGGTCAAGAGCCACAAACAGCTCCTCTCTCTCATACCTGAGACACGGGAAGGCACGGGGAGGAGAAAATACAGAGAGATGTTGATTGGGGCACGGCAAATGAGCAGGGAAACATGGGAATAAAGGAAGCAAAGTGATAAGAAGAGAGTTACAGGGAAGAGCATTGGGTGTAGGGAAACACAGGGAGGATAAAGGAGAAATTGGGGAGAAGAGAGTGGAGAAAGGAGGTGCAGAGAGAAGGGAGACACAGGAGGAGGTGAAGGGGAGACACAGCAACAAGAAGGGGGCATGGCAGGAGACACAGAGGGAAGGGACATGTTTTAATGCACTGGCAGCTCAGGTTTAATTTGTGTTCATATTTTGACGCAATGCAATAGAATGAATGGTTCTGCACTGTGTGTTTCTGCTCGCAGTAAGACGAACCTGTGTGGACAGTCCTTGCAGATTTTCTGGTCGGAAAAAACTCCCTGAAAAGTGTTCTTAAAGATCTGTTCCTTTCCCAGTTTCTGTGGCACACATAGGGTTAAAAACAAAATGAAAACAGCATATTAAATTTACAATGATTACCAATAAAATATATAACAGTTTAACATTTCACTGAATTTAAGTAGCAAGAGCCGGGAGAAAAGAGTTATGATGTGGTTATTGTTACGAGTAAGGATTAGTGTTGAGTTAGGGATAAGGTTAGGATACAGTGTTAGAAGTATGTGTTACGAGTTAGGATACGTATTATGGTTCGTGTTAGGAGTTGGTGTTCGAAGTTATGGTTAGTGTTAGGAGTTAGAATAAGTGTTGCGGGTTCGTGTTATGAGTTACAGTAAATGTTACGTGTTGGAGTCAAGTAGTAGGGCTGTCGAGTCAATGGGCAGGATTATAATTTGACCTTCAGGTGTTCGTCGATTTGGTCGATGATGCTGGTGAAGAATTCGTAAGCATCCTGCTGATCCCGAACCATCAGGGGCCGGTTCCAGAGCCTGAAATCTGGGAAGACCAGGAAATATGCCCACACATACATACACACATGATTTATGTACATTTAGGTGAATGTATGTAAGTATTAACAGGCTTTGACCATATTCTTTGTTTTTTTTCGGTATAGTTACGTAGATAAATTTTTCTAATAATAAAAGTACTCTTATTTTTCTTTCTATCTACATGACTTTACCGAAAGAACCAAAGAATATGAATTCCTGTAGTCATGAAAGTTTCAAGTCAGGCTTTGACCAGTCGCCCTCCAACAACAACAGAGGGCAGAAGAGCGACGCTCACAACGACGAGCAGAGCGGCTGCTAAAATGCAGCAAGTTGGCATAGCAGGGGGCACAGGTGGTGCATCTGCCAGTAATCTCAGTCAGTCAACCCATGGTACCTGGGTCTGTCCCGTAACCTCCTGTCAGTGAGCTTTTGACACTTAACGTGGCCTGGCACAAGCAGAGTGACGATATCACCGCCACTTAGTGGCGAATGGTGGCTGTTCTTGTTGTTGAAGTATTCATAATCCATGGCAGTGAATCGTGAGAGCATTCCAAAATGTTACCAGAAAATATAACATTTTCAAACATTGTATCTTATATCTGATTGCAATGTTTATAATTATCTCAAAATGTTAAAATGTAAAGGTGCAGTCCCTGCACGCCACCAAATTCAAGTTTGTTGCACTTCTAGAATATAATTGTAATTTACATGAATGACCTGGTCAATCAATACAATCAACATTATGATCATCTACATCTACACATGATGTGTGTGTCTTGTGGTTGTTGTTGTTGTTGTTTGACTTGCATCCCACTGAGATTTTTGCACACAGCGTTGGAGCGGTAGTGTGGTGATTAGCGCGCTGCACTACGAATCCGGCAACCCAAGTATGATTCCCCGCTTACACCCAACATCGTTGACAAATGTCTGAACCTATTCTGGACCTCCCCAAGGTCGACTCAACCTCAAAGGCATACCTGATGCACTGTGTAAACATCAGCACTAGGGAGCAAAGGTGGTGGGGCGTGGTATTGGTCAACCACCCCCTCATGTCCCGTGCAAGCCTTCATAAGTGCTCACGAACAGCACTTGCCTCACCAGTCTGTTAATGGTTACACAGTGGATCTGTGTATTTCGAATTGTGTGTATGCGTGTATGTATGTATGCATCACCTTCCAGAATGTCTGTGGCACGTAGTACTGCAGTTTGCTCTCCATGAGGTGTCCAAAGAGACACTGCACTTGATAGAATACGCTCTCATCTGGGTTCTCCGCATCATCCCCCTCCACAGCCAGAATGGCCTAGAAACACATGCAGACACAACAGCAGTCACGAAGTGACAGTGACATCACCACGGCTCTTGGGCCCAGCCAAATGCACCAATGCCACGTGAAGTGTGTAAGGCAGGTCACAGAACAGACATATTACAAGTTAACCGACTGAAATGACTCAGATGCACCGCCTGTGCCTCCAGTTTTCAGACACATGCAGACACACGCTGACACAACGATCCCCCGTATAGACTTAAAAGACTAAGGATAAGTGCTGTTAGCGAGCACCTATGAAGGCCGGCACAGCACACGAGGGGATGGGAGGCCAGCACCATCCCGGCCATCTTTGTCAGCATGTTTACACCATGTTTACAAATCGCAGGTACTCATTTGAGGCTGAGTCGACCTATGGGAGGCCCAGGACTAGTTCAGATAATGATCACTGGTGTTAGCCGTGAGCAGCAATGGAACTCGTGTCACCGGGTTCGTTGCGCAGTCCACTAACCTCGACACTACATGCAGACACACATGCTGACACACATGCTGACACACACACAAGCACAGACATATATACGTGCTAGTGACGGTGTTTGGGTCAGGGCAAAGGCTAGCACTACTTTCTTGTTGGAGTTCGTACTAGTTTGGGTATTAGGGTTAGTGTGGGTTTTGGGGTTAATGTAATGAGGGCTAACACCAGTGACAGCATTAGCATCACAGCTAGTACCAGCGCTAGTATTAATGATGATGCTAATGTTCGAGTTTTTGTTCATGGTAAGGCCCAGGAGGGCGAGTGTGCGGGGCTACCTCGGGTAGGCCGGGATGCATGTAGAGCTGCTGGAACACGGCGTTCATGTAGCACGTTGCTCCCCCGTTTCTGAGACCCACAAATCCGGACTCGGAGCGACCATCCACAGGCGGAAGGAACTGAAAAAAACCCACCAAGACACAACAAAGGCACAGGGTGTGAGTGACACTGCCTACAAGGACCAGGCGTGAATGACGCACAATCGTTGGAAGCCAGGGCACATGACACAGCCTTGCATGGGCCAGGGTGAGATTTGCCGAGTGATATCCAGCCTCCCATGCCTCCTGCATAGTGCAGAGGTTTAGAGGAGGGCTCGGTGGACAGCTCTAAAAAGAGGCTAGGTGAGTAGGCAAGCTGTGGTGGTGTTTGCTGGCAAGGATTATCATGGACCGTGTAGCGCATGCTATATCATAGTATTGCCATTCCATGATAATCCTAATAATAACACCTTGGCTTAAGCAGTGTGATGAAGGACACAGGCAAGGGAGATTAGGAAGGAGTGGAGCGAGCAAGACCGTAACTGTCCATGTGCCTGGCTTGTGTGTCCACATCCAAGTGTGACTGAGTGAATACTGTACATACATATTCTACCACTTTTGAAGGGTAATTTAGCAGAAATGCATAATAAAGATGCTACCGATATGTCTGCTGCTACTAATGATGCTGCTGCTCCTGATGGCAATAATTAAGATGTTGCTGCCGATGATGATGATAATTAAGATTCTGATACTGATATCAGAATCGTTGCTTCTGTTGCTGCTACTGATAATGAAGATCTTGCTGCCGTTTTTATTTATCGTTGTTCATGTTGATTACGTCGTTGCTGCTGCGAGAGCGGATCTGGACCCTACCTCGAACTCCTTGGCGAGCGACGGCTCCACTTGGTGGTGCAGAGACAGCAGCTCGGAGCATAACAGCTGCAGGTTATGGAGGCTGCTGTCGGCGAGAGTGACCAGAACCTCACAGGCAGCGAGGCGGCTTTCTGGCGAGCAGCACCTACACACAAAGAGACACGCAGGGGAAGGGGACATAGGTAAACCTCCTGGCCAGGACAAGGACTAAAGATAGACTGAAGGTCAGTGTAAAGGAATAACCATCATGTTAAAGTTGGGGTGTGTTGATGTTACATTAGAGCTTAGGATTGAGGGCTCACATTCAAGGGTCCAAGATTCAAGGAAAATGGCTCCATATTGAACCACAGGTCCAAAGGTCAAGGTTCCAGGGTATAATGGGACATATGCATGTATAGACCAATGTCAATCCACTGCTAGATGAGGGCCTTATAATGCCGTGTCGGTAGTTTGAGGATACTTCACCTGTCAGTGTAGGTTACTGAAGGCAGGGTGCGCATAGATGTCTGAGCAGAGATGCAAGTACAACAATGAGATTTTAATGCACTGCCCTCTGCTGCCCACAACATAGTTTGACACCTGTTGCAGACATGGTTGGTCACCAACTCAAGTCCCATCCAGGTTCAACCATGCCAAGCATCCGATTTAAAATGAGATCGGGCACATTCTGAGTGCTTTGGTCATAGGCTCATGAAATATATTATCAAAGCTAAGGCATACACATCCATACTCAAGATCCTAAAACTAAGGCTTCAAGATTGGGAATGTAGGTTCAGAGGGCAAGGTGCAGTGCTGCCCCTGCCTGGGGTTGAAGTTGTGCTGCGAGGGTGGGCCCGCCGCTTCCTCCTTCTGCGTCGTCTCAATGATTTTCGCCGCGGGGAAGAGGAACGTCTCCAAGAGTTGACGGATGAGGTGGGGACCTAGGGAGCAAGGAAGTCAACTTTATAGATAATCATCAGAGGCTATAAACAATTCCACCCTAAAGGCGACAGGCGTGTTAAATAACTTCAAGGATGACCACTTTATCGTCCCCAGCTGTCCAACCCAAAAAACTAAAAAATGAAGTTCATTCATGAGACACAAAAAAACATAAATGCAGGAATGCAACGTTAAGGCTATACAATGCATTTGTACGACCCCAACTTGGAATTGTGTTCAGTTCTGTCATTCCTGTCCTGGAAACCAACCAGACTGATGTCTGGACTGAAAGACAGGTCATATGAAGATAGGCTCAACATACTCAACCTCTTTAACCCTGAACAAAGAAAAACCCGTGGGGACTTAATCCAGGTCTACAAAATCATGAATAGCATTGACCGAGTCGATCCGGACTTCTACTTCAAGCTCAACAGAGAGAAGGAAATTAGAGGCAAAGGGTGGAAGCTACGTGTGAGAAAGTTCAGGACCGAATAGAGGAGAGACACTTTTTTTTAAAATATACAAAGGGTGGGAGTATAGAATGGGTGGCTCAAACCCATTGTGGAAGCAAATTCACTGGGCCTCAAGAAACGCCGTTATGCGATTCTAGAATCAATACGATATTAATAACTGAACATGCTGGATGGAACGAATGGTCCCCCCCCCCCCCACTCTCGTTTGTAACCCTTCTTATGTCATCAGAATCGCCAGTGACGCACCGATCTGATCTTTGTCCTGCGTGCTCAGCATTAGCAGGGTGTTGATGAGACGTAGGTGTCCCGCCAGAAGAGAAGTCCCAGAATGCACTGCGACGCTGGTGCCGCCACCGCCTCCGTCGCCCCCTTCCCACAATGCCGCGGGGGGCTCATAGTTGTCGAGCCATGTGATCTCATCCTCCAACATGGCCGCCGGGCTCACTTCCAACATTTTCATATCCGTGTCTATGGGAGGGGGAGATGGAGGTTCACAATGACCGTGTTATGTTTGCAATGGCCGGGTGTAGTGGTGCACACCTATAACCCGGAACCTTGAGGCAAGGGCTTGCAAACAGTGCAGATTTGTGAAATTTACAAATCCATTGGGCTGCAAGGTAGCCAGAAATGGCAGTACAACAAGTGGGTAAGTAGGGAAATGAATCTGTCCTTGCAGAATGAGTATTATTTCGTCACGGACGTGAAATATGTCCGCAAACTCTGGTTTCCTCCCAGATAGAGCAAAACATTATTAAACAAGGAAGACAAATCATGGATATGCATGGATTTAAGAACACTTCCCAACATGCTTTTGTGTTTAAACAGCTGTAAAACAGATACGTTCCAAGCTGCACAATGAAATGACGTCACACACAATTGTATCAGGAGGTGGATGAGGTGCACACATGACATGCGTCATCACCACATTGGCCGGCAAGGTAGGGCAAATACTTTTAGCACTGATTTTTGTTAACCAAAACCTGGGCAACCCTTTGATGAATTTGGCCTGTTTTCTCTCGGGTAAATCCCTAAAGCAATGAAAATTTTAACTGATATTTAGTTTATATTGGATCATCTTTTAGAAAATTATGAGATAAAGCTATTGCATTAATGCTTTCAACACTGGTTGGAAATCGTCAGTGGAACGTAGCCAAACATACCATTGCAGGACACACGACTGAGAAATGGGGTCTTGAGACTCAACGAGGTATCCCTGGATAAATAATTTACATGGATCTGTGTTTATATTTCTATCAGTGGGTTTACAAAAACTATAATGTTCACAATGGCCATTAGAGACCATGAGTCAGTCATGTAAATCTTGGGTTTAAAGTTGAAAATCTGGGTCTAAAATGTGTGCTTCTCTCCAGCAATTCATCCTGGTTGTTTCATGTTCATGACACTGATGACTTCAAAATGAACCCAATACAGCCAATGGCCATGCCAACACCGATCAAATCCTGGATTGAGCCCTGGGTCAAACATCTCTCTCAGTGGAATCATGGCTATGTTGGACTATCACTTACCTGTCATATCCTCCAGCAGGCGGCATCTTAGGTCAAAGTACTCCTTGCACTGAGCCAGCAGACTGAGGAGACACACATACACATACCATGTATTTCCCATGCCTCCCTTTTTCTCACAAGTCCCATTTCTCCATGTCTCCATTTCTTCTTCTCCCAGAATTTCCCTTCTGTTCTCTGTGCCTCTTTTCCCCAATCTCCTCCCTTCTCCTCTGCAATGTCCATTCGCCTCCCAGCGACTTTCTTTAATTTCAATTCTACTTTTATCCTCCCCATGTATCCTCTACCCCCCCACCTCCCCCCGTGTCACTCTTCTTCTCCCCATGACTTCTTTCTTCCAATGTTGCATTCCTCCTCCCCATGTGCACTCTTCCATCCCCATGTCACACTACTCCCCATGCCTCCTCTCCCGTCCAAATTTCACCTTTCTCCTCGTCACGTCACCCTTCTCTTCTACACGACTTGCTTTTCATTTCAATGTGGCCTTTTCTCTCCCCGCTGTCTCCTTTCCGTGTCTTCTTTCCTCTCCCCTGTTTGTGTCTAATTTCCTCTGCCCTGCCCGTGTCTCCTCTCCCCTCCCCGTGTGTCCCCACCGCTGGTGGTGTCCCCGTAACGTCCCGGCCGGTGTCCACAGCGGTAGACGCGCCTGTAGAATGACCCTGAGCAGGAAGAGCAGTGGTTTCTGACCCTGGGAAGCGTCGTCCCCCACACCCCCTCCCATGGTGGGGCAGGAGGTGCAGCTCAGAGCGTAGAGCTCATCGCACGCAGCACGCCGCACCTGGGGGCACGGCGGGGAGAGGGGAGACATTAGTGGGGGGGGGGGGGGTAGGTAAAAAAATGGTGGAAGTGAAGGGGGAAGACTCTGGGAGAAAAATAAAAACAAGAGCACACCTCAGGGAGACACAGGAAGGTGGAGACATCAAGAGAATGGAGGAAGGGATGCAAGGCGGTGAAGGGAGACACGACGAGAGTAGGAGAGCACAGAGGAGAGAATGTTGACACAGAGGCATGCAGAGGTGGAGCGTGAAGATGGTTGACAAACGAGGAAAGGGGGTAAATCCTATAGCTGTCATCTCACCTCTTCGCTTGGCGAGCAGAGTAATATGTCGATGATGAAGTCAGAGACACAGGGAACAGTGTAGAATGCACCTAGGCACAAAGCAGCGAGGCATTCTGGGGTTAATATGATACAAAAGCGGCAACCACAATGTCGGACTCTCTGAACTATCATCATCTGATATTTATCGATAAGAGTGCAGGAGTGAAGGACGTTGGGTATTATTACAACCAAACACAGGGTGCGACAAGAAAACAATCATGGGATATTTATTAATACAAGGAGCTTTAGGAGGTTAGGATTGTGCAATGTTTATGAATTGCTGATGAAAACTGAACTGAAGACTTCTAGAAATGATTATCCCGAAACAGAATTAATTCTGAGAATTGCTTTCTCACCCAGAAAGCACAAGATTCCATCAGACCTGCTAAGTTAAGCAGGCTTAAGTCTGGAGGATAGTGCTTGGATTTTTGACAATCATGTGCCAAAAAAAACAGGTTTAGGAAGAATTGTGGGCCAGTCGAAATATTGTTTTGTTCTGTAATCCCCCCTCCCCCACATTCACCAACCTGCACTGACCAGCGTGGTGAAGTATGGACAAAAACCCCCCACGGCCCACATGGAGCAGGGAGGCACTCTTCCACCAGTGCATTGACAAACGGGCTGTACATGTACAAGTATGAAAGGGGAACAGCAGGAATTAAATATTACGGGTATTACCATCACCGAAGAGGCAGACTCATTATAGGATTATGGGAATTATTATTTCCAAATATGGCAACACCCACTAGGGAGCAAGGCATTGTGGGTAGGGCATGAGGCTGACCTATGAGAGAGCTGCGTAGCTGCAGACACGTGACGAGGAGTGAGAGGGCCTCGATGGACACGCGGGCGTCCTTGGGAGCCACAGCGAGCTGCCGGACACAAACACCGGCCTGCAGGACCGCAGAGGGGTCGCCCAACTCGCTTCCCGAGCTGCCCGTGCTGCCTGTAACATCACATTTAAACACAAAACACAAGCATTACACAATACAATTGTTGTGCAGTACAACCACGCGGAGACGAGGAATACTATAAGGGCTGTTGCCGTTTATTAACACACTCTCTCACTCGGCATCCTACACTCACACCAGTGTAGGTGCACTCTATCTCCGTCCTTCACCCTACCCCGGCTATCCCCTTGGCTCTCTCACTCAGCGACGAGGAGGGAGACCCTACACCAGCCGGTCCTTACCCTGGCCCCCGACGACGACCACGCCTCCGTCACGGGGTCCCCCCCTTAAGAACCCTTTGGGTGGCTATCTCCCCCCAGCTCGGCCCCGCCTACTTTCCCGAAAGTGCTTTCCTAAAGCCCCCTATGTAACCTGTGACGTTACGTCACCCTTGGCCCCGCAAAACTCTCAACCCGCTCGCTAATGTGTTATAAAATCACGGTTTGGGCAAGTTTTCGTCTAAGGATCAGGAATCGGGCTTGTGTGTTCAGGTCATTGGCAGGGCAGGTTGCTAGTTTCAAGTTTTTTGCCAGTGCCCAATAACAGGGCCAGTGTCAGAGTTAGTACCAGGACTTTTCATTAAGAGAATTAGGGCTAACATCAGCATTCGTGGCAGTGTTGGAAAGTAGTACCACTGTTAATGTCAGGGAAAGAATCAGAGTCGGTGTTAATGTGACTGCTAGCTTCAGGGCCAGGGTTAGAGTCCTTGTTAGTGCCACCATTAGAGTCACTGCAAACAGTAGGCTTCCGTCGCTTACCTGTGCTGCTTTGCCGACTGCGTCTGCCACCCCCCATCGCTCCACGCATGTAAATGACGCCGGGATCAGATAGTGGAGTCGTCCCCGACAGATCCAGACGCCCAGCAGCAGCCGCCCAGGAGACACGGACGAGACAAGAGACTGCGCTTGCAAAATCACATGACTCCATCGTCTGGGGCGACACAGGCGAAAGACAGGAGGCACGCACGGGGAGGTGAGGGGAGAGACGAGGAGGTGATCAAAGGCACAGGAATAAGAGAGACACAGCGAGAAGGAAGGAAACGGAGGACAAGGCAGACATGCAAAGGAAAGGGAGGCACAGGTAAAAGGGTAGCATGGGAGATAAAAAGGATAAAAAAGAAAAAGTGAAGGAGAGTGAGATGGGAAGGAAGGTGAACATTGCAGGAACAGGGTGTACGGATTTTTGAGAGGAAAGAGGAGAGCATAGGGGGGTGGGGAGGGAAGGAGGAACAGCAAGGAGAGGGGAGGACAGAGAATCAATGGAAGGCTTGATGAGACACAAGGAGACATGGCCAAACACAGGGAGACACGGAGGGTCATGGAGAGACACTGGCAGAGACAGAGGGACATAGGAAGATGCCAAGGGGTACAGGAAGACACGGAGGGATACGTCACTATACACCCAATCAGGCTCCGTCTACGCCGTACGTTAACTCAGCGCCCCCCCCCCGCCCCACTCCCCAGATCTGGTTTGGAACGTGCCAAGTGGACCCCGCTGGGCACCTGTATGGCTGCTCGCGCTGCCGGATGCACGTCGTCGATGCGGATCGACGCGCGATCAGACGAGGACTGCGTCCCCGTGCCACCGCCGCTGCCCACAGACAGGCGCGTGGAGGGAGTGGCGGGCTGAGTCCCTGAAGCGGTAGAGAAGGGGGAGGTGCTGGCGTTGGTGGAGCAGATGGAGCCCGTGGCTGGCGATGACGACGAGGACGACGATGGCGTTGACGGCGACGTGGTGGTGTTGGAGCGGAGGTGATGGGCGGTGCGGGCTGGACGCGACGATGGGGATGGGCGGCCCTCGTTTGTCTCCATGGCGATGTCGTCGGGAAAATTGTTGTCGAGGGGAAGGCCGACGAGCAAGAAGCTGAGAAGGAAAGGGGGAGGGGACATGAGGAGGAGACATGAGGAGGGGAGTAGTCCTCTCATACCTATAGACAACAAGGCTAGTGACGCTGTCGGTGGTAATGGTGGTAACAATAGCGATGGTGGTGGTGGCAGCAGTGCTAGCAGTGGTAGCTTTGGTCCTCGTGTTGATGTGGTGATGGTAGTGATAATGGTGGAGGTGGTGATGGCAGTGCTGGTAGTGGAGAAGGTCACGGTGATTCGTGGTGGTTGTGTTGGGTGTTGCCAAGCACTGGTGGTGTTAGCGGTGCTGGTGGTGATGATTGATTGTGGTGATAATTGTTTGTTATGATGATTGCAATAATTAATTGCTTAAGATCAATTGTCACATGCTCACAACACATGCATCATGTTGCAAATGTATTATAATTTAAACTATATGACAATACATGACAAGAAAAATAACAAGAATCAATTATTTAACTAAATCGTGACCCTGGACCATGGCAACTCATTGATTCATTGCACAAATCATTACATGACTAACATTTCATTGCGCAGATAACAATCATGTTAATGTTGTTGATGTCTGACCGGGCCAACTGAAGACAGATGGAGTAGATGTCTTGTCTCGTCTCGTAGTCCGTGTCCATGGGAAGAGTGTCTCTCTCCATCACTCCCACAACGAGGCTGAGTGGATCACATAGTGGGGGCAGTCACTCCAGACTATACCAACTCAAATACACATATGGATGGTCTCATACACAAATTCATGGACTATACCAACTAAATGAAAAATAAAATAATAATAATAAAATGAAAATATCTCAATTAAATCACGAACAGCTGTGGCTGTTCCACCTGATGGCGGAAGCTTGTGTTGCCTCCGAAACGTCGTGATTTAATTTAGTTATTTTAACTTTTTTTTCATCTACGTGACTTTACTGAAAGAACCAAAGAGTATGGATCCTTGCAGTCACGAAAACTTCAAATCTATAATAATACCAACTAACACAACAGAGGATGTCTCGCATACCACACCGAGGAGAGGTCTGACGATGACTATGATGATACAGCTGCCGATGGTGGTGAAAATGGTGATGATAAAGACAGTGATATCTTACTTCAGTCCTCCTGCTTGAACAAAGCCCTCACAGAAGGATCGAGCACAGTCCCGAGCCATCTCATCTTGAGACAACGGCATGAGCTTCGAGCTCAGAACCTGCAACAACATCAGCAAGTCACAGCAACAATATCAGCAACAGGAATAACATCCGTAGCATCAGCAGCATTATCACCATCAAAAGCATTCGCAGAAGCAGCAATACCAGCAGCAGTGGCATCCACAGAAGTAACACAACCATTAGCGGGAGAAATATCAGCAAAAGCAAACCCACAAGCAGGAGCTGCATCAGAAGCATTAGCAACAGTGTCAGCAACAGAAGCAGCTTCATCGTCGGCATCACCTCCCCGTGACTGCCTTGCCCTCTACGAGTCTCCCCGTACCTCCAGGTTGTAGAGAACTCTGAAGGTGGACATGCCGGTGGAGGAGAATCGGAAAAGGCTCTCTAGAACGGAGCCCAAGGCCTGGATGCTGTTGCATCTCCCATCTGCAGACTAGACACATCAACAACTTCAGATGAATATCACAACCATTATCATCATTATCAGTAGCAACATCACCTTCAGTCACCCTAAACATGTCATCAGCAAAAGTATCACCATGAAATTCATCATCATTACCACAAACATCGTCACCACAAACATCATCACCAACATCATCACAAACATTATTAATCGATTATTAACCTAGTAATGTTAGCTTGGTGTCTATCGTACAGCCATTGTGAATATAAACTAAAAACTTTTATTTTATTTCACCAGTTAAGGTCCACTAAGCTATATAGCTCTTTTTCAGAAGGGACCTGGTCACAAATGATTGCGCAACGAAGTGGCTTATTACGTGGAGATTTATAGCAGCCAAATACTCTAAACGCATGCCGATTCTAAATGTGGAGGGAAAAACCGGAGGGCCCAGAGAGAAATGCAGGCGATCAAGGGGACAACACGCAAACTCCAAATAGACAGGCGTCAGGGTTGGGCTCGAACCCACGACCTACTGTATACCAGGAGAAGTAGTTAACATCTCACCACCGTGGCACCCATATGACATACCCATTATGAGCAGCCTGAGACAGAGACCACAGTACTGGGAGGTTTGAACCGATTACATAAGCAGTGCTGGCTCCGTGGTTATGACAAGGGGGGTGGGGATTTCAAATTTGGGGGGGTCAGGGGGGCAGGCATGTAACTAACAGATTGAATTGTGCACCTAAAATGAATTTGCGATTAAAACAAAAAAATTGCAAATTATATGCACATTGTATATCAGTTCATGACAGGATTGAGATGGAATGAAACAGTACAAATTAATTAATTCGTCACATCACAGCACATGGTGGGGAGCGAATAGTGAATACTTCGAATGGGGGGGGCCCATGTTCATAAGCCAAATGGGTGCACAAATGTTTTGAAAAACACAACTAAGGGGGTGGAGTGCAGGTGCCCCAAAGTGTTGAGGCCCCTGTTCCAACGGAGTTATTATGAACCTGACACGGCCATTATGAACCTGACACAGCCACTGAAGCCTTTAAGAGAGAGACACGAAGCCCCAGGGGTTTAAGACCAAATCCAGCACCTCAGTCGTGCTGGCAGAGGCTCATGACATGGCTTTTATGAACCCAACACGGTCATTATGAAGGCCAAAGCACCTTTCGCCCCAAGGCATCCAGGGTATCTTGGACTGAAGGGTCCGTGGGAATGAGAAGCAGCAGGTTCCGAACTCGCACAGTCAGCCTGTAACCAGCAACACGACAGTATTAGACCTTAACAATCAACATGATGGAATCGATGCAAATTTCCACCCGCTAATGAATAGTACCATGATATTAAACAGTATTATCATGAACACATTTGTAATGTGACTGTGTTAATGTGGTTAGAGCACTCAATTCAGACAGGAAGGTTGCAATTTCAAATCCTAGTCAGATGTGTAAACTCGTCATTATGATCACCATCAACAGCATCATCGACAAGATCATTCATATCACAATCAACACCATTGTTACTTTGCATCGGCACCCTTATCAACATAATCACCACAATAATCACTGGCAGTAGTATAATTATTATCACCAACTTAATGATCACCATCGTTACCAACACTATCATCGCCAACACCAACACCATCACTCCGAGGCTAATAAAATAAGCAGCACTTCTCAGTAGGAAGCCAACAGCAGTCGTGTTCTATGCAGAGACTGGCACGGGAACGTGGAATTTCCGCCAAAGACAGGGGGGCGCCACAGGGCTGGGCGCTACTCCAAACTGGCTTAAGCAGGGAGAGCCTCTGATCTTGACCTACGATGGATGCATGCGAGTAGCCTACAGCACACTGATGAGCCCCAAAAGAGGCGAGTGTCACATTCACGAGTCAAACCTAGGCTCGTCGATGTTGGCGAGCTGGTAGAGGAGGTCGAACATCGGTTGCCCTAGTGCCATCACAACACCGGGCAGGGATTTCTCCTGTAACAACATCATCACCATGAATAACATCATTTATAAAAAATATAGTTTGGTAGGCAAACAATGAAAATCTGTATTTCTTTAGTAACCATTGGCTGGCAGGGTGGCACAGTGGTAACAACTGTGCCTCAAGCAATAAGGGTATCGACTCCCTTCCCGACTCAGTTGCCTTTCTGTGTAGAATTTTAATGATTTCCCCCTGTTCTGCATGTGCTTCCTCCCATGGCCGTAAAAACATAAAATGTAATGAGTATTGGCCAAACATCCCAACGATGAAAATTAATCAATTCGGATTACACATAGCAACATCGCCCTCCCCCCATGGCAAAAACTTGGCAGGGCCCTCCTGAAAAGTCTTGAAATTCATATTAAAAAAATGTCGGGGTAAGCAAGTGTCAAATTTAACAAATGCAACCTTCCCTGAATTGCTAATCAATTAATGGGAAGACGTCACCTGATCTAGCCCATACGCGTTGCCAGTGGCGGCTGTATCCGTGGCGGTTGCTGCCGCCCCGCCGCCTCCTCCTCCTCCAGCTGCCGAAGAAGTGGAGGTTGCCGACCCCGATGCGACCTTTGCCCCAAGCTGCTGCCGCTCGGCAAAGTGCAGCTGGCGGAGGAGCTTGTGGTTGCGGGAGGAGGTGAGCTGAGGGAGACACGGGGACGCGGAGACTCACATGCAGCAACAACAACGCAGGAGAACAGCTGCGGGGACAAAGTGACACAGGAGGAGATGGAAAATGTGTTGCCCATCTCCTCCCTCGTGCTTCCTTCACCACACGACTCCCATCTCTTTCTCGGGTCTCATTTCTCCTTCCCGGGTCTCGTTTCTCCTTCCCGTATGTCTACTCTTTTTCCCGCATATCCTTTCTCTTCCCCGTGTCTTAAAAGTCTTCCGGGCATCTTCCTTCGACCAGTTTCTTTGCTCCGCCCCCCCTATGCATTAATTCTCTGCTATCCATATTTTCTTACTCGTTTCTCCCATCTCTTCCCCATACCATCCATCTCTTTCTCATGCCTCCCTGCTCTTCCCCACATCTCTATTCTCTTTCCCATATAGCCATTGCCCTCCTTATTTCTGATATTTCATTATCTCTCCAGTCTCTTGCCGATATCTTATTACTCCTCCCAATATCTCCCTTCTCCTTCTCCAGACTTCCACAGCCTCCCAGTGTCTCCATACGTTTTCCTGCATCTCCCTTCCCATCGCCATGTCTCCCATCTCGTCTCGGTGCCTCCTTTCACCTCCCCCCAAGTCTCCTTTCCTTCTCATCCATTCCCTGTGTCTCGCCATGCGTTCGTACTAACCAAGGTGTCGTTGGCAAAAATCTGGAGGACGTCTTGTGAGCAGGGGATGTGAGCCGCGACACGAGCTCTCACGCTGCTGACTGTCTCGTTGCCATGAGCCTGCAGGGGCCACGGTGGGAGACAGGGGTGAGACTCGTAGTGGAGTTCACGTTACGGCACCAAAGACAAAGACCCACGTATAGCCTTTCACAGACTGTTGGGGGCAAAAGCGATCAGCGAGCACCTATGAAGGCCGGCAAGACACACGAGGAGGAAGGTGGCCAGCACCATACCCGGCCACATTTTTATCTTCCGAGTGCTGGTGTTTGCACACTGCACTAGGTACTCATTTAAGACTGAGTTAACCTATGGAAGACCCGGAACCAGTTCAATTGTCACCAAAGTTGGTGTATGTATATACAAGACAAATATCTCCTGTATAACCTTTACAGACCTTTTGCTAAAGTGCTGTTAGCAGCACGGCACACAAACGAGTGGTTGGCAAGCACCATGCCCAGCCACCTTTGTCTCCCAAGTGGCAATGTTTATACATCTCCACTAGGTACTCGTGTAAGGCCGAGTCAACTTAAAAGAGTGCCAGGACCGGTTCAGATAATCACCACTGATGTTGACCGTGAGCAGGAATCAAACTCAGTTGGGCAGGTTTGTGTGCAAACCACTACAAAACACCACTCCTCACTGTATGTATATATACACATATGCGCAGACATCGACACACAAGCACGTATTTAAACCTGGAGCCGAGTCTCAATCAAGACTCCAATTTCGGTCTCAATTGAGACTCCCGAGGGCCCCGGTCTTGTTCACCTCTAGTGTGAATGAGGTTCCTGTCCCATCACACGACACGTGCAGGGTGATGGGATGGCCATGAAACGAGGCCCCATGGGGGAGCAGGGTCCGCGGAAATGCATCGGCACTGGAGTCCTGAAGGAGGACACGGGAGACAAGAAGATGAGGAAAGTCTCACTGAATCACTGACTCAACCGCTCATTCATTAACTCGCTCACATTCACTTTCTCCCTCACTCACTCAACCTAACACCCATCCACTAATTTCCTCACTCATATATTCAGTTACTCTCCCATTCTTTCACTCAATCACATACCTATTCACCTACCCACTCAATCATCCACTCATTTCCCCACTCTACCACCAACGCATTCACTCACTTACCCACACACTCATTCAGTCACTCACTCATCCATCCGCTCATACAATCACCCACTCTTCACATACACACCTGCTGACCCATCCATCCCACTCAATTTCAACTTTCCCACTCACACGCTCACCCACCCGCCCACCCACCCACCGATTCGCTCACCAACCCACAAACTCACTCATTTGCTCATCCACCCACGAGCTCACTCGCTCACACACCCAGCCATCCATCCACCCACCCACCCGTCCACCCTCCCAACCACTCACCCACCTCAATAGTGACAATATATCGCTCCGCCAGAAGTAAGAGCCTTTCCAGAGTCAAAACCCTCCTTACCCTGGCATTGAACAAACAAAAATCCATCAAACAATCAATCCATCAATCAGAGTCAATACAATTTTGTTAAATAAAGGACAGATCTTGAATCTGGATGGGCCCATGAATGTGTAAAAGAAGGCGCAACCAAAAACAGAGAACGCGTCCCTAGTAGCTACACACCTAGGCCGTGCGTCAGAGTTTTAATCTTCATTTGTGAAAAATATAACAAAAAATCATGGTCAAGCACTTTATTATGGCAGTTACATCACCGATACGTCACTATTACACGATTCAATTTGTCAATGCAGCGGCATGGCCAGTGCGCTGTGACCGAGTGCCTGACCATGACTTTAAAAAGTTAGTTTTATCTCACTATCGAAGCTTCAAACTTGTGTCAGGAAAGTGTGAGAACGCCTGGGTGTGTGGCTGCCCGAGATGAGCCGTGCGATTTCTGAGTTGCATATTTTCCTATAAATAAGAGATGCCAGAAACCTTGAGGGGGCGTCGACGGTGCTGGAGAGCTCCGGGGAAGCCGTAGCCGTTAACGTCCGCGTCGCACGGCCCAGCACGTGGCAGACAGAAGGCACGCCGCTCAGACCTCCACTCGCCGCCTGGGACACACACGTGACGGGGGCGAGAGGAGCGGAGAGAAGGGAGTTAAGAGGAAGTTGATGGCAGATAACCGGAATCAACCAATCAATCAAACATCTTTTCTAATAGCTCCCTTTACAATAAAATTGTCAGACAGCGATTTTGATGACAAGCTGATACTTCGTTTCTCCGCCCGTTGTCATCAGCTGGCGGAGAAAGGAAGCAAAAGTTTATATGACGGGAGGTATGGAGAAGAAGAGAGAAAGAGCAGAAGGGAGTTAAAGGGAGGTGATGGGAAATGCCGGGAAGCAAAGGATGACAGGTAGAAGAATGGTGGCACGGGCAGAGTGAAGTAGCAGTATGGGTAACGGGAGGCACGGATAAATCAAAGGAGTCATGGAGAGAAGAGAGACACAGGAAGAAAGGAGAAACAAAGAGAAAGGAGACAGACTAATTAGGGGAAACGCATCAAGATGTCAGGAAACATATTGGAGATTGGGGTAAAGGAGAAATAGAGAGGGGCAGAGAGACAGCGAAGATAAGGGAGATGCAGAGTGAGAAATGAAGAAGAAATACGAGGGTTTGCGGATCTCACCTCCAGTCTCTTTTGGCATTCAGAGAAGAATTTCTTGTGAAGCGAGGATGGGTCCTGAAATTAAATGAACATTTCCATGTTCTGATTCTAGTCTTGACAAATCAAAATAATCTTTTGAAAATCAACCAAAATTGCTCTCATAATAATCCGATTTTGGTTATATATTGGCAAATTGACTGAATGTCCTCACCCAATTCCTATCTTGAGTAAATCCGCATATAGGCATTTAACCCCGTGATTGTCTGTTCTTGTGGAAATATGTTTCAAAAAACACAATTAACCAATGTTCATCTCTGCACATAATGATAACTTTATGTTCCATCAGCTAAAGGGCCCTCAGGATCAATGTTTTTCAAACCACAGACCAGTTTCACTTTCAACAGATGTAATAGTGATCATCTTTATTTTATTAAGCACCTTTCAAAACAAAGTATTTAAAAGCACTGGACCTTAAAAAAATACACTTGTTATAGCCAAGCGCATTCCTAAAACACCTCAGGGCCTGCAAAGTCCCACCATGCTCCTCCAGATAAAAAAAAAATCACCGGTTGGTGTCACTGACACAGCCATTATGAACCTGACCCAACCATTATGAAGTACCTGAGAGACACACATAGACACAGACCCAAGGCTCAAGCACAGGATGTCAGCAGTGTCAGATCTGCCTCTGACACAGCCAGTATCAACCTGAGACAGCCATTGTGAATTGCAGTGTACCTTCTTGAGGCGAGGGTTGAGGCATGTGAAGCCGTAGCTGATGATGAGGTTGATGGCTTCATTTGCGATGTCATCATCACTTGTTTCCATGGCAACCCGCCAGATGAAATCCATCCCCATTAACTCTGGCTTCTCTACGAGCTGGGAGCATGCGGTAGAGACGGGGGCAGGGATGTTAGCGAGCACTTATTAAAAAGGCACCCAGAGGCAAAGCCAGCTCTGTGTTGCAGCTGGTGTGATTGTATTATGGTGGTGGTGTTCTTGAGTTGCGGTCGTGTTGAGTTTGCAGCTACGAGGGGTGAAATAATTGGCCTTTGCCTGACATGGAAGGAATAGTTTGTTAACAAAACATGAAGGGTGAGTTAGAGGCTGTCCCGTGTTTTGAAGGACTAACACATATCATGAGGAAATCAAACCAATCATTTTTTTGCAAGTGTCCAAGGGCCATTCAATTGGCACGTAAGCTGAATTGTGGAAAATTCTGGAGACAAAAGTAAAAATGTGGAGAAAGCCCACATTCCCAGACTTGGCTCCCAATGCCTTACAATATGTTTCCACAGTTAAATAATAATAATAATCACTCATGGGAAAAGCTACTTCTCTATATAGACAATTCAAACTTGCATTGGACAACCTGAAACAAAGGAACTGTGTGCCGTTACTAATTGAAAGCTGTGAATTTAATTCAGTGGGTTTCCTGCCTGTTTGTATCCTACTCAATAAAATTCTGCTAAAGACTCCTGTATCTTGTCTGTCTACTTGCCAGCGGGCGTTCGACACTTCACATGGCCTCAAGGTGCACATAGCTTGGCACAAGCGTTGTTGTGACGTCACCGCCACTTAGTGGCGAATGGCGGTTGTTGTTCAGTCTATGTATGTATGTGCGAGTCCATTTGTGCGTGTAACTCTATTTTTGTGTATCAATACATTTGCGTGTGTAACTACATGTGTTTGTCTTTTTCGCCCGGGCAACGCCGGGTACTAACCGCTAGTTTTATATATAATGCGTGTAAAAATATTACCATTTGCCCAGCCTGCTTCTTCAGTCGATGCTCATTCATGTTCACGCTCTCAAAGAATGCCTTGAACAGATTGAACGCTGACGCGTGTCACACACACACACATGCCAATTAGTCATGATCAACCACTCCAAAGAACTGAAAACAACCCTGAAATCTCAATCATTATACATGCAATGAATTGTGGGGCTTTTCCCGTGATGCTCTGCTACCTATTAAAACACAATTTTACAAAAACAACGCACTATGGGTATATACATACATACAGGTGGCGAGAAGACCGCTTGTGTTGCGATTGAAACGTCGTGGGTTTTTTGCTTTGAATTTAGATTTTCGTTTTCTATCTACATGACTTTAGCGAAAGAACCAAGAATATGAATTCCTGCAGTCACGAAAGTTTTAAGTCCAAGAATGTCCAAAACCCACTCAATATCTAGATAAGAATTATTTGTAGAATTGTATCCATGTTTTTTAAATTACCAATTAGAACACACTCTTTAACAAATAATGACAATGCCATGTGAGTGTTTTTCCCCATGATGCTCTGGGGCGTGTGAGGGGGAGTCACCGTTCATGGACATTTCAAGTGGCTCCAGACGGAGAATTTTGTCTTTGAAGAGACGCTGCTGCGTGTCCGGCTCCAGGTCGTGAAGACCACGGGTGAACCACTCGAGACACAGCTGACAAACGCACATACACACAGACCGACATGGACACACATGGAGAGACAGAGACGTTACATGGCAGAGAGACACACAGATAGAAAGATTACTACTTTATTAACGGACAAAAACATGGACAGAAAAATTAAGTCAGACACAAACACAGATCAATTGTCATCAATGGCCAAACAGGTACTGATAATTATCCACACTTCCAGACAGACAGTGACACGCATAGACACACCGATGCAAAGAAAAGGACAAACATAAAGATATATACACAGAGACTGACTCATGGACAGTCAGATAAGCCACAGAAGGGAGATACGAGGACAGACAGACACACACACAAAGGCAAACAGACACTCACATCTAAACACGTGTGCATGTCTACACACAAACATATGCACATCACACAGATATATAGACGGATATACACACTCACCTCTCTGTCTGAATCGCATGCATTGGGGTTGGACACCAGGCAGTCCCAAATGTCGTTGGCTCTGCTCTGGGACAAATACAGGGCGGCCACTTGGAGGAAGAACGCCAAGAACTTGAGATGAGCCTCCACATGCTGGGAACATCAACATCAATCACAACTATCAGCAGCAGCAGTTGCATAAGCAGCAGCAACAACAGCAGTATCACTAGTAGTATTATCATTAGCATTAGCACCATCAGCAGCAACAGGAGCCGCATCACTGTCAGCATGATCGCCAGTATTATAATTAGCAACATCATCACCAGCAGTGTCATCATGATCATCATCTGCATCATGAGCTGCAGCAGTAGCAAGACCATCATCATGAGAAGCAGCACCATCATTATGGTGCACCATCATTCTGGTGCTGCTTCAGAAGAAACTTTATCAGCAGAATATTAATAGAAAACTAAATTCAAGATAAAAATATATCAGTAGAATATATTAATATAATAAACAAAAACCCTAGGATGAATCCTATATTTATGTTTAAAATTAGTGAATAAAAAAAACATGAATAATCACCAATGTGACAAAAAAATCTATTATAAATATCTCAAAAACCTTTAAAAATATCCATCAGCTCTCTAAATATCAAATGCCATCATTACACCAGAAGTAGCCAAACTTCCCAATTCAAGACCCTCCTGAAAACCAGTTAGTCCTGAGACTCAGTGAGGATGTAATGGATTAATCATGAATTTATGTTTTAGCCCTTTGCTGATCTACTGCTGGATGAAGACCTCCTTATACCATGTCAGTCATGGAAGTTGTTTGACCATACTTTACCATGCTGGTCAATGCAGCTTGATAAATCTGTGGTGGAGGAATTGGGGGTAACCTAGGACCGGTTGAGAATCACTCGCCACCCGATGTTAGCCATGGTTGGAAATCCAAATCATGTCATTAGGTTCATAGCACAGCGTGCTAAACACTGCACCACCACCCCACCCCCTGGATAAATTGTGACATCGTTGATATTATTAATAACGTTGTTGTATTGTGTTGTTATTGTGAGTGGAAGGCAAGAGTTGGAGACGCACATCACGGTGGGAATAGCGGCCGTCCACAAGCACGGACCCATCGAGGACCCCAGGACCTGAGGACCCGACAGCTGTCTTATGGGTGGCCACCAGGCTGCCTGTCACCATTTTCACCATGTCCACATGTTTCTTGAGCTCCTGGATGATGCCCTGAGGGGGAGGGAGTGAAGAGAGGGCAATCTCTGAACTGCATTCCACATCATTCATCTTTGATACAATGCAGTGCCCCCATGGATAACACAATCAATGAACATTACTTTATACATTTCACATACTCTGAAGAAAGCAGCTGGGAGGCATGACCAAAAAGCACAAACTCAAAGAAGAACCATTGAGCAGCAACCTCCCTCAACCTGTTTGCGTAGACACACAATCAGCTATTGATCTTTCTTCCCCTCCCCATGTCACAATTCTTCTTCCCATGTCTCCCCCTCTCCCAAGGTCTTACTTTTCCCCATGTCTTCCCTTGTCCTCCCCGTGCTGCCTTCTCCCCAAATAACTTTCATAAATGATTTCAGCCCCCTCCCTCCTGAAGTTACTAAAGTAGAAATTAATTTGATGACCAACCTTTTCCTGCTTCTGGTAGCTGTGTTCTAAGAGGCTCTTCACCATCTCGTGCAGATGCCTCAGTAGAGGAACCACCAGGATGCCCTGTGGCGAGATGCAAACACGTAATTATAACTGTCACACACACTTAAACCCAGAGCTTGAGCCCTCACATCATGGGTGTGAAGGTATCGGACGATCAATCGATTCAACAATGACATGGAGTTTTACGTGATATATGCATCGATTAATGTGTGTAAGAATGTATTATTCATGATTTATGCAGACGATATGCTAAGGCTATATTCAAGCTCATAATGCAAACACAAACGATAATAATTCGGCAAATAATCGAAAAATTACCAATGAGATGCCAAAAAGAGAACAAAAGAATCGATTCTTAAATCTTATTGCAACCCTGAATCTTGACAATTAATAGAAACCCGGGACTTGAAGCCAGGACCAGCGTCTCCAGCATGACCATTATAAATCATGCAGGTCATGTGGGCACCTTCTTGAGGTCTTCTACACAGCGGAGAGCGAACGATCTCTTGAGAGCATCCCGCGTCGAGTATGGCTCACAGCACACGGCCATGTGCTCAGACAAAGCCTGCTGGACCAGACTGCAAGGCAGCGACTGCTCGTGGGAGAAATCCCACAGCAGGTCCAGCACCTAGGAGGCACGAGGAGGGAGACACAAAAATGAGACACGGGAAGCAGAGACAAGGAGAAGGAAGAGATATGGGGAAGAATGAGATGCAGGGAGCAGGGAGAGATAGGAGGAGAAATGAGAAATGCTGAGGGAGAAGAAAGAGGGGGGAAGGGAGACAAGAGGAGAAATGAGACAAGGGCTGGAGGGAGATAGGTGGAGGAGAAAGGAGACATGGAGAGAAGGGAGATGCAGGGAAGGGAATAAAAGAGGACGTGAAGGAAGGTACGAGAAGAGAAAGAAGAAACATGGAAAAGTGACACGGGGGAAGGGTGATAAGGGTAAGCAAGCGATATGAGCAGGAGACAGAAGGAGAAGAAGGACAGTGCGGAGAGGTGAAGTGACCAAAGGAGGAGACGGGTGACACAAAGAGGTGAGAAAATAGACCGAGGACATGTTATCTCACTCACCTTGGAGGTTGTGCTCTCCGACCTCCCCTCCCGGCCAATTCGCCCAATCAGAGTGAGGAGTTTCTGTCTCACCCTGTCGCTCTCCGAATCCCAGCTCTGCGGCAAGAGACAAAACCACCATGGGTTTTTTGGCTAAAAACTGCGACACAGCATGATGATCTGTCCGAGCGGCGCTGTGGTCAGAGGACTCGGCTCACATTCAAAAGGTCACAAGTTCAAATCCCAAACGGGGACTGTCATGAAAGCTAGACGGAGTGGCGCGCACTTGTAATCAAAATATTGGTGGCTCACGTACAATCGCGAAACTCTCAAGCCTGTAGGATGGAAAAGTAGCAAGGAGATGGAAGTACAGCAGGTGGAATCGCGAACTGCTTAGTGTTCATATGTGTGGAAAGGCTTTTTGTGGGTGCTCTGGTGTCCTCCCACATGCAAAACTAAGAGGAATCTACCAATCATCCAAATGCAGAATCATATTGAAAAAAAGAGTCTAAAAACTAATGAGGGTCCACTGGATAAATTATTACATTATCAACAACACCATCCACCTCTTTCCAGGGTTGAGATAATGAGTATCACCACTTTTGTAGCAAATGAACGACAGTGGGCCCCCAACATGAGAATGTGGAACTTCCACTGCCTTCAAAGGGTTGCTCAATGAGAAGAGCTTTGTAATGTACAGTCTTTTAAGCAGTGGCACAATTTGCCTTCATTGATCAACACAGCCTCAACATTTGTACACAGTGATGCTGACACAGCAATTATGAAACAGACATGGCCATTATGAACCCCCCGCGACAACCAAACATAAAGCAGGAACCCCGGAGAAGCCGATTTAACATTTCCTTTACGTACCCAACATAGCTGTTATGAACCATTTGAAAACGAAAAAAAGACAGGCATCCCTGAGGATTGAATATTGAATCAATGACCTCAGTTACCAGTTGTGTCACCAACAAAGCCAGGGCTTGAATGCATAACCGTAATATCTCCGACACAGCCATTATGAACCTGACAAAGTCATCACAAACCCCAATCTGAGCCAAAGTGGTGTTCATCAAGTGCTGATAACTTCTGCAGGGATGTGAAGTTGTCTGGGTGTACCTGGTGGATGAGGTCAAAGAGGTGGTGAAGTTGCTGGTTTCCCAAGTGGGTGGCGGAAGACGCGAGAATGGAGTGGATGTTGTCCATCACTGTGGTCGACTGTCCCGTCTAAACAAAAAAAACAATAGCTCAACTCACCCGCTCGTTTACTCGCCCACACTACCACTCTCTCAGTCATTCGTTCACTGACAATTATTCACTCACCCATATATCCACACATTGGTTTACCCAATACACTCACCTAACACTTGCTAATACTCTTACTCACTTGCTCAACAAATTCATACTTCAACAACTAATCCATGCACTCAATAACCACTCCCACACACTCACCCATTCCCCCAACCTAATGACCCCACACTTACCTGCATTTTCCATAATGAGGCAATCTCATCGAGGGTCAGTTTGCTACCCAAAGCATCGATGATTCCCTTGACTCGGTCACAGTATTGTGCTTGGTCTATATTACCTGCACACATCATCACCATCATTAATATCACTTGAAGCATCATCATAGCCATCAACAGCAGCTTCACCATCATAATTGTCATGATCATTATCAATATAATTTCCACTATTATCGCTATCATCACAACTAGAATCAGCATCATTATCATGGCAGCAGTGTCTAAGGTCAAGACTTGAGGTCATGTGTTCAGAGCAAAGGCTCGGTGAAATTCAGTGACAAAATTATAGGTTTCAAATCAAAATTCCAGCTTGATGTGTCGAGTTCATGGTGTTTGCAAAGGCCAGGGGTCAAGCTCTGAATTCTTGAGCTCTTGGATCAAGGTTTTTGTTACGGGGTTCGGGTTGAGTATGAGGGGTAAAACTTGGATCTTGAATGCATGAGGTCAAAGGCAGATGGCAATCAGTTGGGGATGTGGATCAGCTGTGAGACGTTGAATTTTAGGAGTCGGAGGTCAGGTGTTGTGTTGACTTAATGGGGTCATGGGTCAAGATCCTGAATCCAAGTTAGTGGGATCAAGAATCAGCGGTCAAGTTCAAAATTCATGAGGTGGTAGCGCAAGTGCGCAGGGTCAGCAGTCACGTGATACGTTCGTGGGGTTAAAAGTTGTGGGTCGTGGTTTTAATAAGTGGTATCATAATCTAAGTTCGGTTTGCTGCGTCAAAAAAAGTCAGCGACCTGGAGTTAAGTTACCGGAAGTCACGAGAGTTTGTGAGATTTAAGTTTGTGGGATTGGAGATTGAGTTTTGAGGGTAAGATATTAGGTGTGTGGGGTCGAGGGTCTGAGGAGCGGGATTGAAAGTTTGAGGTTATTGGGCCGCACCCTCCAGAGCGAGAGACAGCACGTGCTGCTGCTCGAGCCACGAGAGCAGCTGCTCGCGTGCCATCGCGTCCCGCGAGGCACGCGCACTCGAGCTGTCCTCCAGCAGGCGGGACACCTGCAGCAGGGACAAAGACAGAGAGATCCCCCTGAGAGCCTTTAACAGACTTTTGGGGAAAGGCCTGTTCACAAGCACCAATGAAGGCCGGCAAAACTCATAAGGGGCCAGTGTGGCCAAGACAATGCTGATGTTTACACACCGCACCAATTATACATTTAAGGCTGAGTCGACCTGGGTGAGACCCAGGACTGGTTCAGATAAGATGTTGGCTGTGGCCAGGAATCAAACACAGGTCACTGAGGTAGCACGCAGTGCGCACTAACCACTGCATCATTATTTGAAATCCAGTCGGCATCAGCAACCGACAAAACAGAAGCAGCCGACGCAGCAAGAGGTAATGCAGTGGGTCGTGAAAGAGCAGGCGGTGCTTGATACTGCAGAAATTGACAGCGGGAGGTGCAGCGGGTGATATAGGTGGAGTAGTATGTGATAGAGAAGTAGGTGATACAGCTATAAGTGTGGCATGTGATGCATGCAGATATAGAAGTCGATACTGCAGTACGTGTCCCTGTAGGTGTAGCAGAAGGTGTAGCAGTAGATGATGCACAATGGGTATATGGGTAAGGTGTAGTAGATGATGTAGCAGTATTCGCAAAAGGGGATATAGTGAAAAGTGCATCTGCACGTGCAGCAGCTCGAACCTCCTTGAGTGAAGTCATCTTGGCGTTGAAGTGTGGCGATCGCAGCATACGCAGCAGGGTGTCGAGGCGCAGCAGGTCCACCTGCTGCGCCGCTTCAGCGCTCAAACGAAGGCACAGCAGTTTCAGGGACGACAGCAGCGATGGCACAGAGGCAAGGCGCTAAGACGGCAGAGAAGAGGGTGTGTCATCATTGTTATCATCATTAACGACATCAGCAGAAGCAAATGCAACATCAACATTCGCAAAGGAGCACACAGCAGCAACACACAGTTATCAGCAGCAGCAACAAAGGCAAGAGCAACATAACCAATTCCAGTCATCACCATTCTCATCAGCATCAGCACAAGTAATAGGAGCAACAGATACATCACCACAATCATTTTCACCACCACAATAATTCACACCACCAGCATATCATTAGCACCACCATCATCAGCAAAATCACCACCACCATCACCTTGTCCTTCAGATCCTTTTCATCCAGGTTCTGCAATGACGCCATAACTTTCTGAACCACAGGGTTGAACATCGTCTGCAGGATACAAGGGTTCATGAAAGCCATGTTAGAGACTCAAGAGTCCGCACCAATGAGATTATGATGACACATATGATCCATAATAGAGGTTTTTGGGTTAGATCGCGTAAATATATAAATGTGTTGTTAAAACCCGCCACCACCCAACAGAGCCAGCTAGTAAGGGTTGTCACGTAAACAGAACGTGCCAATTCGTCACTCGTACAGCACACCGATGTGTTGGAGAGCCAAGCCACAACAACACACTGGTGTGCTGTACTAGTGACGATGACATTGGTCGCGAAAGCCTACGTGTTAAACCGACACATATGATGTTTGGCAATGCTGCTGTGAATGCTGTTGCTGCCAATAATGACAATAATAATTATTATTTCAACTTGTAATGCGCCCAGGATTCATTCACTCTCAAAGAATAAGAATGGCTCAGAGGCACAAGGAACCACAGACAAGCGGGAAGGCAGCCAGGCGGTGAGCAGGCACCAACAATTAGGCAAGCTCTGAGGTCCTCTATAAATGAAGATGTTTTCAGAGAATGAATGATTACATGTGGGAGGAAACCAAAGCACCTGGAGCAAACCAACACATGCCAGGGGGCAACACTTTAGTCCATACATTGCAGTACTGCCTTCTGGTAAGCCAGGGTATGGCAGCTGGACGCCCATGGCAAGGAAGTTTCACAACATTTGCGTGATATACAAACCCCTGCCACCAGTGTTGATTAAAGGTGAGCACCACCACTGCACGCCAAATGATGCCGATGCTGGTAATGAATGAGGTTACCTTCATGACTGTGGGGTTGAGAAATTCTGCACACATTCCTAGCGGCTGCAGGACGGAGGCCATAGTCTGGAGGAACAAAAGAGGTATTTGTTCAGAATATACACCAACAGGACAAATCAGAGCAACTCACTCGTGTAGATGGGAAGTGTGCTGGCTTTGCCGATCTGCTTTAGCCATCCAGTGATTCGTTTAAAAGCTTGCGTGTAGTATACGATGGCTGGTGTGTCTTTGTCTGTCCGTCTGTGTAGCTGTGTGTCTGTCCATCTCAGTGTCTCTATCCGTGTCTCCATTTGTATAAGTTTTACCGTCAAGTCCAGATCTTCAGTCTCTGCCTTGGTCTTTATGGCGTTGAAACCTCCAACCTCGGCGAACTAAAACACACAAAGACATTCTCATTGAGACTTAAAGAGAGATGGAGCAAATTCTGTTAGTGGACACCTAATACCACTGGTACTATACAAGAGCATTGCATCGATACACTTGAAACCGAAGGCCTAGAGTTTGTATTGCATCTATACACTTCTTATTTGAGATATGGAGTCCTGTCCTGAATCAATAGACAAACCAATGAAGAAAGCCTCGTCCTTTCTTGATATCCTCTTTAATGAAGATGCAGTCTTGTTCTGCATCTACACACTAATCAATGAAGATGCACCACCTTGTGCTGTATTTGCGTTTGCCTGCCCACTGCAGCAAAAAGCCCCACCCATTGCAGCAGGAAGCCCCGCCTATTACAGAGAAGCCACACCAAAGAGTGAGAAATCCTGCTCATGACAGCGAGAAACTGCCTCGTGGAGAAAAGCCCCACCGCTAGAGGCGTCACCCACTATACTGACAAGCTGCACCCTTCGTAGAAATCCAGACCACGAGAACAAGAAACCTCGCCCAATATAGCAGGAAGCCCTGGCCACTACAAAAGAGCCCCACCCACTCAACCCTGCCCACTATGGAGAGGGCCCCCTACTACAGCAAAAAGGTCACAGCCACGACAGCAAGAAGCCCAAGTCACTGCATAGCAGCCCTGCTCACTTCAAAAATAAGTTCCACCCGCGGCATATCCTAGCAAAATCGTCAGGTGATTAAGGGAAGCAAAACTCCTCACGAGGGTTGAGGGAAGAAAAAAGTGTACCCACAGGTTGGCTAGCAAGACGAAGACTGATTACAATGGGTCTTCTAATTGTACAGTCTATCAGCAGAAAGTACTAATTTTAGTTCAACATATAATTCCAGAGTAATATTCTTTCTTTAAAAAAATGATAAAAAGAAAACACTGCCGTACCTTATTGATTAAATCCACAAGCCAGCCATAGGGTTCCTGAAAACAAGAAAACATTATCGTCATCTTATTTTAAACCAGTATGGAATATCACAATCATCACCACCACGAACACCATCAAAATGGCCACCAAAAAACACAACAATTAATCAGCACCACCTCCATTGCTATCACCACCATGTAGCTCACTCCTCCGCGCACCGTTCTCACTGTGAATAGTCAGCACTGTGTCCCTCTACCTTGCCAGGGGAAGACTCTGCAAAAGGGGGGTCATCCTGTGAGGAGGTGGAGGATGACGAAGAAGAGGAAAGGCGTGGTGTCTGGGAAGCTTTGGCACGGTTCTTGAAGTGGAACTCGTTCTCTGGGTTGAAGGCCTGTGTGACACAACCATACACATACATTGGTATATATATGTACATAAAAATACAAAGCACCTCCATATAGCGTTCAACAGAATGTTGGGACAAGTGCTGTTAGCGAGCACCATATTAAGGCCGGCACAGTACACGAGGGGGTGCATGGCCAACACCACACCCAGCCACCATTGTCTCCCCAATGCTGATGTTTACACACTGAACCAGGTACACATTTGAGGCCGAGTCAACCTCGAGTGTGTCCCAGAACCAGTTCAGGTAATCGCCACTGATGTTAGCTGTGGAATATAAATCCAGGTTGCTGGGGTCATAGAGCAGTACGCCACCACTCTCCATGTTTATGTACACACACACATCATACCATAAACACACACCGTCACACGTGTGAGGTGAGAAGAGAATATCCTGTGTGCTCACACACATATACTTACCAATGCAAGGTGGTCAGAAATGGGGGGCATGTGATTGCACACATACACACTATCACACAACCTCACTCACACATGCATGCTCATGCATACTTACACAATCCATGAGCCAATATTGGTACCACACATGTTATTCTATGGTTCTTTCGGTAAAGTCACGTAGATAGAAAAAATAATAAAATAAAAATAAAGTGAATAAAAATAATAAAAATATCACGACGTTTTGATTGCAACACAAGCGATCGAAACATCGTGACATTTTGGTTATTTGTATTCACTTTATTTTTATTATTTTTATAATTCTATGTACGTGACTTTACCGTAAGAACCATAGAATATGAATTCCTGCAGTCACGAAAGTTTTAAGTCACACATATGTTCACAAAACTGATAGTTCGGATTGATTTAATTGCCTAAAAAGAATGAATGATTGATCTACATGGCTAAAAAGAGTGAACGATTTAAAATGGTTATAACATCATCCACTGTTATTGGCTACATCAAGAAATCAGAGCCGCTAAAACTACACCACCTCTAGTGGTACCAATAAGTGCAATATCTGGTCTGATTTCATGAACTAACACTCACACATACTACATTTGCGCACACACTCAGACACACTGACACTCACCAGTGAGAGTGACGTGAGTAGAAAGGGGGACGTGTTCTTAGAAGAGAGCGTCTCTGCCGTGAGCTGCACCAGAAGCAGCAGCATGTGGAGGATCCCCTCCTGGATCTCCGAACCCCACTTGTGCACCGCACTCGACGTCAACAGCTGAATGACAAGGTTGAAGGGGGTCAGCCACACCATGCCATTGCTTCCTTACTTATGCCACATGCAGCAACTGTTGCAAAAATCTGCGCATGGACCGCTCTTACGTCTCGTCGTCACTGTCATTGTCTGGTGTAAAGTTTAACCACTGTTATGCAATCACTTTCATCTTTCAAGGACCACTCTAAAAGTCTCGAGACTGCTACCATCTGGCTTGAGGTTCCCCTTTTTTGACAATTGATGCGTCCTTCAAAGATAGCTCTTGCAGTTTCATCATAATGCTCATCTTGTTGGAACAGTGGAAACATCTCTCAAGGACCACTCATCTCATCATCACTATCTGACTTTAACACCTTACGTGCCCTTGCTCAATGTCTCTACCACAGCAATGATGAACCCCGGGAGATCGATAGACAGACACCCAGATCCAGGGCTGGAATCCAATGCTGGCTCAGGGTCTCTGACATGGCCATTATGATGCTATCAAGGTCATTATAAACCAGACATGCATATTACAAATTCCCTAAGATGAAGCCACCTAGATCCAGGGCTTTAAATCGGGTACTCAGCGATGCTGGCTCCATATGTATATTGAACCTCTTTCGCACCGTACATAGCCAACCATGCTAATCAGAGGTGTAGGGGAAGGACAACAAACTAAACCGAAAAAGCAGTTCTAAAAACATTAGTTCTTATTCAAATTTTTTAAATGCATAGCTCCAGTGGCTTCCTAATATCAGAAGGAAGAGCGTTCCAGACAGCCACCGAAGCGCATCTGAAAGCACGCAATGCAGTGACCCTCTGTGTTCGATAGTTAGTCAAAAGTTCCATGGTTAGCCATTTTCAGCACCATCATTGTGAGCCTTGCTGTAGTTTACCTTCTTAAAAGCTTCAGGCATGCAGCGCTCAATGAACCTCTTGCAGCTCTCATCTGAATCAAGGAGGTCTGATCGCACACACACAAATGTACACACCATAAGGCAAACCAAAGGCATCATATGCTTACCAAAAACCTGATCCCTAACCCTATTTGGATTTATAAAGCATGTAAATGTGACTGCTTCTAAAGACAGTGAGAATGTTTAATAGAAAACCAAAAAGTCCCCACACCTTGATAATAACCACATAATTAAAACACATATATAACCTTATTAACATACCTAAACTTAATTAAACAGAAAACAAAACAATTAAGATCCATAATAAACTTAAGGTAGGTTTGCATAAAAAATGGGACGTGTGCGGTTAATATTTGATATATTTTTTTTATGTTAAGTGTGTGTCACATCAATCACAGGTGTATGGAGGTGAAATCGTAACATAGAATTTATGATAAAGCACACGCCCAGGACACTAGAGAGCAAGAGTGTGAGACGGTGGCGACATCACTGCAGCATGCTGGATAGTTAAGATAGCCTCATTTAGTTTCCCTTTTAACGCAAGCTATCAAATGGCATACGAGAGGACAACACATCCATTTGGACCTTCGGGCGTGAGTCACCAACCCCGCTTCAATGTCAGGGTCAAGGTGAGGAGGTGTGGCTCGTACCATGCTTGGCGAGGCGTGTGGCGGCCGAGAGACACCGTCCCAGCGACTCGTTGCGCTTATACGGTATTGACCATTGCTCGGTGAACACTCTGTTCTCCAGGTCGTAGAGGCATGCAGCTGGGAAGGTGGGGACGCCCGTGCCATTTCCATTCTCGTCCTGCACTCGCCACCAGCCAGGGGACGACCGCCACAAGGCGGCAGCAGCGATATTGGAGTCAGCAGGAGCGCCATCATCATCGTCAGCAGCAGCAGCAGCGAAGTTAGCAGAAGCAGTGACACGAGGAAAGTTGGCATCAGCAGCGGCATTATTAACAGTAACACAACCACCACAAGCAGAACGATGTGCAGCTGTAGTACCGGTATCATTAACCGCATCAGTGTCAATGATAGCAGTATCATCAGCAGCAGCACTCTAAAGAGCAACATGAACATCTGCAGTCGAATTATGATTAGCAGTAGCAGCATTTCAACAACAGCAGTATTTGGCTAAATTGACAGCAGCCGCATCAAAATCAACAGCAGCAACATTTTCGACAGCAGCAACTTCACTAGGAGCATCAGCAGTAGCAGCATAATTAGCACAATTACCATTATCTGCAGTATAAGCCGCACTCTAAGCATCAGCAGCACCGTCATCAGTCAGCAGCAGCATCATCACTACAACCACGACCATCAGCAGCAACCTCATAATCAACACTCGCATGTTTAATTCAATAATTTGGTGGTCAAAAATCAGCAGTGACCGTATCATTATCAGTAGCATCAGACTGTAACCCATCATCATCAGGGCAATCAGCAATAGTGATTAATAACATCAACACCACCACCACCACAATCAGCGCAATCAACATTCATCGTGAATTCATCATCACCCCATTTCACTCAGGCAGGCAAACAAGGCGCTCATATTAAAACACACCCCTCAGTGTCTCTCCTCAAATAACCACTCCCGCATCTAAATTTACCTCCTCGACCATGGCGGCGCTAATTTTACCATAAAACTCTCCAAGGGCCGAGCTCACCGACCTCGCCTAGTCACCCTACTGGGGTCCCTTGACCCTACCCGGCCAATGAAACTAGGCCGCATCCCCCCCCCTATCCAACAATTTACCTTGAATCCTCTACTTCCCCAAAGTCTTGAGCGACACTGCACTCCCTTAGTCGTGCCGTACAAGCTCCCCCCAACTCTCCTTTATCAAATCAACTCGAACTAAAACCCATATCCTGACGGCCACGCCGACCGCCCCCCTCTTGCATAAGCCTTCCTACCGAACTTCCCTTCACTTGTCCCGACCAAAACACTAGGCCTTCCCCCCTCCACCTCCATACCCCGAGAAGACCATCTCCTCTCACCTCCGCTTCCGCGAGGTCGTCGTAGGCGGGCAGCGCGTCCCTGCCCGACACCGTCTTCATCTCCACGTCCTCGTCGTCTTCGCCGCCGCCACCGCCACCACCGACACCGCCTTCTCTCCCTTCCCTCTGGAGGCCAAGGCCCGGCGTCTCGTTGGTGAGGAAGGACACGGCGTCGCCCAGGTCTCCCTTGGCTAAGCTGAGCGCTCTTCGCACGGAGAAGGGGTCCGAGAAGCCCATGGCGAGCAGCGTGGACACATGCTCCTCGTCAACCTCCATCGTGACTGCTCCAAGTTAGAAGAAGTTCAACAGACAGCAGCTCCCGGCCATAGGAATGTGGAATTCCCCCCAGCGAAGGTGATTTGTGGCTCCCGCGTTGAGCGCGTTAACTTTGGAGCGTTGAGCGAGGAGACGCTCTGTGCTTTCACTTGATGCTGGTAAGGTTTTGCAATTAAAGTTTAAAAGACTCCCACATCATTAGCACCATCATCCCCCATCGTCGCCTCCTCACTTCTCTGCCTCATGAGCTTTGCATTGCGGAGATTCGATTTCGGATTTAAGATTAGAACCGAGTCTAAACTCCGTCGATTCCCATCCTTTTCTGTTCGGGTGCTCGAGGTTGTTGCGATTCCACGCCAAGCGATTCGATTCCTTGGGCCCCGAATGGCAAGATTCGAAACGTTTCTAAACTGAGAATCGATTCTCTGAGCGCGCTGGATTTGAATCGGAGACGACTTCTGGCTTGGCCATTATGAACCCGAGGAAAGATTTCAAGACCAGTATCGTAACTAGCGAGGGGACAGGGGGTGCTTTGCCACCCCCCAACCCCTGGTGGCCAAAGCTACGAGCTGGGCCCCCCCTTGACAACCATGAGGTACGCTTTCAACAGCGGTGTAAAAGAACAAAACACTTATTTAAAACGGAGTGCCCCTTACAACGTTAAATGTTCGAGACCGTGAGCGTAATGATGCGAGTCGGTGAGGAGCCGCGATATATAATAACCTTGGGTGCGACCGTACAAGAACAAATCAAATATTGGGGCTCCCATCTGACCAATCGCCGCACGCCTTGAACTGATGTCGTGACAACGCCACTGATCAAAACCCAGGGTATGAATCATGAAACTGGAACATCAGCAGTGCTCCATTCATATCATCGACACGTCCATTAGAGACACCATTTGAAGATTTATTTGATATAAGTTTCAGTTACTCATCTTACATTTCGATTTAAAGCTTTCGTGACTGCAGGGATTCATAGTCTTGGTTCTTTCGGTAAAGTCACGTAGAAGGGAAATAATAAAATAATAAAAATAAAACGTAATACAATGAAATTCTCACGACGTTTCGGCCACAACGCAAGCAGCCGTCCTCAGGTGAAGAACAGGGCTGTCGGAAAGACAGCGTCTTAATGAACACTGCTAAACTTTGCAGCGTATTTTAAGCTGGGTGGGAGGAGGAGAGAGCATTGACAAAGGAGTTTACATATCAACAGAGGAATTTAGCATATTGATGACAAATGCAGATATGGGGTTAGTCACTCCTTGCGGAATGTGTAGGCGGTGGGGGGTCTCAAAGTCATATTATGCTCGTGTATTAGGTAGGATTAGCAGTAATAAAGGGAGGGGAATTTTAATAATAAAGAACTGCAGCAGCCAAACCACCGCGTATCAAGCTAGTGCATTGTGGAAAACAAAAAGGAGTTTCTAAAGAACTACAAATATTCTACTACCATACAATAAACCGATGTGAAAAAACTAAATATTAACTACATCAATATAATAAATGTACTCAACATACTCTCCAATTAGCTGAGCTATTAACATTAAGTAACTGGGTATACACTACACTATATAATGCATACCATATAGTAAACTGATAAAAAACTAAAATATAAACTACATCAATATTATCAATAAACTCAATATACTCTCCAATCAGCTGAGCTACTAACAATAAGTCAGTATGCATTACAATTCGATGTCGAAAAAAGTGGCGGTTTCCTTTTTCCTCCTTAACATCAGCACCACGGAAAGCGGCGAGCGTGGTTCAGACGGACGAGTCCATTTACGCTCGGAACGGAGGAGAGGGGAGATAGAAAGAAACAACCATTTTGCGCTACTCTGTCCTGTGTTGCGTTACAACTATGCTATAAACTAGACTACTATATTTCGATTTAAAGCTTTCGTGACTGCAGGGATTCTTCTTGGTTGATGAATCCCTGCAGTCACGAAAGATTTAAATCGAAATTTAACCGCCACTACGGGGTGGGATTCCACAAAACTTTAAGATCCTTCAACAAACTCCGGGATAAGAAGGCTCAGCTAATCGAGTCTCTCACCTTTCTGAAGAGATGCCGCGACTCTAAGGCGCTCTTCCCCCTCCAACCCAGCTTAAATATACGCTGCCAAGCCTGGTGATGTTCATTCAGACGCTGTCTTTCCGACAGACCTGTTCTTCACCTGAGGACGGCTGCTTGCGTTGTGGCCGAAACGTCGTGAGAATTATTTTATGTTTTATTTTTATTATTTTATTAATCTCTGCAGTCACGAAAGCTTTAAATCAAAATTTAAACATTGCACTATTATACAAATTATTATTATACATTCTACTTTCCACCATACCCTTGACCGTCGCGTGAAAGGTACTAGGAGGAAGCAAAGAAATGTCCATGTGAGAGGGGTGGTAGGAAACTTGCAGCGGAGCAAAGACTCCGATCTGTTGAAGAGAATACAAAAGCTATATAGTCAATGCCAGCGAATGGAATGCGGTCTGAAAGTCACCGTAAACGTGAACATAATCAATCAAGACCCGAAATGGTTTATCACGTCCTTCCAATGATTGCTGAGCCAGAATCCATCTTCTCGGTTGAAATTGTCTCTGTGTTTGTATATGTGGATGGCCTCATGAATACATCTCTCATGGTAGCCGGATGGCTTGCAGAGAACCTCCGTCTTGGAGAAGTCAATGTCATGTGAGCCCACTGAACTATAACAATGGTCTGCCACGGCTGAGGTGTTGGTCCTACCGTGTTTCAGGTCTGCTTTGTGTTCACGGATGCGGTCCGAGACATGTTGTTTGGTTTCCCCAATGTAACTACTACCACAGAGGAAACTTAGTTTGTAGATGCCAGGGTACTGTATGTCTGGAATCACATCTGTTACAGACAGGACCAGATCACGGATTTTATGTACTGTGTTGAATCGGACCTGGATCTTGTGTTTATTCAGGATTTTGGAGATCTTTTTCGTGACACCCGCAATGTAGGGTAAGGTGATGATTTTGAATGGCTCCTCCCACCCAGCTTAAAATACGCTGCCAAGCTTAGCAGTGCTCATTAAGACGCTGTCTTTCCGACAGCTGTTTTTTCACCTGAGGACGGCTGCTTGTGTTGTGGCCGAAACGTCGTGAGAATTTCATTGTTTTATTTTTATTATTTTATTTCCCTTCTACGTGACTTTACTCATCTTACTCATTCATCTCGCTCACCCACTCTCATGGAATCATAAACTAGCCCACTCACTAATCTACACATCCACTCATGAAACGACTCAATTATCTAATCGACTCAATCTTTCACTCACCAACATACTTATCCACTCACTAATCTCAATATACTCACCCACTCAATGATCTACTCGTTACTCTACTTTCACATTAATATATTCCCTCAATCTACTCGCCTTCTCACTCAACTACTCTCATCCACTTATCAATCTCCTCACGAAGCTACTCACCCACCAATCTACTAACCCAATCATTGGTAATCCTCACTCAACCACGAACCAACTAACCCACTCAATCTAATCACTCGACTATTTTACTCACATACCCACTCACTAATCTACTCACTTGGACCTCACTCACCCGCTCACTATAATTGACTCATCCACGGAATGTTTCTAATGAGCATTTTATTGCAAATTAATTCAACAGCAACATCAACATTTTGTCGACACGTTAGGAATCGGTTGAAATTACATTCACGCGCATTTGCGATGTTAAAGTTAACAGTAATAATACGTTGTAATATTTTTTTGTATCAGTACTGCATTTCATTTGCACTAGCAAATTATTATCCGAGCTATAATTAAATAGGGCAGTTTGAGTAAATCTGGGACATTGTATAATTGAACAAGGCAACTGCAAATTGAGAAATCTTGCCCATCAAGGTGTAACTTGCATGCTATTTTGAAAATAAATAATTAAACTTGCTTTCCGAAAACATTTATGGAAATTCTAATGACAAATTATGGCAAAGTGAAGGATTCTGGTAATAGGTATTACACAGCACAGTATACAGTATTGATGCTGTACATAGTGACGATTTCGTTTAAATGCATTGGACATTCTTTATTTGCACATTCATTAAAAGTACCAACAATAACTACAGTAATTACTACAGTAATTGGTCTTTAAAATAACCCTATTTCCTCAACACACTTTGCTGTGCAGTGGCTCCAAAATGTGTTCCACCATTAAATGCCTTTGCCACAGTGGTTATAAATCCATAACAATGATTATGCTAGCAGTGTTGGACATGGATGGTGGTGATGAGAGCAGCACCATATTGTTGGAACATTTACACGGGCACTGGGAACTGCACTGATCCGGTGGTGCTCCATCGGGGCTGAAACGACGAACGCAAATTCCCACACACGGTCCTCCCAGGCCTACTCGACTTTAAGTGACCTTGGCACCCTGAACCCCTCGGCACGGTTACAAAACATTTGCGTAACGATACCATCACTATTGGGAAGCGAGCCAGCCAGACAAGTGAGCTTGGCATGGATTCCCAAATTACCCTTACCATGCCAAGCCATAGCTCGTATTTTGTAAGCCATGTGACACCATTTACGAATGGATCTACATTCTTTCACCCGAGTTGTTACATAACAGGCTTAAAGCTAGAAGATAAATGCTCCATGATTGATGTTTCTAAGTTAAAATCACAGCTGTGTTTTTCTAATAAAGTCACAGCATACAATTCCAAATTTGATACATTTTAAAATGGGACAGTGCAAGTTAACCCAACCATGCGACAAACCTAGTTACAAAAAAAATGTTGATCCTTCCTCTTCTTCTGGAAAGAGAGGGGGGCAAGGAGGATATCGGGGAAGTTAATCCATGTTGGCATGTTTCTTGAAAAATTGGGACAAAAACCAAGCCATTTTCAGTTATTCTTCAAATTGCTTAGCACGGTTGCTGTCTGCTTTCCCATGGTCTTGGAAATGCAGCATGAGTGGATGGGTCAATGAGTATGACAGGCCAATGCGTACTTGATGTCATCTGCTTAGTTTAACTTCTCAGCTGTGTGTGGAGGGGGGTGGGATTATGACATATCAGGTGGGGAGGCAGCCTCTGAACATGTGACGTCCTGAGGCGGGGGAAAGCGAGACGCTCACAAATCTCAGCCGTTATGGCACAAACGCCAAGGCGTATCCTTTAAGTGCTGGATTTTTGTCAAAGTTTTGCACAACTCTTTATTCACAATTTGGCCAGTTTTAATTAGTGAGTGTCTAAGAACTAATTATTTTTTATAAAGTT